TTCAGGAAACAAAAGACATGTAAATGTATATTCAACATTTGGTGGGATGTGTTTTAAACCGTCGTCTGTATTTGTTTGCTCAGTTGTCTACCTCTGGTTTGTTTACCCTGTAATTATGCAACATGTTTACAGTGATTATGAACATAGATGGAAGGACAACATAAGGATACTGTTTGGTTAGGCAAAACGCATATGTTTTAATGTATAATTTGCTAGCGTATTTAAAAAATTCTACTGTGATTCGACCAAAAACTTAATGATGATTAAACGATAATTATCTTTATGCCAAAGAATAAAATACTCATGGAATCAATGTACATAAGATATGTTTGATGTGAGAAATTCCCATATCCCATTCATTGTGTAGTTGGAAATAAAAGACATTAACCGTAATGCCCCATTAAAAGATTCAATGTAAATACAGGCAAGGGACGTTCAGCTATTTTCCGTCAGTGAATGGTTCGCAAAAGAAATCGATATGTTGTAAACCAGGGCGTTCTGTGTAATTGTAATGTCTAGTCACGTACCAGGTGATTGTATCAGACAACCCCGGTCATTCTGGATGAATACGGATGTCCCTGAGTTAAAGTAACCCACTTTGTCTTCATAACATGTTACAGACGTTTTTTCCCCAGCTATATTTTCCCATTATCGTAAAGTTTACCACTGAGGACAAACAAACAAACAAGCAAACAAAATGATTTTGTTTTTCTTAGCATGACATAGCAAAGCATTCGTAATTCTCGATTCAATGGTTATCATATCATCAAATGAAAAATCAACAACCAAGATATTTTGAACTAATCTAATGGGCGCTTATCATCCAAATAAATCTAGATTTATTTTATTAGCTATCGTAATGACATGAATGGAGTGTATCATATGAGATGGATACAGTTTTTTCCTTACCCTTTTGTTCCTACCCTGGTTACCAAACCTACTACTAAAAGTATTTTGGCTCCGATCCCGAGTCCCATTTAGTCATTTGTCCTTGAGAGGACAAGCACGACACAGGAGCTATCATAAAATAGATCTACTAGTATTTTGCTGAATCTGGTTCAAAGTGATGCTAACCTTGTTACAGTTTTGTCCCTGCCGTTAACACACACAGAGAGTGTGTCGTGACGTGTGTCCGTCCTGTACAAACAATGGACGCCCTCCGTCACACAGCCGATCATTTAACCCAGTACTTACAACACCCGGCGTGAGAGAATGCAGAAAATCCCCCCAAACCCCAACAGACCGGCGACTCCTGATGACTTTACCAGATAATATTTGCTGTATTTGGTTGGGTTGGGTGGTTTATATTGGGAAACGGTAAATTATGAAATGTAAACTCTTAAACTTTGTCCCATAAGAATCGTGGGATGGTCGTCAAAATGTCTTTCTTTGTTGTAGTAATGTGCTACATTAACTGTGAAATGTACTGGTATTAGTGGTAAGTATAGGATTGAATGCTTATCATCAAATTGAAATATCGTGACGTTTCTAATCTATGGGTTTATCCAAGGAAGACCCTTCGAATGTATTGACTACAACCATTTAAAGTTAATGTCATTGTTGTAGTTATGTGCTACATTAACTCCGAAATGCACTGGTATTAGTGGTAAGTATAGCCTATAGGACTGAAAGCCTATCATCAAATTGAGATATCGTGACGTTTCTAATCTATGGACTTATCCAAGAAATACCATTCGACTGTATTGAATAACCATTTAGAGTTCAATGAATGAGACAGAAATGCACACACACTGTTTTGTCGGCTTTATCTTATGTGGCACATCAAGCTACATTACGGAGACATTGAACCATTGTTGTTAGAATCTTCACTGACGTCTCAATTTCTAAATTTGGCGGAGAAAGGAGGACCGTGAAATGTGATGGAGACCACAGGGACCACAGAAGGGCGCCATTTGTGCCACTTTTCTACCCAATCACTGGGTCCATTGTGTGTGAAATGGCGAGAAAAACGGGAAAAATTGCAGGTTTTGTGGCGAAAGTGTCGGGGTGAAAAGTTCGAACCGCAGAGTGATGCCTTTCAAACGCCCGACTGTTTCAGTTCGACCCGGTTTGTGGATGTTGGGCTGGAAAGCCACAAAATGACAAACTGATGATAGTTTTAAGTTCACCTGTCAAATCAAGTCACAAGGGGCTAGTATGGCTAAGCTTAGGGCTGGTCCATTTTACATCTACGGTATCCTGGAAGTTCTAAGGTCATCTGCTTAGAAGTTAGTAAGTACTGTACTTGCTAGCTTCTAAGCAGATAATGTCACAAAATCTTAGAGCTAGCTACAGAGCATTTTATATCTATAGTATCCTAGACTTCTATTGTGATTTGCAATTTAATAGTGATTTGCATTTTAATAAACCATCCATCATTATCATCATCTATTGTCATCTACTAAGCAGATGTCGTACTGATGAAAATTTATAGTCCATTTTACATCTATAGTATCATAGACTTCTATGTTCATCTGCTAAGAAGTTAGCAAGCACTGTAAGTTAGCCACATTTTACATCTGCAATATCATGGACTTCTATAACTAGACATCTGCGTAGAAGTTAGTAAGTACTGTACTTGCTAGCTTCTAAGTAGATGTAAGGAATACGTTCACGTTTTTCTCCATGTTCTTAATCATGTATCAAAAACACACAGAACTACCGTAAACGTAACCTCACGCAGGTATGTTTCTAAAGAAATGCACAAGAAAAAACTCTATGGTTTTTAGAAATGTACAGTAGCCACATGAAGAGGCTTAGCATTTCTTCCAGTAAATTTAAGGAATTCTGGAATTCTAATAAGAAGTTAGATGGGTATCCAATTCTTAAGTCCTTCACGAGGGTTTACGAAAGATTCTGGCAGTTGTGCCCCTTCCCGTTCATTTGCCCCGATACTCTCTTTCATGCACCCACCATACAGCTGTAGTCTATCAACTTTATCAAAATTGAGCTTACAAGGCGATCTTCTAAACGGGGCTTTTATGAGACCTTTAATATAATTGCCCACAGATGTACGTTTATATTCCTGGAGCTCTAACCAAGACGGTGTGCCCCGATGTCTACATACCGTGATTACATACTCCATGGGAGGCAGACAGTAACAGAACTGTTTTTTTATAACCACTGACAAAGTTTAAGAGCAGTTGGAAACTCGAACTACTAGTACAATGTATATGTTGCCAGCGCTTTGTAAAGGGTTGTACGGTATGGCGCACTAGGGGTGTACAGGACTTGTGGGTGTGCGCGCGTTTGTCTATGTCTACGACATATTAGAAATAATTTAGTAATACGAAGATTATCTTTAAAGATCAGATTATCACCAATGACGTACAATCTAGCACTCCGAGTTAACAACATGTAAAATTTAACATACTGTTTTGTCCCAATTATACAAAGCGGTTCGTTACTGCAGCTTGTTACTGTTTTTGCAGACAGCAGACGCCGTGGCAATTATACCAGTTGGCAGTGGGGTTCGCTTTCAACTATCATCCGTTGAAGCAAGCTATATAGCTATAGCTAGGGACATGTGTGACAAAAGATGTCTTTTCTGGTTCAGGCTTGAAAAAATAACTTAAACCGCTTCTTGATACTGACATATGGCAGTTGTTTCTGCCAGGGGGCACGACAACACTGATTCTTTACCGCGCTAGTCTTCCATTTCCCCTAACTCAAAAGGCACCTTTATTTCATGTCCACGGTCTTTTACTTGTCCATGTTCGTCCTTCATCGTCACACACTGACTTCTAAGAAAGAAGGGAAAATGTTGAAGGCAGCAGCAGGGCTTTTATGAAAATGGTTAAGACATTTGTCATAAGAGAAACTGAAGAGACGGCTAAAGCCAACCACCCATTTCTTTCAGACTAGTGTCAAGTAAATCTATCACCCACCACCCACACAAACTATTCGACCCCGAGGGTTTGAATCGTGCTACGGTGAGTGATTAGGTAGCACGCAGCGTCAACGTCTTACAACTGACGCCTACACAAATGTACTCAAGCCCACTTTTCCACATTTTCTGACAAAATGACACGTTAACAGCTAGTCTACACTTCAAATATCCTAAGCAAATGATACACTTTGCGTGTAAGCAGGAGCAAGCAAGATGCAACATATGATATGCCACACAACCACGTACGAAAGAATTAAGATTAGATAACACAAAATGATGTTCCGCATGAGATAACACAAAAATGTTCTGCTACATTGTTCGATAAAAACATGACAACATACCAGCCATGGTATAAGATGCTGAAAAGATTACAAGACAAGTTATGGCGGTATTAAATATAGATCTAACACTCATAGTGGCATTTTACTTTACAAAGCAAGGCTGCGATTGAGTGCATCCCACCTGTAGCTTTAGATAAGTACACCACAGTACGCCACAACTAATTCCACGTAATCTACCCTGAGGGCAGGAGAAAATGAAGAAAAGCATGTGTGCAAAAAAAGGGAGGGGGAACAAAACTCCTACTTTATCTTGCCTTTGGGGTAAGTTTGCAATCTGTTAGCTTCAAAACGGTGCTTGATATACCGTTTAACTGCTGTTTTTCAAATCTGGGATCTTTTACCAACTTCCGTGTTGGCGTTGTATATAAACAGTTCCACAAAACAACTGGTGCTCCAAGACCACTCCTATCGTTACTTGTACATGGCAAAGATTTATCAAAAGTTGAAGTTGTATTCGATATCACGTGAAAGCATCAATCTCAAGTACAAGTACTTTTACCACATGAAAGGCAACGTTAGTGGAAGGTGGACCTATGATGATAAAATCTCTAGAGAAAACAGGCGTGTGCGAGAGAGCTTGTCGGGGTCACTAAAGGTTAACAACAACAGGCGCGCGGCAAACTCACAATCCACCTGTTAACCATTTAACCATTATTCCTTCATTACACAAATATCAAAGAGTTGACATACCCCTGTACATATAGCATTAATGAGAATAACGATATCACATGTGCACAGTATGGCGTCTGCAAAATCTATGGAAAACTTACCGAGTTTTGACAAAACGTAGCACGGAGTTCAGAGATGTTTTCTCCACTACACAGAAATGCAAAATGATGGTTGGCTATCGTGTAGACTCAGCTCTTATGTAGAGACCTTTCTCCAAATGGCTTTAAAAGGAGTTATTGAGAACTAAACACCAACATCTAGCAGCCTGGGCTCGTCATTTCATTCCTACTGCTGCATTGTGGAGCAACAAGTAACTGGAACAACCACATTTTTAGAAAGTCTGTGCATTATGAAAAGCTAGCCTGGAGGGGGGGTTGGATAGATGCAGTCACTTGTCGAATTTCTAACACTTTTCTTGACAAACTTGTGCACTAAAGCACACGTGCGGGTATTAAAGAAGAAAATGGTGATCAGAAGAAAGTCGTATGTAATTATCACTTAATGAGTAGTCCAAGAATGACAAATGTGCAGAAGTCTTTTCATTTCGACGCAATATGTGATTTTCACTTGTCTTCGTCTGTGGTTTCAACCTGCAATTTCTACACAATAATTGCACATGTCACTTTCAAAATTTACGCGACCTGTCCAAGATACTGTCTTCTTCTACCTGTCGGTCACATAGAAGGGATTTCCATTTTACTTAAAAGTTAACCATTAGCCACAAGATTAAGAGGACATTCTTCATGGGTACTAAATATACGCCTAAGGGCTACTAGTATTACCTGATGTTTTTGTTATTATTATTTTCTAAAGCTTACCCCATTAAAACTTACTGTCAACCCAATGGGCAGAATAAAGACCACTGTCAGTATTAAGTGTGCTTGTCTGAAAATTCGAGCCGAAGCGAAGCCGCATTGCACTATGAAATATCGAAAAATCATTAGGTATCATCTCAAGCATTAGGTGATGAGAACCCTACTATCTATTCTCTCGCCCCACACATGCCAACCGTACCCAGGAATACCCCCTCCCACGGGACGACAGCTGCACCAGACACGTGTCTCTCCCCGTACCACACTCCCCCCACCTTGTTAGCCTGGGGATTAATTGAAGACCCGAGTCTGATCCCTGCATTCCTGTCTTCACCTTCCCGACCCCATTTTCTAACGCCTTGCCGAACTGTCATATCTAGTTTCACCAAGAAGCTTTATATAACATCCTTGGTTTAATAAAGCCCTTTGAGAGCGTCTGGAAAACATAGCCGAATAGAGTATGTAGAATTGGCCTTGGCCTTCCTAAAAAACTGCACAGCACGTACGCACTTTTTTTATCATATCATTATTACCATTATACGATCGAGTATGTACATTGGCCGACGAAAAGTGGTCCCAAACGCCAACCAATAACCAATTCCAATAGAGTACTAGTATCAATACATGATATAATGGGCGCCAATTTACCGTTAAGTGTCGTTGGCATTCCTGAATTTACCGCTAGTTTAAGCGTGGTTGGCCTTCCTGAATTTACCGTTAAGCGTAACCGTCCCTACACCCCAATTCATATATTCTCAAATCCTATCGCTGCCATCATTGAATTGCGAAATCTCGTATTTTGCCTTTTCGCCTGGAAAAATAGACCATTTGAAGGACATATTGCAGTGATTTGGACACGAAAAGTTTTTGCAATGCGAACCACGTCGGGCTTGCGCAGTGCATGCTGGGTAAAGCCTTGCGTCGCACGAAAAGCGCGTGACGTCGATGGTAAATATTATGCTCCTGCGGTAGTGCGACACTTGAACATGTAGGACAGTTTCTCCCCCAAATCCTTGCGTTTTCACCACTGTCATCTCCAGATCTGCGGGTCAGCTAGACCCCTAGGGTGTATAGAAGCCTCCAGGATGGGTGTGGGGTCGGAACGATCCTTAAGGGAGAATTTGCGGAGCCTCTCTCGGGGCGACGTCGAGGGAGGCCCGGGGAAGGAGAGGCAGCAGGCGCGGCGGCAGGTCGACGCTTGGACCCTGAAAGTTGACAACCTCGGGAAGATCCTCTGCGCTCTCGGCGTGGTGACGTTCTTTCCCGGGACCATCATGGCGGTTCTTGGGTACTACGTCGAGGGAGTGTGGAACGGCAACATGTTTCTCATGATCCTGGGGCCGGCCTTGCTTCTGATCGGGTTTTTCCTGTTCTTTCTCGGGCTCCACATGTGGTGCGCCGACTGTTTCGAGCCCGACGACGCACTGCCGACGCCGATACGCGCAGAAGACACGGAAGAAGACATCGCCGTAGCCCAGGTGAAACCCGGAGTTCTCACCAACAATAACCTACGCACTGGACCACCCAATACATGGTCAGTTTGTATCATATTGCTTCATCTGGTGTACAGTATGTTGACCTCATAGCATTTCCAACATTTGTTTTGGTATGCAAGTTATGCGTCAACTATTACTACAAAAAAACCTTGACCTTAATCGTTTTTCTTAAGAATCACTGCAAGTTGTGTGGGATTAAACGCGTTAAAAACGTAACAGGTGTAACAATCGTATGGAAGAAAAACAAGGATGGTGTTTTCCCTATACTGGGTAATGGCCCCTTCAACAGAGCACCCTGTGTATCAGTATACGTTTGGATGAATGCCAATGGAGACTGCCACAATATTGTAACAAACAGCTTTCGCCACACATAAGCACATGTAACGTTTTGTCTTGCACGTACATGCATGTGTCAAGTGTGAGGAGAATTTTAACAAGAGACTGTGAAGTACTATCTTTTTTGAAAATCTGACACACTAGTGCCTGTGCATTAAATAGTGTGTACAATGTGAGGGTTGTTTCCAGTCTATGCTCTAGATCTGTTGGCTTAGACGAATATGATACAAACGTAACAACAGATATCTCCAAGCAGATCTTTTGGTGGCTGCAAAGTGTTGGGTACATGTATCATATTGGCCAGGCTGTATCCATTTGCCACCTGGTTGGCTGGCGTAAAAATAAGATACCAGAAGAAAAAAAGAAATCCTGATAAAAAAGCCTAAAAACACGCTACAAATGAGCCGAAGCCTCAGCTTGGAGAGTAAACAACAGATGTAGATGTTACGGCTGCATACCCATTTTTGTTGACATTAAGAAAACTATTACAGCTATGATTGAGTGCATACTAGTAATTGTGCAAATGTCACTGTTCTGGTTCAATAGTAAACTCCAAGCATATCTTTTTGCAAGACAGTATCAAATTGGAAGACAGCATCATTGCTATTGGCATCCAATACCTCCTGAAGATACCAGTATAATACAAAACCCCGAAAACCCGATAAAAAAACGTCTAAAACTTGTAAAAAATAAGCCAAAGCCTAAACCTCTGGTAGGACACAAGGTCAGAAGTTGTCTAGACATTTAAGAGTTGCAGGTTGACTGATCTTCTTGTCTGAGTAGCTAACCACATAATTGACCTTTCTTTGTGGTTAGAAATTATAGAATTATCTTTTCTTGCACTTGGGTGCTTCAACACAGCATAGTTGGATTTAGAGTACAAAATGTGTACAACTTCTTGTTGAATACCTGCACCTCACAAGCCTATACAGAGCCAACAATGGTAGGATTGTGATATGAACACTTGGCCACAATCAAACAGGAATTTAAAGTGCTGTAGGGCAACATAGCTGGGGAAAACTTAGCATTGTATCGTTACGAAAAAGGTCACCAATAATGACTGTAAACTTGAAAGCCAGGGGGCTCTTTTGGCTACCTTCAGGGGCCGTGTCTTTCTTGTAATAGTTTGATAAGTCTGCTACATTCTAAAATTCTTACCATGCATTTCCTAGGGAATTTTATGCAGACTTCTGTACCATGACTATGGAGTGAAATGGCTTCTTGAACAAGAAAGCTCTTATTACATGGCTCTGGACACCCCACCCCCCTCAGAAATGTTGTAGGTTTGGCAAACTAAGGAGTGCCCTAATTGTATCTTGCAGACAATAATGGTGCTATACACCTCTCCACCCTCCGCACAGCAAGTGTGCATGTACATTTACATGGAACAATGCAGGAAACTCTAGAAATGCTGTAGGTTTGGCAAACTAAGGATTGGTGTGATTGTATTTTGCGGACAATGATGCAAGACACCTCTCCACCCTCCCCACATGGAACAATACAGAAAACTCTAGAAGTGGGTAAAATGGTTCAATGCCTCAAACCAAACAAAATTTACCTCAATGTATATTCTAGAATGTAGTACTAGTAGATGTACTTGGTATATAGGCATACTGTTCTTATACTATATAAGTATTACATCTACTTGCAATTAGCCTTTGGGCATGTATTTGCTATAACATACTATCTTGTTTTGCAGGTTCTCGCGTGGCGGCTCTAAGGAAGACACAGAGCCCATCGTGATTAACCAGTATGGCTACATGTCCAACAACAACGAGCTGACATCTACACCAGCACAGGGTCAGGGGGTCTGAACATGATGCTCACAACCACCCAGACTGTGTTCGTAGTTAAGCCTCTACCAGGCTTCAGAAGAAACTGGAAAGAGTAGAAATTGGACAAATACTAGTACACAGGTAACATGCCAAGGGAGTTTGTTCACTTAGGACAGCGACAAACTGTACTCTTTAGCAGACCAACTCCCCTGGCATATCATCTATTACTACTTGCCCAGTTTCTAGTTTTTTCAGCTGCTTCCCAAAGCCTGGTAGAGGCTATAAGTAGTTACAAGTGACACAGTCTTGGTAGCAAGCAAGAAGAGAGACTACAAAGGATGGTACCCTGGCTAGTATACTGTGGTGTGAACTGTAGCTAAGTGGCTTTGTCTCTACTGGTGGTAGTGGTGTAAAAAAGTGTGACGTTCATTGTCACTTTCATGCTCAACCAGGGTTAGTTCAGAGATGCATGGTGTATATATTTGTGCTTTCATTGCTCATTGTTTCTAAAAGTATACTGTAGCAAATACAGCATCCTGTAGCAAATACAGCAGTACATTGTAGCAAAAACACTGAAGCAAATTTCTGTAGCGAATACAGTACACTGTAGCAAATACAGTACACTGTGCAGCTGACATTGCCTATAGTGGGGGGAACATTAGTGATACATGTAATTAGCTATTCAAGAATATATAATAGAGTTGTATGCAAAAACATAACCTCTGGACCATCTGTCGAGAATTTTGAGTTGTATTTGGTATATTCTAGAATCTTAGAATATTCTTCAAGCATAGGACAGAAGCATTTTTCAAAGGTAACAGTTCCTATCTACATTTGCCTGCAAATATTCTCACTATTGCAGCTTATATTATAGGCATAAGTAGTGGTGATGCTCTCTAACAAATCTTTTGACTGTTTGTATCATTTACATATTATTTAAAAATGTATCTATGTTGTTTATGTTCATGATTGCAAGGTATTTTAACTACAATATGTACTTGCACATAATACTGTATATTGTAGATAAGAGTGATGTGTGCTGTTCTAGTAAAATAGATAAAAATCATATGCAGAAGTGTCATAAGTGTAATTGGTATCCGGACAATGAAACAGCCTTTTTATGCAGCTGTAAAGTAAGTAGGGAATTATAACTTCTCCCTCAAGTGAAGCATGGTTATTAGATAGATATGTAGTTACTGGGTTATGTGTTTATACTACTATAGTGATAAGAAATCAGGACAAGAGTCAGTATGCTGTAAATAGGAATAATAGAGATGAAATAAGCGTAGTTTAGATAATCATGGAATCATCATAAGTAGGTAATGTACGGTCTAATATTTTTCAGCTTTGGTGCTGGTGTTGCTGTTATAAATTCATGTACATTTGTACATGCATTGATGTATATTAACTTCAAGTTAAACAGATGTAGGGATAGAGATAATAGTGATGTAGTGATAGTATAGCATGTGGCTTTGTTCGCTACATATCAGCTGAAATAAATATATTGCATAGCGTTGGCATTTGTATGTGTAATTGTCATTTTTGCGTGATTACCGGTAAATACATACAAGAGTTGTAGTTTTAAAGAGTTCTGACTGTGAAAATCTTAAACATGAAACTGTCATTCATATTGCACATTTTACAGTAATTCTAATTCTTAGTATTCATTTCTATCTATAGTGTCACCCACACAAATCAAACATGTCTAAAATGTTATTTTTACTCAGACTATTTTCCCCTCAATACCATCGAAAATTGTACCAGATTGAATAATGCCCTGTTACACAGTAACAAGTGACCAGGAATGTCATTTGGGCATTAATGGAAGAAATATTAGTCAAACTTTATGGGAAACTTGCTGCTATAGTGATGATTTCAAGTTGGTAACAATAATCTTTTAAAAGACTAATACTTTCTTCTCCATCACCCTGTATATCCTGGTTGAGTTTGGGACTTCATTTCCCGATCAAAGGGAAAAGAAGGGTTTCATTGTGTTTCAAGTTTGCAGTTGAAGCAATTCTGTAGTACAGTAGTATTACATGTATGCTGGAACACATGCCAATATTCGCGGCGTCACAAATTTGTGGTGGAGAGGTTGCCGCGAAACCTGAAAATGAAATCACTGTGAACATATCAAGATTCAAAGAATGTCTAAGTTTTGTCCTGCCTAAACCTGTAACCCTGTAGAAAAATGGTAGCCAAATGGCTATTTTAGTGTGCATGTGTTAGGACTTACACGTACATCATGTAACCCCTGTCAACTTTATAAACCTGCATTTCTCCTCTGGTCTCTCAGTCACTGACGAAAGCTAGTGGATACTAGCTGAAATGTCTGACCATTTCCAAAATCATATCCAGTTGCTGGAGTAGCTGCTTTTTGGCATATCTTATTACCTGGATGTCTAACCTTCATCGACGCATGTAACCCCTATGTTGTTATACACTGTCTGGCTTTAGCCTCCTCCCTCAATGAAAAGCTTTGACTACTGGTATTTCTTGAAGTAACAAAGGCTTGAAACAAACAAACAAACAAACTAAAGGCTATACAGGTTTGAGTCGGACGTGTAAGTCGAGTGGGAACTCTTCGGTTTTGTCCAGCGCCTGTCTGAACAGCTGAGCGTGTTGCCAGGCGTTGTCCCCCCGTCCGCCTCGGAGTTCAGCCGTCAGGGTGAAACTCATCACGCCCTCCAGATCTTTGGTCGTTGTGCCTGCTGCATCTAAAGAAAAGTAGGGAATGAACTTCAGCATATCTATCTATCCATTCATTTCTTGTTTGTTTTCATGGCTCATCTGCAGAACATAAAAAAATACAAATCTTACTACTTACTTCATACTAATGAATGGACTAAAAACATTGTCACAATAGCATGTACATGAAATGCCGAAATGAGAAGTTCTGCTGCAAAACTATAGAAAGCTGCTAGAAGGCTTGGAATCAAACTTGTCCTTTGTTTTGATGACACTTACCTACGTACTAAATATAATCAAGATCCATATCAACAACTTCTTATACTGTTCACATACAAACAAACAGCACCTAAAACATAACTTGTTGGTGAAGGTAATAACTTTCTACATGTATCATACATGTACTTCCATCCATTTAATAGATTGCAAAATAGGACCAACTAACCTCCGTTCAAGAGAACACACTTGTCCCCAGAGCAGAGCCGCCAGGAAACAGAGCCGTTCTCAAATGTCTGACACCGTGTGACGACCTTTATCTCTTGTACACACAGCCCTGAATCACTCAGGTCAAACTTCCAACTCACAGAACCTGTAGTAGCGCCCTCTGTCCTGGCAAGATAGCACTGCAGCAAGACAAAATGTGTACAATCAGTTTGAGTTAATACAGTACATTGATGCAGTGTTCTAGCCAGTGTCCATCTTTCTGTTATTTGATAGAATTTTGCTCCTCATGGTGGACAAAAATTTTGCCAAAGCTGTCATCTTTGAGTGATTGTCCGGTAGTGATATGGAAAGAGAAGTCATTTATAGTACACTGCTGTAAGCTGAGTATACCAGCAGACTTTGGCTCTAAAACTGCAGGAAATAGTGTTTTACAGGGTTAAGATTTCATACCCCAGACCTCCCTAGGATTGCCATGCTTTGGCGCTTGACATGATGTTGTGTCAAACAAAATTGACACAAAAGATTCCAGGAAAAAAATTCAGGCTGGCTAGAACAATGCATTGAGCTACTGAGGCCTACAAAATGTAGTTGCAGGTGACTGTGACTGACCATGTTCCAGTCATGTTCCTCCTTCCTGAAGACACCCTGTACCGTGTGAGCCCAGCTCTGCCAGCCCTGCTGCATGTCTGCACTGTTGTACAGCCTGGTGTACTTGTCGTTAGCTGTGCAGTAAACCAGATGGAGCAGTCGCCCTTTCTTCTCCTGGTCACTCAGTCTGAACACGTATGGCTCAGCCTGGATATCAATAAATGAATGAAGAAATGGATAAATAAAAGCTTAATTAACAAGTCTTGTGCTTCATGTGCCCAGCCCATGTGGGATTATAACTTATTTTAAGAATACTAAAATATAAGGTACATAGATCAAGAAGCAATGGTACAGATTTACATATCGATAATCAACTAAATCTGAGCAAAAAAATGACTGAATGAATGAATATATCTTGTGCTTAACGCCAAAGGACAAAGTTACTAATTAACATAATTAACAAATTAAGATAGTCAACCAGACCTGTACAGACAGTCTCACAGATAAAAAAGTTCCACAACCAGCACATATCTGTTTGTCACCTTTTTCAGGTTGATGGAAGAGTAACCAAATTTTTGAGGTGAGCTGTCTTTGCTGTGTTAATCTAAAGTATCAAACTTCATGATAGAATTTACCTTTGTTTTGTCCTTCTGAGTTCCCAGTTCCCCCCTAGCCAGCCTCCAGGCCACTGATCCGGTGGTTCTCCCTCCCATCTCCTTCTCCCCTGGTTTCCGTGGTGATATAAACTCCACCAGCTCCACCAGGAACCTCCTCACCAGCTCATCTCTCCTCTCCTGGGGCAGGCCTGCCTGGCGCTGGGGAAAAATGACGACAAGGAAATATTTTACACAAGAATTTGTCACACAAGCAATTGTAATAATGTTTACTGAAGGAAAACATATTGTTTTTACTCAGTTTCTTCCTCCTCCTCTTCTGTTCCAAACACTGACCTCTGACCTGGCCAATGACATGATTTGTTGACGTCTGTCACCATGGTGACTGGTGTTGGGTTATGTAATGTGGCAATTTCATGGTCTGCTCTACACCTGTCACCATATACTCTTACTCTTAGTGATCTCCAAGCAGATCTTTTGGTGGGGGTAAGACAGTATCAAATTGGCCAGTCTGTATCCATTTCCCCACCCAAGGTACAGACTGGCCAATTTGATACTGTCTTACCCCCACCAAAAGATCTGCTTGGAGATTAACTCTTAGTACATGTATGTAAATGTGTTTGAGTAAAAATTAACAGGGCAGACCATGCATGTCTGAAGGTAAACATTGTGCATTTGCTTTGCAAATGTTACTTCTCTAGTTCTAAAACTAAAATCATGAGGTATACCTCCATGAAGTAGGTACATGTACATTCATCTTCAACTGCCTCAGAAGAAGAAGTCAAACCCAACAAAAATAAGTAGCGCCACGTATGCTGTAGGATAACATTAGGCATGGTCTCTTATATCATTGTATTTTCTTTATCATACATGTTGTTTGTGATTGCAATTAGTCCTTGGGCATGTAGTTGGAATGAACTTTAATCAAGCAACTAGATGGGTTTTGAAAACTGTCAGATGTTTCAAGTCACATCCACTACTTTTTGTCACATGTGGATGCTACTTGACATGTCTGACAGTTTTCAAAACCTATCCAGTTGCTTGGGTAAAAATTCCTTGTGTATCTCATTACCTGGATGCCTAACCTTCATCAACGTATCAAGGGAAAACTTTGTAATTATAAACTTAAGGAAAGCAATTCAACATTCAACAACAACCTTCTGGCCTAACAAGATCTTAAACAAGGACAGGATGAAGAAGAAAAGTTTACCTTTTCGTTCATCCTGTTGACAGTTTCCCTGAGCCAGCTTTCTCTACACTCCTTCCTCCTGGCACAGACCTCTTGGTGACGACAGGAATACCTCCAAGTCACGTCACGGATCTGAAGAAAAATCAAACCACTACTTAAGTATTTTGTCTCACATACTGTAGGTACAACCGGTGCAATAGCCTGGTAGGCAGAATGCCTGTCTTGAATTCAGGAGTTATGGGTTCAAACCCCAATTGTTTGTTGTTTGATGTTATGGGTTTAGGCATACTATTTCAGGTAGTCAAAGATGAAATTTAATGTAATACCGGGGATAACTCTTTATACTTTTTGTTGATTCATTTTCATGAAATTGCTAAGTCTCTGAATCAAGTTTCAATGTATTTGTGAGTTACACAGTACTCTGGGTAAATTTTGTTTTATCTGTTGTCGCTAAGCCCAACACCACTAAGTTTCACATGTTGTCATCACCAGAATGTTGTAAAGACATACCTCCTGATTAGAAAAGGCGACAACGTAACTCAACTTCTTGCTCCAGCCTGCTTCGTACATGAGCGGTTTGTCGCTAACGTTCTCACACGGATCGGCATGAAGCCAGCGTTGTTGTGAATTTGAGAAGCACTCCGTCCAAACGTGGTCTGATCAAAGACAAACAAAATAAAGATGTTGTGAATGAAATGAAGGAACAAACGAACCTCGTCTTTTGAGTAGGCTATGATGTAGGTGAGTTTTTTCTTCCAGCCGGCTTCGTAAACGAGAGGTTTGTCGTAGTACTGTTCTCCATCCAGGTGTAGCCAGCGCTGTTGTGAGTTGGAGTAACACTCTGTCCAGCAGTGGTCTGAAACAGGCAGGATTTTTGGGATACGTACAACTTCATCAATATGACGACAGTATGCAAGTGGTGGCAGGCTGTACCCAGTTTCCCCTTCTCTTGCATAACACGTACACATGGTGTGTTGTGCCTAAGGGCGGTTATACCGGCTATACCAATACGGATACAGATACACATGCAATCACAAAAGGAACCAATCTATAGTTTAAGTTACAGAAACGTTGAGTAGGAACTGTTTTAAAGAATAGTGTGTCTTGTAGCCTCAGAAATCTTAATGTACAGAGATCTACACAATCTAAATGCTTTGCTAACTTTACGTGAAACACCACTGTGGTAACAAACTTTATGCAATACATGTAAGGCACAACCTGTCTTTCCCTGGCATTATATGTTTGAAATTGTAAGAAACAGTAAACCTACCAGTCCAGTCAACCACATGTCTGGCCTCATACCCCAGGGCACGGCACAGTAGTGTGAAACAGTTGGCCCACTCCCCACACCGACCACGCCGGGTCTCCAGCAGTTTGCCTGGGTGGTTATACCTGCAGAGCAGCACAATTATGCAGAGTTGGTCCAAGTTAAAGGTATGAGGTTGAAGGCATCCAATGCAATTTTAGGGACCCAAAAATTGATTGAAAAAAATTGAGTGTGCCATTACTATGTATTGTGTTAAATGTTGGGATTAAAAAAATATGTTTGCTGTAGCAAAGCTGCAATGTAGGTGCTAGTGGCTACTGAAAAGCATCATGCTTTAGCTTGATTAAGGATGACAAAAGAAGAAAAAAATCACAGTACAATGCTGAACTACTAGTATATTTTAACACAAAGCTACACAAGGATCAAATTTTCAATGACCAGTTCCCTTCATCAGGATACTAGTAATTAATGACCAATCATTTTTAAACATAAATCCTTGCCTATATGGTTATTTCTTATCCATTCTACTGTGATTTCTACCAACACATTATGAACCTCCATGAAGAAAAGAATCACCTAGGAAAGCGTGTTGTTGTCCCACAGGCTGTGCAGTGATACAGCTCCACCCTCCCAGCCTGCCACCTCTCCTCGGAGGGGGTGGGGGCGGCCATTCCAGCAGCCATCGTCTTCCCCCCGCAACGCTCGCACGGCGCCTTGTCCACCCACTTAAAGAAATCCTTCTTGAACCATCGGCGCAGCTCGGGAAGGATGAGGTCTTCCAGGGTGAGAGGGGGCGGGCTGTTCTCTAGCAGAAGGGAAACATATTGTATCAACAGTTGGCTCAGATAACCCTTAAGTTTTGGGCATTTTTGTGTTACAGTGCCTAACTGTATACATGTATGAATCTGTATTTGACACCTATAAGTATGACACTTAGATACTACAGGTATTATTATTTCCTGATCACTGTATTTTCGACAATACTACAAATGCAGTATTTTAAAAAAGAATATAGTGTGCATGTGCATGCAAATGTCTATGTTCATTGAATGATAATATCATTATTTAATACAAGCAGAAAATATTGTATTTTGCTGGCATAGGCACTTGCTTTATCCTTGCGGAGGTACATGGGAAACAAAAATACAAATGTGTAGTACCGGTACATCAATAAATTCAATGGATAATGATTTAGTTCATTTCATAAGAAGCACATAATCAATTACATACCCATACAAAAATGTTGATGAACAGTTTACTTAAGTTAATAACATTTTGTGTTTCATCGCTAAGAAGAACCTGCAGTAGATTTTGTTTTGTTTTTTTTGCTCTCTCAATATTTTGCTTACCAGTTTTGGTCTCTTCTTTCTCCAGCTCTTCTAGAACCTTGAGTTTCTCCAGGGCCTTCTCTCTGAGCTGTTCTTCAGGGATGAGGCTGCGAGCCTGGGCTTGTAGCACGGGATCTTCATAAAGTAGAACATGCTGAAAACTGGACTCCAGACGGGCATAGAACTGTCTCTCAGAGGCCTGGGGTAGAAGGAAAGTAAAACGGCTTAAAGTTGAAATCGTCAAAGGGACTACTCCTAGTTCTACGCAAAACAATAGAAGCCTCTAATTTTTGTTTGGAACAGGTATCCTTAAGAAGTGTGAACACCACAGTACATGACTGACATGAGTTTTTACAAAATGAATTACCAGTAAGTTGCTGCTTGGCTGTACTGCTTGACTTTGTGAGGTGCTCTGTACAGGTGTGGAAGCCATTGAAGTGACAAGACTAGGTGCAGGCTCTCTTGCGGCTCCCTCAGGTTGAGACGTGGCTTGAGTAGACGCACCAGCCGCCTGAGTGTTCTGTGGTGCCAGACTAAGTTGCTTCAGCCTTTCTACTGTGATCTGGTCTCGGATTTTTATCACGTTGTCCAGAGGTGTATCTGGAAGAAGAACTAACCTTTCTTCTTTCTGAAAGAACATAACAAAGAAAAGAGTTTCTGTAATAGTCTCCATGTACCCTGACTACATTACGCTTCTAGCAGCCTAATGTCAAGCCCAATCGGCTCCTGACAGCGAGAGATTGTGTAACAAAGGTTTCAAGTTACCAGTTACAATTATGGACATTGTGTTATGTATATATATAAATATGACTTACTTCACTGAGCAGACCTGTTTCTCACTGCACTGACTGCTTCCACAAACTTGTCTCTAACAAACTGGCGAACTACAAAAAACTAAACTGGTGATCTTGGGTCTGCTTGTAGGACAGATGTCTGCCTATGCTGAGTCATGTACACGTGACTAGTTTCTTATCACTTTCATCCAAATAAGGGCTGGTAGCCTGGCAACATGTTACAGAACTTCCGGTGGAGTGCTGTTGCTCTGGGTTTTTGTAATCTCCAAGCAGATCTTTTGGTGGGGGTAAGACAGTATCAAATTGGCCAGTCTGTATCCATTTCCCCACCCATGATCTGCCGGCACTCGAACAGGGAGGAGCACTTCTTTTCAAAAATGGTGTTGCTGCCCCTCCTTGTGTCCCTATTAACAACTATCAAAAATTTGTTGTGCTAAGATTTTTACAAGCGGTTTATGGCTTGAATCTGGGACAAATGCAGTCACCCGCGCACATCTCAGTGGGAGTTCTCGCCTAACCCTGTCCAGATAATACTGTATGCTGGTACTAAAATATGCTGGCTGAAACATAGAAATGTCAATAACTGGGCTCATTGTGGTTCAAAACCGCAGATATTACAAAACATATGTTGGACCTTCTTTCCTTTAGTTACACTGAACAAAATAACAGTTGGTGAGGGGACCCATAGAGAGTAATGCTCAACCACCTGGCCCACTAGGAGGGCAAGAGCCTTACCAAGAACCTTGCCTGGTGGTCAGGGCAATAAACTACTTGGCAAGAATATTTTGATCAGGCAACAACTAGGTGTTAATAGCCTTTGACGTTTCGACTGGAGGCAGATCTTGGGTGGGGAAATGGATACAGACTGGCCAATTTGATACTGTCTTACCCCCACCAAAAGATCTGCTTGGAGATTAGGGTTTTTGATCACAATGATCTGTTACATTTGGCAGAACCACATGTACAGACTCAACATGTTTCCATAGATGAAGTCTACTTCCTCAATTTCTTTGTGTGACAGGCTTATTCTAAACTTAAGTTGTAAACAGGAAATATGCTGCTCCAGATGTCTTATTGAGGCATGACTGCAGTGTGATAGATGCTGGTTAGCTTGATCATGATGACCTATTCAACTTCCTAAGCAAAGCTAGGTACTCATTTCCACCTGAGTGAAGTGAGAAAAGTTGTGTAAAGAAAGTTTATTGCAAATACATGCCCGAAGGCTAATTGCAGTTACAAACAACATAAGAAAGAAAATACAATGGTATGTGAGACTATATCTACGTCCGTAACATTATACTATATTCTACAACATACATGGTACTATTGGTGAGATGGTGACATGGCCGGATTCGAACCCAGGACCTCTTGGTTCTGACCTGAACACTCCATCATTACACCACACGACCCTACTAAGCCTGACTGAGGCTTGTTCAAATACACAGTAAACACATACCTGAGTAAACCCCATGGCTTTCAGGCAGTCCAGAGCACCCGGAACTGGGACTAGTCTTGACCGAACCACCTGGTTCTCTAGCCGGATGGTGCGGAACTTTGGCTCCTTAGGATTTCTGGAGAACAAAACAAAACAAAAGATCATGAACTAGTTGCTTTGGCAATGAGAAAATGCACTGCTTCAATGAATATTTCTGATCACCAGGAATAATATTTTGCTGTAAGTTTGTAGTATTATACTAGTACAGTGCTCACCAACTATTTGCATCACTGACATTGGCATAAACCTGGTATCTGCATAAAATTCTGAAAACCCAAACCATTTCCCATTCACTACATTATAAATTGCATGGCATAATTGCATGAGCTGTTATGACTTTCACCTGATATTGGACTAAAATATTTCCAAGTCAATGGCACACTGACCCAGAAGTACGTGAAAGAAATACATGTAATTTGTTGCGCATCAGCAAAACTGCATGAAGTCCATTGTTATTCATTCATTATCACCCCTGCACCCTCCATTGTCATACACTTTCTCTGTTGTCACTTCTTTCTGGACAGGTGAGAACCCCCAATCACTCAATGATGATTGTGTGAAGAAGTCCTTTGTTCCTTTTTGGTGTCCTTGATTGGGCTGTTGTTTTAGGTTTGGTAAGCTTTTGTCCAACACAGGGGTAGACAGTATGAAGGTGGAATGTGTCTGATCTTCTATCTCCATGTTAGCCCTGTTCATTATGAGTTTCTGAATGCGACTTGAAGATTAGAATATGGTACATGTATGTAGTTGTGGGTGGAAGTGAGTATATAAATACCAATAACATCATGTTTGTGGCTGTCGGTCGTGTGAACTCTCCTAAGGTTATTGGACTAAACCTGTTATAGGAATAAAATTCCCTGACAAATCGTCCATGCAAATAACAGGAGAGCACTGTACTATAAACTTACATTATGTAGCAAAATATTATCGTTTGGTTCAGATACTAAGATATACCAATGGATAATGAATTTTTCTGCACCCTTTTCTTCCTCAAACGTAAAATCTTTCCTCAGAATATCTTCATGTGATATTCTTGCAGCGATTTTGAGCTAAATGGAGGGTATTTGTGGCGATTTTGTGGAATGAAATAAAGTCAATCTTTCCTTTGAATATTAGTTGTGCATAGCCATAGGCCTAGGTTCAGCTATAAATTCACCAATGGATAATCAATTTTTCTTTGCCCTTTTCCTCATCAAATGTACAATTTTTTCCTCAGAATATCTTCACAGGATATTTTTGCAGCGATTTTGAGCTAAATGGAGAGTTTTTGTGGTGATTTTGTGGAATGGTGGAACGAAATAAAGTCCCTTCTTTGAGTTCTGGTTGCGTGTAGGTTCAGCTATCAATTTACCAATGGATAAATTATAATTAATTTTTCTCTACCCTTCCTCAAACTTGTTCAAACGTAAAATTTTTCCTCAGAATATCTTCACATGATGTCATTGCAGTAAAATTGACCCAAATGGATGGTATTTGTGGCGATTTTGTGGAATTCTATGGTGGAACAAAAAATTATTTCCTGTTAGGTTCAGATATCAACCGTCCGGCGATAAATATTTTCCGCGCCCGCTTCCGGCTAAAACGTAAAATTTTTCCTCAGAATATCTTCACACGATATTGTTACAGAAGTTTTGACCCAAATGGAGGGTATTTGTTACGATTTTGTGGAATGGTGGAACGAAATAAAGTCCCTTCCGAGAGTAAAGGGTTGAGCAAGTGGGGAGGGGGGCATACATAGCCACATAGTAACTGAGAGAATTTTTCACAAAAATTACATAACTTGGCTGTTAAACGTAAACAACGTGATAGAGAGAGATCGATAGTGTATCTACCGTATAATGTTTTCGGCATATCGCAGCAGTATCTCCGAGCAGTCGAGAAAAACCGACGACGGATTCGTCAGGAGCAGACGAATTGCAGACGGCTCGGTCGCCATTTTGGTGATGAAGCAACACGGTTCAGAAGAGACCCTGCAGTTTGGAGACAAACCGCCAGAGGCCACTGCTACACGGTCCATTGGCGGATAGTGTCAATACGTTTCACCGACGTCAGGGCGCTTCGCAGTCAAGAGAGCGCCTATTTCCAACTCTAACCAGAGACATTGTACATTGTACCTGTATAATGTCCTTGCTCTAACCCTGATCATAACTTCAATTCTAACCATAGCGATAACCAAAACAACGGCTAAAAACATGGGACGGCATAACATAACAGGAAATGTTGCTGTGAGTGACTTAATTTAGTATTTTGTACAAAGATTCATCACAAAGGCCAGTGTGCAACTGCTCTACTACAGTTACGTCATAGTTACGTCTGGCACAGGTAAATGTGACCCTGCAGTTTGGAGACAAATCGCCAGAGGCCACTGCTACACGGTCCATTGGCCAGGTTTCGTGCTGACGTTTCGCCGACGTCAGGACGTTTTGCAGTCAAGGGAACGACTATTTCATACCCTAACACTAATTAATTCTAACAATAGCGATAACCATAACAACTAAATTTCAGCTAAAAATATGGGACGGCAAACCATAACAGGAAACCGCAATTTCGGCGGCGTTTTCGGGAATGTTGCTACGAAGTGTATGGCTGAGTCAGCTGATACAGGCTATTACTTCATTTTAGATGATCTCACGGCCAAGCCTGTACAAGGCTATCAGTCCCCTTTGAGTCCCTTATGGTCAGTTAACATTCTATTCTTCTGAATTGCCTGTTCCTGGTGCTGACCTTGGTGCTGATCAAGAGGCCTGGAGCAGAGAAACCCTACAGAGGAGTGTGATAAATCGCTAGAGGTCGCTGGTGCATGGTCTAGTATTGTTGACCTCCAGTGCATGTGATTTTAATATGCAAATCGTATTTTCTACCACTGTACTGTTGTAATTCGCCTTGCAATTCGTCTGCGCGATTATATACGTTTTCATTCCGGTTTATGGTTTTCCCTTATGCTTGTCTGCTCTCTTTATAACTCGGTGCACGGAAGGTTGGTGGTCTTCAAATCCCGCTAAATACTCCAGAACACGACCGATATTATGCCGTACTGACATTAATTACAACCGGGCCGCCATGTTTGTTTACATGTTACTCTAGTCTCTTTTAGCATAAAAAAGGAGTTTCAAAGGAGTCTCAGATAGGGGATGATTGCGTACTGCACTTCTTCGTACTTCTGTTGTAGGACGATCAAGATCTCGTATATTGTCCAAAAGAAAATTAAAGTTGTAAGAATCAGAACAATATAAACTTACGAGCAAGAACAGGGGTGTGCAAGGGGTGATTGTTAGCGAAATATTCTACTATACCGGGATTCGGTAAATCTTTATATTAGCCCCTGGTGTCGAAACCTGGGAACGAGTCACTAACACATGTGGTTGCGTGATTGCGTCATGCCCCCCTCCCCCATAATAAGCTTTTACAGCGCGAAATTTGGAACTTTAACGTCCAAGTGTGGACAGCGCTCCTCGCCACTGACTAATATATACTTATGGCAACTATTAAATGGCTCACGAAAGACACGAATATCATAAAAGTTGTTCAAAACTACAACGCAAACGCACGCACGTCCACCTGTTCTGGAGTGCATATTTTATTGTCCTGCAATACCGATAAAAATTGATAGGTGCTTGTATGGCGTTTGATCCATGCGGTGCCAACTGGAGGGTGCACTTTTAACACGGATAGTATAGGGGTCGCTTTCAGCAACACCGTAACTGACGCCAGATTTTCGATGCTGGTAGTTCAGTTTGTTTGTTTGCTTGTTGTATTTTAGACCCTTTCCACAACTACCCTATCCTATACAACTGCCTGGTGGGGCCGTAGGAATTTTGTAGCCATCAAGATTTGATAGGAAAACGCTCAGAAAACTGGTGGCTTCGCTTGCTTGCTTGCTTGTTTGTTTGTTTGTTTGTTTTATAACATCTTCCATTATTGAACACTATTACTCGTTGATTTACACAGATATGGTGCCCCAAAAGTGACGCTAACAACCACACAGGACGACCATATTATCAAGAAAGTTGAGGTCAGGTAGCGTTCAGTTTGTCCGCTTTTATTCCTGTTTTTAATTTAGTTGTTCAATTAAAAGTGTCTCCTCCGGTTTACCGTACTCCAGATGGCCGTGTAACCCGAGCCGACGGGCCGCCTTGAAACCACGGCGGCGGATCGCTTTGAAGCTCCTCCTTTTGTTGTTGCGCTGTCACTCACGGGGCGGATGTTTGCCCGGCCTGAAAAACAACCGTAATTTCTCCTCTACGCCGTCCCCTCTCCACCTCCGCCGCGGATATGTGCGCGAAAAGGGCCATCGTTCGCCCCTACCATGGGTAAGAAAACTTCAGGTTCCCTCCCTTGCGTTTCAGGGGTAATTTTTGTCCTATTTTCACGGCGGAGCGATATGTTCTAGCCGGGGCATCTGTGGCGTTGGGTCCACCATGTCGACCGCCTGTGTTTTCATTCATTTTGGCTACAATGTTGCGACTTTTCAGCCGATCGCAGTGACAAGACCCCGTCCATGGCCGCTTTAGCGCTTCGGAGAAACCAAGGAGACTACTTGCAACCCAACTCGAGTTCCCAGGTACGTGTTTCCACCTTCCGATGGCCAGAGATCGGCTTGGAAATATTTTTCTCCGAGGCTCTTGCGTGGCCATGTGGTCGCGTTGTGTTGCAATGTTTGTGGGTGGGAGAAATACCAAAGCCCGCCCACTGTCCCACACTCTTGCACCAACTGCCCATTAACCCCCTGTTCCTCCCTCAAATATACATTTTTACCTCAGAATACCTTCCCACGATGTCCTTGCAGCGATTTTGAGCTAAATGGACGATTTTTGTGCGGCGATTTCGTGGAATGGTGGGACGAAAAGGGGTGTTAGTGCCCTCCCCCGGCCCCTGATTTGCCAAATTTTGGACCGTAAGCCCTCCCCCTCTCACCCCGCTCTCCCTTTCCTATAGCACCGCGAAAATTTAAAACCCGCTTCGGTCTGGGCCGGTCAGCCGCCCCGTGAGCAACACAGAACCTTTCCGGGGTGGGTTTTCACATAAAATTGTCCGATGTGTGACGCAGTGCCTATTTGTGGGTCTGGAATGGAAATATTTCTGTCAGAAAACAGACGAGAATTCGCCATCATTTGTCGGACAACGCCCGGTTATATATCCTCTATTCCACAACACATTTTGGGCATATTAGAGACTATTTTTACGTCCGAGGTATGGGTTACATCGTCTGAAAGTCAGACGATAATGGCCAAACACAAATGAGGCCTAACATACGGCCTAGTTAGGGGGAGAACCGTTACTGGTAGGGTCGGAGGGTAGGCTGGGATCTCCAAGCAGATGTTGCGATGAAAGATTTATTTCATTTGTTCCTCTTTTATTTTGTTGAAATTGCAACGGCAATACAAAGGCCACCCACACCTTCTGACATAATTAGACATTCACATTCATGTATTAAAATAACATCAAAAGCATAAATAACATTAAGCAAACCTCATATTTGTTCACAATAAGACCTGATGATTTATTTTCATACGATCTTTGACGCCATTAAAATACCAGTGATCGCTATGACGTCACAACCAGCGAGTTGTAGACAAAAAGCAGGTGACAGTTACTTTTTAAAGTTAGTTGATTTGCCTACTGATAATTTGCATACACCTCCAAATAATTTGCATGTAACAGTTACATGATGTAAACAAAAACAGCAATAGTTGTAAAGTTCAAGCTTTGTTCCAACGAAAGAAGGAAACTCACCATGAATTTTTGGTCGATCTTGTCAGATATGTGATGCACTCACTGACTCTTCTTGTGTTGGAACAAAGCTTGATCTTTACAACTATGGATTCTACCAACACAGATGAGCTTTCATTTGAAAAACAGCAATGTATAATTTTTTTCAGGATATCCAACCTTCCCCGCTCGCACTTCTGGCCGCCACGTGCAGCAAGATCGGTTCCCCCGCTGAGTTAGCTGCCGCGTCGTCCACGCCCGTGAAATACGCCGCCGGACAAGTCCCTGGCCAGATGATATATCCGCAGATTGTTCTAAACGATCAACAACAACAGCAGCAGCAGCAACAACAACAACAAGTTGTACTTCAACAGCAGCCAGCGATTAGTATACAAAACAACGGCTGGATTGTACATGTGACAAACGCAGGGACGAAGACAATCATGACGTCCAACACGATGAGCTCGGGAGATGTGACGACGACTACCACGTCTGTTCCTGCCACCAAAGGACAGGGAATCGTGCTAGGTTCTGCTATAATGCAGGGTGGTGTGCCTACGCAGTACGCCACTCTCGCTCTACCGATACAGAACCAAGGGTTGGTCCCAACTGCCGCCACAACACAAGGTCCGATCGCGTACAGCGTAATCCCCGCTGTTCAAACTGTCGACGGCCAAGCGGGGACCCAAATGTACACCCCGATATCGGAGAGTAACATTATCGCTGCCGCGGGAAGTATAGCACAGATCCGACCGGTCTTAGCGAGTCCCACAACTACGACTGCGTCCTCGGCGGCACAAGGGGTCACGGTACAGGTCCCAGTGGTTTCACCCGCTGCCATGGCAACGGCCAATCAGGTAGTGGCTTCCCAAGCGAAGGGGTCAACTTCTGGGAGTGAAACTGTCAACACTGTGCAGACACAGACCACCCCATTGACTGTACAATCGTTGCAAGGTTTGCAAAATTTACAGAATATACAGGTAAGAACTTTTATTTGTCATGATATACTCCTTATTTAATACCATACTACCTAGCCTAGAGAATGAATTTTTTTGCTTTACACATTGTACATGAATGTACAATCTTAGTAGGTTATTGTGTCATTGTACCTTTCTTTTTCTTGCAAAAGTTTTACTTTGCGTGAACTACTTTTGAAAATTCCGTAGTTTCATGTTGTATATTAGTTGGTTAGCCTTAACGGCATAGTCTTTCTGAACCTCCCCCCTTACTCTGCCCATCTTAGTACAGTATGTCCTTGCAGACTTCAAATTGGTTAATCAAGAAGTCTGGATGACATTAGCCATTCTCAGACTTGGTTTTCCTGTGTGTGTCTTTGTCTATCTTGTGTCTTATCTGTCTTCATTCTTCAACACTTTAGAAACGACCCTACTTTGTGTTTTTAATAATACATGTGACATTTACGAGTCTTCACCTTGTCATTGGTAGATTCAAGGACTCCAGAACGCGGCAGGCACGATAGTGCAGCCTGTTTTGTTGCGAGCACCAGGTGGAAATGCCAGCAATTGGGGCATGGTCCAGTTACAACAGCTACAACAGGTACTGAGGAGCTGTTGTGTTCTTAGCATTTTTCTTCTGCTGCCAGTGACCACTCTTGTCTGCTTGCTTGCTTGCTTGCCTCATGGCTAGAATTGTTTTCGGCACACAGTTTTGCAACTTGCAGTTACCAGTAGTATAAACAGTAGAAGCACAAGACTAGCGCAGCTCGTCTAAAATGTGATCTTATTCCGTAGCAGTGCCTGAGCTTTTCACATTCTGGCTGCTTTTCTTTTTCACTTATTCTGCTATTCTGCAATATGTCTGCCTTTTTTTCTGTCAGACCAAGGCAGACTTAGAGCCAAAGGCTCAGTTCTGCCTGAGCTGCAAACAACGCTTTCCTGCAGTTATAGTGTTACACATTCTTGGACACCTATCTTGACTAACAATTTTGTCTGTCTCTGAATGCTTTGAACTAGATCCACCCCATTTGGGTGGATGTGATGTTAAAAAGAAGCAATAAGAATAAGTCTAACTTCTCTAAGGATAGATCATACAAAAGAATGTTATTGTTATGAAACAGGATAGCCTGATATCTTTTGATTACATTTTGTAGGCCCATATAAAGCCCAGATTCAATGTTTGGGTTTGTATGTATTTAGTGTCAGCATGTGTTTAGTGTCTGCATGTGTTTAGTGTCTGCATGTGTTTAGTGTCTGCATGTGTTTAGTGTCTGCATGTGTTAAGAGTTGAGTTCAAACTGTATATAATGTTCTCTAGTACATGTTGCACACAGGCCAGTGCATAGCACTTACATCATTTTCACAACCAACAGGTGCAGAACATCCAGACATCACAGGGTACGACAACCTTACCTGCCGGACAAACGCTGATCGCTGCCGTCGCCAACAATGCAGCGATTCCCATCAACACTGGGACGACTGCACAGATCCCACCTATGTCTCCACAGACTATCAACGTGGGGGCCCTCAGTAATGCAGGTATTGTAGGTACGTTAAACACTTAACTTTTGGCCATTTGAAATAAGGAAAGGTCCCTAAAGCAAAGGGCTAGCCTGGGCGCTAGGCTGATGCTAGGAGCAGTATACTGTACAGCCTAGTTCCTCGGCTCAGAAAATTTTACCATAGACACCCCCTCAGATAGAAGCAACAGATGAATTAGACACCCATGCTAACTCTTGGATCAGGGCTTGTAGCTTTCCCCAGCCAAGGCTCCCAGGCTACTTGAGTCAAGGAAAAGTAAGGATCATTTTTATCCCCCAAAATAAGTTGACACAAAATATACCAACTATCACACAGTAGTTTATAAGACAGTACTTTACAAAACAGTTACTTACTTAGAAAATGTGATAAGTTTAGCTATAAATGGTTGGTTAGGCCTCGACATATTGTGAATGTTTTTATCTTTACAAATGCTTTTCTTTAGAATTCAGGATAACAAAGCTCTTATGCTCCCCATGTTGGAAAGATATATGGCAGCTAGTTCCCATCTGTATTCAACTCCAAAGGCAGAGTTGTAGCGTGTCCAACGCCTTTCAGGTTATATTTGTCGACCCCCCACTGTGCAGCCTTCTATAGAACCACGCTACTATTAGTGTTTTGGGTTGGAGCCATACGCTTTAGGACACAGATCGCTGAATCTGTTCATAGGGTCAAAAGAACCAGGAAAGGGTGAGAAGTGGAATAAAAGCCCTCAACGTGAGCTGAAAACCTTATTGTGCTGGGTTTCCGATGGCATAGTTAGTGTGAAGTGAAATTGACAGACTAGTTAGCCGTTCACCCTTCCTCCCCTTGTGACCTTTGGTTAGGCATTTGACCTGTAGGGTCAAAGGTTGAGGTTAAATGACAGACTTTAGTTTTACGTCACACCAGGATCATTTTTCAGTCGAATTAGGAGCAGGAGCATTTACTGCTATATTTGAAGGGGTTATATTTTCGGTTCAAACATTAGGATAATTTGTTAGATAACTCAAAAAGTTATGAAGGAATTTTGATGGTTTATTGGTGTTTGGTTGGCCTAGGCTCGAATAAGAAGTAATGGCATTTTTGGACAGTCTCTTTTGAAATAATCCATGAATGTTTTTTAAAGGAAATGTAGCACTCAGCAGTGAGTTGTGATGATGAAAAAAATTCTGGCTAGAAAACTGTGCTATCTCAAGTGGTCATCAAAACCAGACATAACTAAATAAACAAACCTGACGTGTACATGTATCTTCCAGCTGCCGGTCAGCAGACTAACCAGGAGGCCAGTGAGGCCTTGAAGATGGCTGTCCAGGCACAGAACCTGACCGCACAGAACCTGACCGCACAGAATCTGACCGCTCAGAACCTGACTGCTCAGAACCTGACTGTGAACCCAGCTCAAGTACAAGTACGAACACTTACATTTACTCCTGTATTCAGTATCACTAGAAGAGTTGTAGCAGTAAATATTGCTTGAATAACCTAGTACCTACCTACAGAACCTAGTCCTATGACAGTTGACTGTACAGGTAGAAGGGACATTTATAGAACGATTCATAATAGTTAACATAAGATCACAGGAACATCTGAAGCATTTCTATATATATTTTTGCAAAAGAGATCTGTCTTAAAAGCAGCAGTTATCAGTCTCTTGCCCTGGGGTGGTAGTGGGGGCTGTTTGCAGCTGAGCAAATTTCAGTTCTCAGAAATACCAGCACAATTTTACATGCATATAATCAGGTGGTATTTCTAGCCCTGATTCACATTTTTTTTGTTCTCCAGGTATCTCAGCAGCAGGTGAGCCAGTCTGGCCAGTCCAGTCCGGAGGAGTCTCCCCAGGGTCGGAGGTTACGGCGGGTCGCCTGTAGCTGTCCCAACTGTAGGGAGGGTGACGGAAGGTATGTTAGGCCCACTTTAGACTGGTAATGTTGTAATGATGTAATGTATCATCACTAGACTGTTTGAGCAAAGGGGCACCCTATGCTGTGACTTGGACCCCCTTTGCTGTAATTTAGCCCCCAACACTGTCTTTCAACCTTTTTGGGGAGATCCTTGTGACTCTTTATACATCTTTTAACAAATTAAAATTTGACTTTAGAATAAAGCTATAATGGGGAAAACATAATTTTACAAAATATTGAGGGAAAAATTTTGGAAATAGTGAATTCGAGACCCCTGACTATGGTCATGTCTTTGGGATTCACTGCACAACTTGTGCCTTGGAAAGTTGATCAAACAAGGGTTTTGAAAGTACATGTACGTGATCAAAATCATTTCTTGTCACCACAGAGGGAACGGAGACAGTAAGAAGAAGCAGCACATCTGCCACATCGCGGGGTGCGGTAAGGTGTACGGGAAGACGTCCCACCTGCGGGCTCACCTGCGCTGGCACACGGGCGAGCGACCCTTTGTCTGCAACTGGCTCTTCTGTGGGAAGAGGTTCACCCGGAGTGACGAGCTACAGAGGCACAGGAGAACTCACACAGGTATTCAGTTCCTTCAGTCACTCAATATTGTAAACTAGAGAAGTAACATTTGCAAAGCAAATGCATGATGTTTACCTTCAGACATGGTCTGCCCTGTTAATTTTTACTCAAACATATTAACATACATGTACTACTAGTATATGGTGACAGGAGCAGAGCAGACCATGAAATTGCAACATTATGTAACCCAACATCAGTCACCATGGTGACAGACGTCAACAAATCATGTCATTGGCCAGGTCAGAGGTTAATGTTTGGAGAAGAAGAAGAGGAAGAGGAAATTGAGTAAAAACAATATGTTTTCCTTCTGTAAACATAAATACACAGATAAATGGAGAAGTTATGATTTATAATGGGTTGTGCCGTAAGCCTTACCAATGGCACCAAAATACTATTATTGTGGATCTTGAAAAGTTCACAGTGATTTTGTTTTTGTGAACTCTCAAGCAAGAAGTGAATACACACTGGATGTGCATTTCTAGTCACTACTGTCTACAAAATTGTTTCAAACACTTACTCAAAGCACCGTGAAAACCTTATATACATATTCTATGTAATCATAGAATATTTTATAGCGAGAGAGACAAGTCTAGCTTTGTTTTAATTTTGAAGTTAGTAAAGCTGTATTATTTCCGCGCACTACTGTACTACAAAATTGTTTCAACTGCTTACTCAAAGCAACATAAAAGATGGCAATATTTTAGACAGAGAGAGATAGTTTTATTTTCTTTGCAATGTTAACAAAGCTGTTAACAATTTTCCCAGGGGAGAAGAGATTCACCTGTCCTGACTGCTCCAAGAAGTTCATGCGGAGCGACCACCTCTCCAAACACATCAAGACCCACCAGAACAAGAAGAACCAGCCACAGAATGGCACAGCAACTCCCACCATCAATACAAACAACAACAACAATGGCCAGGGAGGGCCGGGGGAGAACAGTCCGTCAGCAGAAGCCCTGGTCGTGGCAGACACATCCATGGATGCAGGGCAGGAGGAGGAGGATGATGATGATGAGGATGAGATGCATGTAGAAGAGGTACTGTAATTCCTGATTTTTTTCAATGTACTGTTATGTTCACTGTTTTCACTGTCACTTCTGTACCGTGAACTTATCATTACAGTTAACAAATAATCCTGGACTTTCTTTTTCCTGCACCTGCACTTATTTTTCTCAGACCGTGAACTTTTGCTACCGTCAACATAAAGTGAATTACAGTATTTGCTTGACTTACTTACTTAGACTTAGGGGCTCCAGTGTCTTACGACACAGGAGAAAGTCAGAGCGTTGCAGCATGCTCAGTCAGTGGCTAGTATCTCAGTCTTGTTCCAGTTCAGATTTACTGTTTTCAGGTCCCGTTCAATTGTTTTCAGGTTATCTTGGGCCAACTTCTGCATTTGTTTGAACTTTTGGTTTGTGTGTCTGTGTGAATAAAGATATGTGTGTATTCCAGCGTAATATTTTATTACCCTAAAATTCAAAATAAGAGTTTTAAAAATGACTAAATGTATGCAATTGTGGTTGTCTATCTAATTTTGTGGTTTGAATGGTCTTCCCTCTCTCTATTATTATTAAGCAGCACAAACTTAATTATTTTCCTTGCATTTCAGGAGCCCAAAGTGGACAACAGCCTCCCCATTGCAGCCCACCTCAACCTGACCAACATTCAGGTCAGTCAGCAGCTGGCCCAACACGGCGGGGTCAAAACACCCACCCTAACGACCCAGCCACAGGACCCAAAACAACGTGGGTTACAGCAGGTGACCCAGGTTAGAGTGCACCAAGTGTCCCAGGCTGGAGTGGCCCCTGCGCTACAAAGCACCACAGCTCTAGCCCAGGCTAGAGTCCAGCAGTTGATGAGTCAGGTGAGCTTACCCCAGGTTACCCAGGCAGCAGCAGCTCAGATGACCCAGGCTGGGTTAAGCCAACCCATCCAGCCTGGCACGCAGCAGGTGACTCAAGTATCCCAGGCTGGGACAGCACAACAACTCACCCAGGCTGGTGTGGCACACATCCACCAACCCACCCTGGCCCAGGTGGCTCAACTGCAGGGTGCAAACCCACAGGCAAACCAGGGGTTAACCCAGGTCACCCCTGCAATGCTACAACAAGCCGGGTTGCAGCAAGTTGCCCAGGGTGGGTTGCAGCAAGTGGGATTCCAACAGGTCCAGCAGGCTGGGTTACAGCAGGTGGGTCTCCAACAAGTCCAGCAACCCACCCAGGCGGCGACCCAGGCTATGCTTCAACAGGGTGCCGCCGCGGCCACCCAGGGGTTGATCCAGACGTCCCAGGGGTTGGTCCAGGCGTCCCAGGGGCTCCAGATCCAAGGGCAGCAGTTTGCACAGATGGTGCCGCAGACGTTGGGACTGCAGCAGCACGGAATCCCGCAGCAGGTCATTGCTGCACAAGGCGTGCCACAACAAGGCCTCATCCAGGCGACGAACCAGTTCGGCCAGATCATCACGCTTCCGCAGAGCGTTCTACAGAGTCTGTCCCAGCCGCTCATGCAGACCGTACTCCAACAAGCCAACCCCCAGGCCGCCTTCCAACATGGTATCACCCAGGGTTCCATCGCCCAGGTCATCGCCCAATCAGGGCAGGTCGTCTCCCAGCCGGTCAACCTCATGGGGCAACCTCTGACCCAGTTTGTCACCCAGCCAATCCAGAGCCAGGTCACAAACCAGTTCGGCCAGCCAATCGCGGGCCAGCTTACAACGAATTCTCTCGGACAGGTGGTCGGGAATCAGATAGCCGTGCAACAAGCGGCCGCGCAGTCGCAAAGTTCTACAGCTACTGTACAACAGACTGCAGTTTCACAGTCACAGCTTCCACAGCACCTGAATAGAATAACTGCTGGTGTAAAAGGAGAGGCTTCCGAGGCTTCTAAATGAGAGTCTATAGTAATGTAATGCACTTGTGACCAAATGTTGTTGTTAATCAGATTCATTGGATCTTTTATCCCAATGAAACTGTTAAATAAGAAGCACATGTTTTTTTAATGTGCTCATTGCTGCAATCATACAATTTTTTTTCTTTTTAGCTTGACAGATTCTCTTTTGCTTCACCTAATATTTTAGAAAATGATCACGCCCTCCCATATCAAAATGCTAGTAATGTTATGTATATATAGTCAATATATATTCCAAAATAAGGTCGCCCTACCACATAAAAAGTCCATTATTTTGTCATTTTGATAGAAAAGCATATTGATAGAAAGGCATAATCTTCATACTTTATACCAGCATAGTGGAGACTAGTTTCCTTAAGTGATAGAAAAATGTGGGATTTGGTAAGTTAATTGTACATGTACAACAAGGGTGCTAGGTGAAGATTGTCTTTGTGGGCTTGAATAAAGGGTTAATGCACTGCCCCGAGTTGTATATGGTGTCATAACTGCATGAGCAGCTGCCATAACCACCGAATAAACCACCGTGTGAGCGAAGCGAACGAGGTGGTTTATGAGGTGGTTATGGCAGCTGCCCATGCAGTTATGACACCATATACAACGAGGAAAAGGCAGTGCATTAAAATTATTATCATATAGCCTATCCAAACTGTCAATCAACACAATTCCTGTTTGAAATACAACAGCTTTAATATATATACATACATAAAAATACATTCGAATATATTATACGCTTTAAAACAAATATGGATAATTTCATTTAATGCAAATTGTAGTTTAAATGAAGCTAAACAAAAAAGTTTATTGGACAGAAAAATGCTACAAAGGTTTACAGAAAGAGTCGCATGCCCCTATACCCTATAACATAATGGTATCAGCCATAACACGACATGTGCTGTTATTCCGCCATAACACCACATGTGCTGTTATCGGGAAATAACAGCACGGGTATCCGGGCCTCTGATTGGTCCGCGCCGTCCGGCTATATGATAATAAACATAAGTGTAGTAGTATGCCAATGCCCAAACACCGTCACAAAACATTATCCTCTTGCAAAAATATTTTAAAGTGTAGAGTACCCAGTTGGAACATGGAATCCTGTTCCAGTGTAATTTAAAACATGGTCTTATGGCACGTACAGTACATGAAACTGCAGTGAATGTTATATATTTGTATCTTAGGTGCCGTCTTCGAAATGTGGGTGAAATTTAGTGCAGTTAAAGTAAAAGTCACCAGGTGGCACCACAAGACAAAATCACTGATGAAAAAGTTTAGTTGATAAACCAGGTTAATAAGTTATCACTGACAGTGTATAGAATGAATAATGTATGCCTTATGAGGGTCATGGAAAAAGATAACTCTAATATTGCATTTCTCTAGTATTTTCAGAACAAAAAATGAATGCAGTATTTATGGAGAGGACAGGTACATGTATGCACACCAAACTATGAAATGGCAGTATCTGAGAAGTACGTATCAGTCAGTATAATGTATTGATGCCTTAGCTTTTATGGTAAAGGGTGTGAGTTGAGACGTGCTAGGATTTTAAAAGGAACTTTTTGTGTTAATATTATACAGGACGGTCTGATACAACTTTCCTGTCATAAGAGGGTGACAATATTTGTGTTAGTAGTCTAAAGATTATTGATATTAATTGTTTTAGACAGGTTGACAGATCTAGTTGTAGCATACTAGTAATCCCATAAATTCACTTATAAAAGGCCTCTGTTCGGTTGTGGTGTTAGAAGTATTGATATTTAAAATGGGGACTGCACAACATAACTTCTACCGCACACAATTATAATAACTTTTGCCTGTTGGGAACCATTGAAAGAAGTCTCCAAGCAGATGTTTGGAGTGATGCAGTGATTTTTGTTCCTTTTGCTTTAGAAGCCAGGAAAAAAACTTGAATCTTCACTGTAGGTGCCTCACAGATTCTACAAATGTTTATCGGACAGGAAATGGCTAAATGTATCCCTTTTGCCCTATTTGTTTTTTGTTTGTTTGCTTCTGTGGTATTATATTTGTTGCTGTAGAAAACCTCGCCTTTCCCAGCTTTTTTTTTTTAATCTTGTCTCTGCTTTTGAATTCGGTACGTATGTGAAAATGTAGCAAGATTAATACTTGTAATGGGTGCTTTTGGTACAGCTATAGGAATATGTTATAGCCACTCGTACTAATAACTTGAATGGATTGTATGTGAATTTCTTTTTTAAGTTCTGTTTGTTGTATCTTTGACATCTCTTAAACTGTGCCCATGTTTTTTTCATATCAAACAGAACACACCAGAACAACATTGGTTAGTGTCTGGACAAAGAATATGTATGGAATTTAGGAAATACAGGCCTGGATTTTGTAACTTGGTGTAGAAATGGTAGTAAGTTGTTTAATATATGTGTGTGCATATTTATTATGGAATACTCTTGTGATGCCCTCTGTTTGTGAATCCATTGTACTAGTAACTAAATTGTAGGAAAATAAATGTGCTAAGTATCATTTGTATTAATTTTATTTTTTCCAATACGTCAACGAAGGTTAGACATCCAGACAATGAAAACTGTCAGACATTTCTGAAAAACATACTAGTATATGAACTTAACACCACTTACATATAGAAACAGCTCAACATTGGTATATCCAAGCAGATGTTGGTAGTGAGATTTCAACTTTGACAGAGATGGTAGTATTAAAGAATGTTTCATCACTCCTTCCCAACATCTGCTTGGAGGCTGTAGACTATCTTTTACGTGGAGGTACGTATACAATTACTGAAAAGGTTTAAATACTTTGGGGGGAATGTAGGCATTTAAATTTACAAAAAAACCTATTCTATAGTAGAGGAACGTAGTATAAGATGGAAGTAATCTCCAAGCAGATCCTATGGTGGCAAGGCTGTAACCATTGACCATTAGTCACCATAGGATCTGCTTGGAGATTACGTGAAGCCCTCATTATCAGTCGCTTCCATTCACTATGGCAAGACCTTATTTGTTTACATACAAAAAATTTTTTACAACTCCGTAACATAGCAAGCTACGCCCACGCGTTGTCTCTACACGCCCCTCCCACTGACCAGAAATGGACCCTCCCCGCCATTAAGGCTCCTCCCCAGTCTGTGCCAAGTCCGGGCGGCGACATCAAAGCCGCGCCGCTAACAAAGCGATATTACGGGCCAGGACGCTTGAACTGGGGCGACTAGAGTCAGCCCCCAGGCGGTGTCTTCAAAGAGGTGGCGGCCAGAGTACTGACGCCCCAAAAGGCGGGTCAACCTTGGAGGGTGGAGAGACAAAAACAAAGAAAACTTGAGGGTGGGGACATCTTGGTCGCACATGTTTTCGGGAGGGTAAAAATTGGTCGTGTTGGCTTCTGATTTTTCGCCAGAAGGGAAAATTGCAGAAAGAGAGCAGCCGTCTGCCTGTGTTTGGGTGCTTTGAGTGGCGCCACGGTGTTTCATGTGCGCTTGGGTCAATTTACAGGAATGATTTGCAGAATTACCGCACTTAGGGCACCCTCCTTAAGCGTACATTTCACCATATTTCTGCTACTTGAAGTATTTTTTCATGTTGTTGTGGTCCTAATTTACGTATAATGATATTTCATTAATCTTACTAGTAAAGGAAATTATCTATTGGTGTCAAGAAGGATAAAAGTGTCCACATTTCTTCCAGACACGTCTTGAAGTCATTCCTCCCGCTTGGGCATTCCTCGCAAAGCTGGTACCATTTAAACAGCGGCGAGATCTGAAGCAAGGGAGGCACAAAAGGCAAATTTCATTAGTTCGGGCGTGACCAACTACAAAGGGCCGCCTCTTTTCACCCCAGATCCCCTCTACTGGGCAAATCAAACCGTATTAGCGCTGAAAAGTGCGCCAGGGCCTTTAAAAGCCGCCCCGGTCTATTTTCCTTGGCCACTTGACGAGGGGAAAGGGCTGGGAGTACCTCAGGAATGGCCTCTCGTGGGGAATTAATAATTCCGGTGGAGGCCGGCGTTGCGTGTGAAACCGCGCCTTTCTGTCGACGCTGAGTAATGGCCGTCTGACAGGCCAATCCATCATTCCTTAGCGGTTTCGTGGGCAACGGGAGGCCGGTCTCCGGGGAGTCTACGGTAACCCGGAGGAGCCACTCGTACTCACAAGTGAACACAAATCAAACACTGATGCTCGCCCGCGCACCAATGAGCGAAAGTTAATTGCAAGATCTTGCCCGTAACATGAATACAAAAGATTGAAAATGGATAAGTGCAAGGGCATAATGGTCTTGTTGAGTGTTTGTAAACGTCCTTCTTCGCCATATCTGCTAGGAATCTGGAGATCAGTTATATTGTTGAAAATATAACGTTACATTGTATTTCCGGACCCGGATATGTTTGCCCCAGCCAGGCATCTAAACACAGCATTTTCTACAGATGGCCATAACATACGCCACTGCCAACATCTTATGAAAACGTTACGATTTTCCAACCCAACATCTGCTTGGAGATTGCGGGTCACCAAGAAGGTGAACTTCCTTGGGAAAAGCGCAAAGATTCATGGGCCCGGAAGTCCTTTGACACCCTGATGCCCTGCTGATGCCACACTGTACTGAAACCTGTTGGTCACCGTGATCTTGGTAGTGGCCTTCCCACTAACTTGTGACCAAAAAGACCTCCACCAAGTAATAGTAGATACAAAGGTTTGTTCTTCAGACACTTGTTTTTTTCAGTTCGTAAAGATCTTTATATGTTGTTGTTGTGCTGAATCACTAGATAATTTGTTAGCCTGTATTCCAGACCCACAGGATCCCAAGAAAAGGGAGGTGTGTTCAAAATACTTCAAGGTTTTTGAGCATCGAAACTTGTATGGTTTTCCAATAGCAATCAAGTTCTATAGAGGCTTTTCATTGACGTCATGATAATTACCATTTGAATCCCGGTGACCAGGTGTTGGCGGGTAAATTGATTAAGTAGCAGCATGTTGGCATGTTTTACAGACATCACTGTACTCCAACATGGCGCTAGTGAAAAGCCTGTATTAGGCCTCGTTCATGATTGAAATGTGTTCCGGTTTGGCCACGATCCGAATCGAAGCGGAATATATTTTTGCGTCCGTGATTCAAAACTTGAACCCACACTGGAAACGGTTTCACACCTCGAATTGACTTTCATTTCATATGTATATCACAATTTCTTTGAATATTTCCTGAGAACCCGGCTCGTAAGGCGGAGAGTTTACGCCTGTCCGGGCGAGTGGTCGCTCGTTCCCGACTCATGTCCTCCCCATGGCATAGGCTGTGCCCCGGACGCATCTAGCGCAAACCCCCACGGTCCGCCGCCCCAACGCCCCCGTTGGGCTACCACTCGCCCTTGCGCCCAGGGTAGGTTCTAGTACACACCATCCAGTTTCCTCTGGATCTCCTGATTTACCCAAGTCAATATCGGAACTCCTGTTTCCTCAGTCGACCAGTAATTAGAACTCGATGTCAAGTGTACGATTCAAGTAGAATTTTCGGCAGTACAAGCCACTGCGCCGCAAACTATGGCCGACCGTGGCCCCCACGTACCCGGGAGTACAGCGTCGAACCGGAACGATTCGCATCCGCGCGTTCATGATTACAATTCTACGAATGCGAATCGTATCGTATCGTTTCAGACCACCTCGCGAGGTGGTTCAGAATAAATCGCAACGGAACCGGTTTGGAGCGTTCATGTTCCTAAATGAATCGATTTATTTTTTTAAATCGAATTGATTCGCAACAGATATCCAATCATGAACGGGGCCTTAGTTGTAAGGGTTTGCGGAAAAGGCTGGCTGGCTAGCCAGCCCGGTCCGGAATACTAGTAGGTGGACTGGGGCCCTAAAAGGTGTGCAAGGAGTTTGGTCTCTAACAAATTTACTTGTCCTTACAGCTGTGGGTGGGCTGTTTATGGGTAGTGGGGTGGGTGGTAATGACTGCTATTAGCAACTCAACTATGAAAATTCAATTTACACATTAAAATATACTAGCAACTAGGGTTAATTAAAGCTCCTAAGATCATTTTTTATGTGTGCCATGAATAGGTTAAAGTATGGAGGGTCTGGAGGATGAACTGACATGTCCCGTGTGTTTGGAGTTGTTCACCTGCCCGCTACAACTGCCCTGTCACCACAACCTCTGCCGCAGGTAAGTCCTGGGTGTAGCAAGCCAGAATGTACCCTCTGTCAGAATGTCACCCCACTCCATTTGTCAAATTGATAGGGGAGATGTGATACGTGACTGACTATGGATTGATTAGTTCAAGAAATGTTTGAACAATATCCCGCTTACATTTCACCAAGTAGGTGAAAAAACCTCCATGCTATGAGTATGACCATGTAATTTTAACTCCATGGTATGACTGAAAGACAGGAGGACAAGACCTTTTGGAAAAAGGAGGGTCCTTCATAAACGATTACCTTATGTGCCATCCTTTTCACCATAACATATGCAGGTACCAGTGACACTCATACAAGTTATCACGTTTTTTTGTTAGCAGATGCAAATTATTGGTAGGCAAATGATATCACCCAACCACCACCCGCTTTTTGCATACCACTCGCTGGATGTGATGTCATGGCGATTGCTCGTATTTTACGGTAGTGAGCACATTCAAATGGGTCTTTTTCTGCAGGTGTGCAGAAGTTCTACTTCAGTCTGAGACAAACCCAAGCCAAGACGACGAGGAAGGGGCCACCTGCTCAGCTGCAGCTGCAGCCAGTCCTGAGAACACACCTGACAGCTTCCCCTGTCCAACGTGCCGGGAGGGAGTCAGCTTGAATGCCTCTGGTCTGGACGGACTGAGGAAGAATTTTCTCCTTCAAAATATAGTGGACAGGTGTGACAACTTACTAGTACATGTACTTCCTTTTAAAGAAGCTTTCAGTTGACTGTTGGTGGAGATTTGTGATGATAAAGAATTATTATAATATCGTATTGATTTATACTTCAAATTTATAATTACTATTAGTGGGTACTGACCCTTAGAAGTGGACTAGAGCACAACAAGAAGGGTAAAAAATCTGATCACTGATCACAGTATCATAATTATTTCTTCAATCTCATGAAGAATCAGTGTGTACATTTTTAAATCATTACAATTTGACAGATGTACATTTGTTTGATAATATGTATCTAGTTAGCCTGGGTACCCTCCGGATTTTGGCTCCACAATGCTCAAAAAAATTTTCGAGTGTTGCGGAGCCAAAATCCGGATGGTACCCAGGCTAATATCTATTACCAAACCCAGGTATTTGAGGCTAAAGGGTGATGGCAACACCAGACATGAGATCCCATGCCAACTCTGCAGGGAAACCCCACCTAGGATGGCTGCCAAAAGCTGCCTGGTTTGTAAGGTGTCATACTGTGAGCAGTGCCTGACTCTTACACACCCAGACTTCCCACCATTTTCTGAACACAAATTGGTCAGTCCAACAGCGTCTTTTAATGATGAGGTGAGTAAAGTAATTGCCTTTGTATGATTACGATTAGTTTATTGCAACTTCTTGCCTGAAGGCTAATAGCATATAAAAGATTATCAAACAAGGTAAAAGACCAGCTTGCTTGAATCATTTTTAACTCTACTTGAAGGACTATTTCTTTATTTTGGATAAGCTCTATCTCATAATGGGGATTTTTGACAAAGGAAAGTAAAAGAATATTAAAACAAGAATGCAGACTTAACAAAACTTTCTGTATCAGATACACATGCAGAAACGCCAAAAAGCAGTTACTCAAGCAACTGGATATGATTTTGAAAACGTCAAAAATAAATAATTTAAAATTTTATACTTTGATGCAGTGATGCATTTCATTCATTTTAAATGTTCACTGAATCAAAACCATTTGTACACTACGCCAAAAAGCAGTTACTCAAGCAACTGGATATGATTTTGAAAACGTCAGAAATAAATAATTTAAAATCTTATACTTTCGTCAGTGACTGAGAGACCAGAGGGGAAAGCAGGTTTATATACACAACCTGTTGATTGATATGCAAATAAAGTGAAGACAATTTTTTGGAAGTCGAAAAAGGAACAAAAGTCAGACAAGTCAAGACAAGAAGATGCAAATTAGTCTGAAAGCTCCTGTTATACAGAACAGGAGCTTGAGTGTTGTCTGTCCTCGGGGTTGGGAGTGCCAAATCCCAAGTGCCGGAAAGATCGACCCGTAGCCCCCCTTCCCTGTTGAGGGTGGGGTTGTACATTCTTTCATATATTGCCTCTTTAACACCCCGTTCCCACCACCACATGCAGAAAGTTTTATTAAGTCTGTACTTCTTGTTTGAAGTCTGTACTCTTGTTTGGTACTCAATGAGGTTTGCTTGATAGTAGAGGATTTTGGAAATTGACTCAAGTCCAGAGCAATTAGTAGCATAACATTCAGACAGCATAAAAGTTATTACAGTATTTCACTTCAATCTCCTTTTAGGAACCTCAGACCGTGATGTGCCCCGACCACCCCAGCAAACCAGTGGAGATGTACTGTGTGCAGGACCAGACTCCAGTGTGTCTACTGTGTGAGAAGGTGGGCAAACACAAGCAGCACAGCATGGCAGCCCTGGAGGAGGTGTTCTCGCAGAAACAGGCCGAGCTGCGGGCCTGGGTGGACCGCTTGGGCGCTAGGGTCACTCTGGAGGAAGCTAAGGTCCAGAAACTAGAAGGTAGACAAGGGCAGATCATGACCAGGTAAGATTGGATAAGTATATTTACCGAAGGAACACATATTGTTTTTGCTCAGTTTCCTCTTCTTCTCCAAACAGTGACCTCTGACCTGACTGAACCAGACTGTCTCACCGTGGTAACTGGTGTTGGGTTACATAATGTTGCAATTTTATAGTAGGAGGGATTTAGACTCCTGTTACCATATATTTGAAATGTGTTTGAGTAAGAATTAGCAGAGCAGACCATATGCGAAGGTAAAAAATTATGCATTTGTTTTGCAAATGTTACTTTTCTACTTCTAGACATATTTACAACTACACATGGTCATTACATTAGGGTCGGTGATTGGGACTGAGTTGGCATTCATGTCAAAAATGTAGCACCAGTCCAGCATAACATGCATGGCTTTTCCTATCTTTTACAGTGCACAAGAATTAAGGACTGAAATAGACAAACAATGTGAAAGCCTTGTGGAAGTCATTCAACATCGTAAGGCTGAATTGCACCGAAAGCTAGAGCAGACAAGACAACAGGACAGCAAGGACCTACAGAAAGTAATCAAACCTGCAACTGATGGTATACAGAAGGCACAAGCAGCATTGTCCTATTCCTTAGAAGTCCTGAAGGAAACCGACCATGCTAGCTTACTGCTCGCTCACCACTCATTGAAAGCTAAGATAGAAGGTACAATCAAGAGTTTGGGCAGTGACAGTGATGACAACTATGATGATGAACTTGCCTATGGCATTGATGAGTTAGAAATTGACTTCACACAGCGGAAGGAAGAGTTAGAAGCGTTAGAATTTGGAGCAATCCCTGATTCGCCTGTTATTGCAGATGAGGTGTGTTGTACTAGCTCAATGGAGGAAGCTTATATTGAATGGGAACCCGTTGAGGAAGCATGTGAATATGAGGTTTGTTATTCAGTTGGTGATGTTCAGATTGTTTCAACCCTAAAGGGTTGTTCATACTCAGCCACAAACCTGACTCCGGGAACGAAGTACAAGTTTGAAGTCGCTTCCAAAAACAAGGCAGGTCGGTCTTGTCCGAGCTCAATCGAGCTGGCGACAATGCCATTCAAATTCCAACTCGATCAGAACACAGCTTCCAGATATCTTTTAGTTTCAGAAGAAAACACCCAGGTTAGCAAGCTAGAAACACCAATACCTCTCCCTAAAGCATCGCTGACATCATCACGTTTTAATCCAGTAGGGGATGATGAGCAACACACAGTTCTTGGAGACAAATCAATCAAAAGAGGTCGACATTACTGGGAAGTTAGTGTGACAGGGGAATACAGCATCGGTGTGGCCTATGAAAGCATGCCCAGGGATGAGGATATTAGTAATACTGAGGAATCATGGGCATTTGATTATCTGGCAGATGGATGCATGTACCGTGTCATGGCTGATGGCCAGGTACTGTTTGAAAAACACATCAAACGACCGCTGTCGAAGATCGGTATCCTCGTTGACTATGATAAAAGCGAACTTTGCTTTATCAATGCAAAGAAGAAAACCGTCATTTTCCGCTACAAAAGAAAGGCTGGGTTTACCAAGCCACTCTATCCAGCATTCTCTCTGCATTCGGGTTCCCAAAAGATTCACAGTGGCATCGAGTGTCCACAGTAAAATTATATACTACTACAGTTGCCGTAATTATAATACAAATGTACCAATGTTAAGATGGTGCTTAGCCTTGGAAAGGGCTCAAGGTTATTATAGGCGATGGTGTCTTTTCTAGTTATGTGTTATCTTCTGTTCCAGTCACAGTTACCGGTATAACACTAACAGGTATAATTTATACTATAAATTTTGAAAGCAGTTTGTCTGATTAAATTTAGTTCATCCAAAACTGACCATCTTCAAATTATTTTGTACTTGATGAGTATTGTGATATTGTCAATGAGACCCATTCCATGTATGTCCAATGCATTTAGCAAATTAAAATTAATGTTCATATTTGTAACTTTAATCTTAAAAATCGTGTTACCTACATGTGATTTCAAATTCACAAATTAAAAGAAAGACATGACAAAATGATGGCCTTTTTTCTTTGTGTAATCATAATGTACAAGGTGTTACATGATCTTTGCTGGAATTGACTCTAGATTCTTAAACATTTCTTCTCTTTCTTGTATCACATTGTAGGTTATACTTGTCAGAAGCATAAAGTTTTAACCTTAAAAACCGAAGCATACAGAAACATAACTTTTGCAGTTATATCAATGGTGTGATGCTTAATTAGACAGCCTTGGTACAATCATTGGAAAACCACTTCTAGTTCTATAGCTTGCAGATTTCTTGCCAAACCTTGTATGTATGATAGAGACTATACAATGAAAATTCCTACATTGTAAGCAACTTCTTTTCTTGTTAGGGTACTGAATGTTAGTTCTCCTCCAACTGGCAATACATAATACAAATGTATATACTTTTATCATCATATCCATATCACTGGATAATTATCCATGGGGTGATTCCTAAATTCTTTTAACAGCTAATTTGTATATTTCAATGATGAGCCATGAACTAATCAAGAAAAAGCCAAACATAAAGTAAACTTTAAAACTTTAGCATTCTTTCCACCATTCCATAACTGATAGTATAACTTGTTAAGAAACCTTATGAGTGGTTAAGACAGAAATAGCATACAGTACATGACTGTAAAATAGAAGAATACAAATGAATCTACGGAATTTTTCATTCTTATTCATTCATAATCAGATCATAACTCAGTCATGTTTTGGTCATTCATAACTTGCTTATTACATACTATATCACCAGAATTACTTTTATCAGATAACCAGTAAATTGAACTGTACTTTATATAATATTATCTATATTTTCTATAACTATACAGGACGATCGCTGAGCACTTCTGTTTTACAATGTACATGTACATACATTCCAGTACAAGGAATGGCACCATCTCTAATAACCTGCAACCAGCTTTTAACTTTACCAACCAATGCACAACCGCGTGGCAGATCTAGAAATCTTTACCACCCAATATGTGAAGATACCATATTTTTCATAATATGTGAACTTAGCATATTTTCTGTAATAAATGCATACCTCTATCAAAACATGTAGCTTGTTGGGTACTTTTGAATGATCACCATTTTTAGCCCACCCAATCATAATACAGTATTTGTCACGCCATACTTACATGTACACAGGCCAAGTTCAAAATGAGCAGAGCACATATCAGAGAAAATAACAGTAAACGTAATCATGATGTTTCCTACACTGAAGTGCTACAACATTGCTTACCAACTTAGTAACACATGTATAAGATATTGTTTTGCGAGTTGTTTGAAGTTTTGAGATGCTTCCTATACAGTACGGATGTCGTTTAGGTTAGTGATGTTGACGAGATGCTCCCTAGTGCCTCTGTTCGTGCCAGTTGTTGTCCATCATGGCCAGAAGTTCCGGCACCACTCGGTTCAGGTCGTTGCCGTGTTTGTCCAGAAGTCGCTGGTTCAACTCCCGGTTGCCGAAGCCCATCTCGAAAAGCTGGTCCATGGGGGAGACACTGGTGGGAGGGGGCGGCCAGGAGGGGGCAGGGGGGGTGTAGTCCCGCTCAGGGGGGACATGCTGCTGAGGGGGGATGTATGGCTGGAAAAAACACAGGAATTATTGTTACAATATATGGCTAGAAGAAACACAGAAAAATCATTGCTAATTGATTTATCAGTCTATATCTACTTACTCCCCTTAATCTTTTCCAAATGTAATAGTTCTCTACAGTTTTTGTTTGGAAGAGACCACCAGGGATAGTGAGAGAGGGGGTGTTTAAAGGATGAGAATCTGGAATGTCCCCTACCTGATTCTGCCGACCACTGCTACCAAACAAGGCTGTGACAATGTTGGAGGCCACATTGATGGCGCCATTCACAACTGCACCTCCAAACTCAGCTGCAGACAACCTGTAGAATAGCATAGCAGATACAATATGTACTGTAAGCAAGTCTGGAGCTTGCATTTGTAGGTATAATTGGAGCTGTGTGTGCTGTCTTAACCTGCATCTAAGCTACCACTTTTTCAATTCCCAAACTTTCAAAGCGATGAGAGAACCATGAAGACTGTTATGGTAAAAGCAATACAAGAACACAATATGAAAACATTTGCAAGCCTCACAATTCACATCACAGGTTACAAACTAGCAAGAAGGTGTGCTGTTTCAAAGTAAGTCCTTTCAACTACTCTAAGAATACAGACTTTACTTGCGAACTCATTCCCAAAGGATAACTGCAAGATAACAGATACAATAACAAAAAGATGTCTATAGATTTGAGGTTTTTACGTAAATTTTTGGGCGTTTGACGCTATTAAAGGCTCCATATTTTGCTTGGCACTAGAAGAGGTGTAGACCTACCCGCGAGGTGTGGGAAAGACGTCCACGATCGGTCCGTCTGCGTGGAAGGTGGCGTGTGCACCGGCTCGGTCCGAAGCACGTCTGGCGTTGGTGTTGTTGTTCAGCTCGTTGTCAGCATTGGTGGAGTTCTGCTCTGTGGCATCAGTAGCTGTATAAAAAGTTGGTAAAAAGATTATTACAATAGTAAACAGCTAAGCTGCTGGTTTGACAGGTAAAATGAAGACTCGGGGCTTAAGATGCTTTTCTCTGCATTCCTGTAATGGTGCAGATAACATTGAAAGTTTTAGACAGGAGGGCATCAGAAATACCTGCACAGCCCCAATTTTACCTGCACTAAAGGTGCATATGGACCCAATATTTGAAGCCCTGAGACTGTACTAGTAATTAATTATTGGTATAGTGAAAGGTTTTTGTGTACCTATTTAATCTGTGAGCAGAGGGACATTTGCAAATCAATGCATGACACTTCTTTGCAAACATAAGACAAGTTTGCTTGTAGCTGACCAACAAGAGGTTCTCAACTCATCATCCAACTTCTAAAATACAAGAGTACAAGAACCATCAAATTTCTGGTGAAGGTTTTCCCTTACCAACATCCTCAGGTGGGTGTTTCACTACTGTATCTTCCAGGGTGCTGTCTGGTGTTTCATTTGAGTGATCGTCACTTGCTGCTGCTCCAATTGGGAGGTCATCTTCATCATCAGCTATCTCATTGGGTTCTTCAGCTACCAATCTGCTGTCTTCTTCCAGAGCTGGCATTTCATTGGACGTCACTTCGGCAGGTGTGTTTTCATTGGCTACTGGCTCAACCAATGAAACAACTCCTGATGGCTCTGGAATTTCTGTCAGGAAAGCAGCATCGTCATTGGACAAGGGCTCTGACTTCACCTGGATGACATCATCATCATCACCTGTCAGGTCTATAACCTGGATCTGATTGGCTGTTGGGGCTTGATTGACAGGTGCTGGTAAAGGTCGAAGGATGGGCTGGAATTCGTTCTTGTCCTGGATTCTGATGGTTCCATTTTCTGAAAAAGATCAATGACATGATATTGAATATAAAGGTTACTTCAAGTTCAAGTCCTTTGAATACAAATCAAAAAGATACATGTACCAACAGCAGCAAAAGGTGCAACCGGGTAACAAATAAAAAAATTATGACCAATACAAGTGCATATTTATATGACCAATACAAGTGCAACTGAGACAGCTAATTTTTCTGGGACTTGTTCATATGCCTGGAGAACATGTCAGGTTGTCTGCTCTCTCTACATATCATCTCATGGTAGACGCAAACAACAGCCTACCATTTATTTACAGCAAGTCCAACATCTCTTGGGAGATATAAAAAAACTAACTCTCTCTGACATTGCTAGCAACAAGGGGAAGGGGAGGGAGCTTGCAGTCACCCTGTGCAGCAGCTGACCCATGATGATGAATGGGTTTGCGGAAAATCCTGGCTACCTTTCAGGCCGGGCTACCCGGCCAGTCCACTAGGCCAGGCTAGCATGTCAGGCTACTCAGATCCCCCCATTCATATCCTAAACTAAGTACCTTGTACTATCTCCGGTGTGGAGCATCTTGAGTCCACGTTGTCAGCAGTTTCCAGTGGCCCGTCGGTTTGAATGGCTACGTCAGTGTTAGAGGACAGACTACAGGAGCTGTCCAGCGGGATCTCAGGGTTGAAGCAGTCAGGCATCGGAACCACGATGTAGTCCTCTGAGTCCACCGTGCTGTCTGATGATTGGCTGCTGGTCTCCTCATCTATTGGTTCTACAGGAAAAAAACAAGAAAGTCAACCCCGTTTATTTTCAATACCGATCATGACTGTAATAATTGCTAATATATTATGAGTATAAAGAAGCAACTACGGTATTTTGCATCCATTTCCAACAAATAACTTACAAACTATAGCCAAAAACAAGTTCCTAACTCCCTTTCATACTAGCTAAACTATACATGTAGCTAGTAGTAGTATAGCTCCAAAACATCGGTAGACAAAAAAAAAAAGAGAAAAGCTATAGCATCAAGTTATGCAAAAAGTTTAGCTCACATTGCTTTACAAAGGCAGAGACTACTACAATTAAATAATATGATTAGTGCCCTAAGTTGACTGAAAGTCAAATGATTTGAAGCCACTTTGGGAATTAACATTAAGTCTTGTTGGAACAGCGCTGACCTTTCTTGACCTCCACGACGGCCATTCTATTTTCCACCAGCACCCCCTCCTCCATCTGTGCCACCTCAGCAGCGGCAGCACTCGCGCTCTCCTTTCCATCCACAACCACCTCGTTGATCACTTCAACCACGCTGGTCTGTGATTGGCCAGAACTGTTCTGCTTGAAGAGCAGGTCCTCTTCAATACAAGGCAGTGGGGAAATTCTGGGTGTCATGTCTGTGTGGGAGAAAAAGGGAAGGGTTCAAACATTTAAGTTTAAGAAACTGAAACTTACCACTCATTCTCAGCGTAAGTGAGGGTGACATCTGTATAATCTTTTTCTATTCTTCTAATAGTTTTTTGTTACAGTATAATTGTAATTCCCTTCCAATAGGATATGTATATAATCTCAACAGACCAAAGTAGTAAGTACTATCCAGTATTTTTTGTGAAAATTGTTCTATGATGTCTACTGACCAATTGGAGTGTTGCTCTGTTCATCACAATATCTACAGTAACTGACAAATCAGAATGTTGCTGGGTACACTATGATTTGTCCAATAGAAGAGTTTGTTGGGTACATCATATTATCTCCCGACCAATCAGAATGTTGTTGTGTACATAATGGTGTAAACTGACCAATAGGAGTGTAGCTGGGTACATAATGATGTAAACTGGCCAATCAGAATGTTGCTAGGTACATAATATCATCATATTATGTAAACTGACCAATAGGAGTGTTGTTGGGTACATTGTCCACCTCTCTGCCCTCCCCGACATCTAACATCTCGAATGACAGCAGGTCCTGAGCTGTGAGGATGTCCACAGCACTGATCAGAGTACTGCAGTCAGACGGGGGCGTCTTCAGACGAGCCACTGCTGCTATAGCAGCCTGGGTTGCATCAGCAAAGTCTGCAACAAGAAAAGAATTGTACCCTACATTACAGAGTCTGACATGATTTGGGGAAATTTTGACAAGACCAAGTTATTTTAGTGGTGTCTATGTGTGATAGTCTGCAGTACCTGGCTGTATTACACCAAATGATCTAAGGCTGTATTGCTAAGACCAATCAGATATTGACAGAAAGATACATGCTTTGAGAGTATAAATTATTGCTGTTTCTTCCCTGCAAGGCATGACAGAAAGGTTAAGTCTCTATGAGCTTGAGGTGCAGTTTTTGTGTAATACAAGCCCACAGATACACACATACTGTACACACAAATATACACAAACACACGTTCCCACCTGCATGGTCTTGGTCCTCAGACTTGTCCCCATCCTCTGCCTTCTGGCTATCAGACTCCCCTGCTTTAGCAGTGGACTCTTCCTGCTCTGTTTCCTGATTGGCTGGTGGTGATGATGTAATCTTCATGTTCTGGACCATGTTGGCAGCCTCTAGTACTGGCTCCAGGATCTAGATAAAGGTATCATGATTTTAGATCAGACTATGATAAACATTGGCTAGTAGGCAAGCTTCAGGGATCATTTTAGATTTTCAATTGCTGACATAATTGGCCCATAAGGTCACACAACGCACATCATTCAATCTGGATGAAGGCCGCAGTAGGACAGCAGAAAATTCTGTGAGACTTCTTTGTAGTGTTGAAATGCAAGTACAGGCTAACTGCAGGTAGACATCACAAATACCTGACTGTACAGACCCAATTTTACCTGCACAAACCTGCATATACCCAGTTCATGGACCAGTGCAGGTTAGGTGCAGGTAGACATCAGAAATACCAGCACTGCTTCAGTTTTACTTGCACTAACCTGCAAAAATACGGGTGGGATTCCCTATACTTACCTCAGGTTGGTCGACTACGATGGAGCACCAGACGCGATGTCCAAAGGTGAGTCCATGGTGCATGAGTCTCCAGTGGGACTGGTACTCCCCGGGCTGGTCGGGTGCCTGGAACTCCACACTGATGGTTCCCTCCTCCTGGGGCTGGAGGAACGGCACAGACACCTCGCTGGGGGAGACAACCGTGATGGTTCCCCACATCAGGGTCAGCTGTAGGGGGAACAAACAACACAGGAAGGTTTAAGTACAGGGAGAAACTACATTTTGTTCTATGATGGTTCCCCACATCAGTGTCAGCTGTAAGAACAATCACAGGAAGGGTTATTAATAAGTACTGATACTTCACTGGGAGAGACAACTGTGATGGTCCCCTACATCAGGGTTAGTTAGAGGAGAACAAACAGAATTAGGTTTAGGTAATGGGAAAGACAGACACATGGTTCTATGTCACATGCAGTTATATTATGTTCTTTGTAAACTGGCACAATCTCATTTTTGTATACAATACTAGTGAAGAACTGGCTGCTCACATAATTATATTGCTTTAAAGACTTGTGTTTTGTGAATTGTCTTACACCGGAGTGAGTTTACTGTAATCTCCAAGCAGGTTCTGTGGGGCAAAAGCAGTCTATATTGGCTGCCCCACACAGCCAATGGTTACAGGAGGCCAGTGGACATCGGCAGCCAATGTAGACTCCCCTTGCCCCACAAAAATTCTGCTTGGAGATAAAGTTCCCTGAACTCCTCCATTCTGTGACTAGGGAAGTTGTGCTGAAGTGGTAAAGCTGGGTAGTGGCAAAAGGGTTCATAACAGCAGTAAGGCTGAATCTGAGTGTACAAACGTGTGTCTGACCTTAGTGTTGGATGTCCAGTTGCCGGCCCCCTCGTTGCGCATGACCCAGTGCTTGGTGAATTTGGTCCCAGGCTGGACGTGAGTCCCGTCTCCCATGTTGCCGTCACAGACAAACACAGCGTCCATGTGGCTAGAAACAACACACATCACAAATAAGCCCTGGACTGGACCAAAAAGTCATGAGTTCTAATCCCAACTGTGTCAAGACTTGCATATTACATTGTATATATAATCAGGGGTTGAAATCCTTTTTTCTGCACACCTGCACTGGTACAGGAAACATTGAAAATTACCTGCAACACTCAGAAGTTAGGAAGTATGGATCACACTAAAACTGTACAGAAACCATTGCGTTATTTTTTTGGCCAGTACTTCAAGCCCTGTAGTTTCAATGTTAATGACCTGCTTTTCCCTTGTCTGGTCCTGTACCCAAACCTCCACACCTGTACCTGATGCTATGTTTTGGTCCACAGCCTTGTCCCTACACTAGTGTTTGTCTTACCTTGTGATTTTGGGTGCCTGTACAGGAGGTGGAGGGGGCAGGGGGCGGTACACAGGGTCACTCGTTCCCTCACTGCTGCCACTGCTGCTCCGGCCCCACTTCCTGTACAGGGAACAACAAAGTCAAGGTCAACATCATGTTCACAGTCTTTACAGTCTTTAAAACATTTTACTACGGTACCACTTATGCTATGATTTCATTCCATTTATGCTATGACTTCAAAATTTCATCCCAATATAATCTTGACAGCCATCATGAAGAGGACCAGAGGTCAAAGCTTTGTGTTAAAAAACTTTTTCAATTTTTCAAAGCCATAGTCACTTGGAAATGTGATGGGAAGATTAGCCGACTGCTACCCACTCATGTTAGGAACCCCCGCAACAGTATGATTAAAGACTGGATACTTAGTCTACTACTATATTTTCATCAGCTCTACCCACCTGTAAGCCATGAGGGGTAACCCTGCTTCCAGACGCCTCTTCTGTTCTTCCTTCAGCTTCTTACGCTCCTCCTTAAGGCGCTGCCGCTCCTCCTTGAGCTTGCGTCTCTCCTCCTTCAACTCCTTGACTTTCATCTCCTTGATCTTCTTGCACTCCTCCCGCACGCGTGCCTCGTGCACGGGTTTGGCCGGAGATGTGACGGCTGTCTCTCTGGTTTCACTTGCAGGCTTGGGGCTCGCCACTGAGGTGTCACTGAAGGGAACAATAAGTAAAAGGTTGCTATATTTTACATTACAAAACAGTCCTTTCTAAATAGCTAGAGGTGCATCATGCATGATGCTTTTACATTTGGCTATACAGATACAGATACATTCTAGGAAGTAAAGCCTAGCACAGAAAATACAGGGAAATTAAGCAACCCTGTCAAAAAAGTTCTAAAAAGATAAGCCTAGCCAAGACAAAGGCAGAAGCAATGGTTTTGCAACTCTAACAATGTGTAAATAAGGTATTGTAATGTTATGTACTAATCATAATGTGTTATCTAACTATGCACACATGTTACAAATGTGCAAAAAACATTAAAGGAAACAAGGGAAATCGTAGATTTCAAACCTCCGGGTTTTTTTTCTCTATTGGTTTAGGTTATTTGTTTGTGTGTAGTATGAAAGTTATGTGCGTAATATGTTTGTATGCCGGTTTGATGGCTACTGACGGTTGGTTCGGTATGGACTGTTGATTAACGCAGTGTTCGAAATACTTTTTTGAGCAAAGTAGCACAGTGTGCTACCTAGGGCAAAAACTAGGTAGCGCAGCAGAATTTTAGGTAGCGCCAGCCCACCCCCCACTTGTCAAATTCTATGCACGTGTCGCAATACTATATTTCTTCCAATCATAGAGGTATAATACCTCCATGCTCTAATAAAGTTACTATTTTTGAGGTTTCAACTCTGAAGTAGGAGCTCTGGGTCGAAGCCAAATTACGGGTGCGTGATTTATTCTGGTTTTCTACTGAGAAAAATCGGGACAGTATTTGCGCCGGGCAGCCGGCCATGTACGCGAAATGGTACGCCCAGTATAGCAGCGATCTATTCATGTTTTATGTTTACAATTGTGCAAATTTTTTTACAGAAATTTGATCACATATGCTTAAAAATATTGTTATACTGATGTTAAAAAATATTTTAAGACACTGAATCGCTGGCTGTGATGTGCAGCAGTGTACGTACGCCGCGTAGCGTGCCAGACATTGGCCGTGCAAGCCTATAGAATGCCCCACTTGCGACATAAATTTCTGAGGCTTATCGTGCGCATCGTGCGTATCCACAATTATTCCCATCGTAAACATAGTCACTGGGATCTGAAATGCATACATACAGGATAATTTCCCTTCTTCAGCGGGAGTTTTGTTTATGTTTTGATCGTCCACGTCAAACTGCCACGCTGGTCTACGCTGCGCGCTGGTCTCGGCTGCACTTCCGGGTTCCATAAATCGACACCATAAATCGACAAAGAAACAAACAAATATTTCCCCCCAAATTTATATTAATTGTGCATTCACTATGTGCTCTCCTCGACTTTTTCACTAGATGTGGCTATGCAGTCCTGGAAAACAGCGTTTAGTGCATATTTTCAAACAGAAAAATCGCGTCCCCGCGCCCTTCATGTTGCCGCCCGGCGATCTCAGCTGAAGCGAACAACCAATCAGAGACGCGTAACGCGGATACGTCATGCAAGATTTGCATACCGCCCGCCCACCGCTTCTGCTGGCTGCTGCCATGCTAGCTACGCGCCGTACTTGAAATAAATTGACGTGTATCGCCGTATTTCTGGAAATAAATGCCGCGACACGAAGATCTAGCGCTGACTCGGCTTGCACCCAGCGTTCAGCGTCACCCGCGCCATTACCCCCGCCGTCATCCCGCGCCGTCATTGCTGCGCCGTCACCCAACGTTTTTATCGGAACCAGACACCCCTCTGTTTGACCCCTTTTGAATGGTAAGACCCAAAACTGAAACCTCCCCATTCCTTAACAACTTGGTAAATTCCATTTTCAGCATGGCGGGGGTGTCCGGAGCACTTAAAAACCTTTTATTTCGACGCCCATAAACACATATGCAATTAAACAAAAACGTTCTGCATCATCTGCAGCCCAACAGCAATACGTATACCGAACCACAGACAAATCCGTCCAGCCGATCGCGAGAAACAGCTGCTGACAGAAATGTTTCGAACAATAGTAAAACCTCCTCGCGGAAGGATATCTCCTTCCCCGGAGGTAAAAATGAAGCTTATACATGTAGCTAGTAAGTAGTACTAGAAGTGCAATGCTGCTTTACTACAGTTGCGTTTTCAGACACTTAAATTTCTATGCTAACCTCTGTGCGGTCTTTTCTGTTTCCTCCCCGTACAGAGAGTTCTTGAGTAGCGGCACCATCTTGCCATTCTTGCGGCCTGCACCGAAGGCCGGGGTTCTCATTTTCAGGAACACGTGAGCGGGATTATGCTCATGGGTCTGCTCACAACCCTCACACAGGTCATAATCACTGCAGTTCCTGTAGGAATGAGTTAAGTATATATGCTTAGTTTAAGGCAGTAGCTATGTGGTTAGCTATAGACTGTTCTAAGCATATTGAAGAGACTATTGAAGTTGTTGGACAGTCTTGAGTCTGCACTGCAGCTGTTTGCATGCATGGATTGCTAGTTCACCCGATTTCCAAAATACTTCTTTACCATTATTGCTTAAGAACTATTGTGGCATTCACATCTGATGAAGAATCCAATGTTATTATACTGTACATAGTAGTCCTCACACTAGCGCGTACTGCTATAGTAACGCCTGTTGTAGCCTATCGGTTATACATAGCATTCCACACACAGTTTTATATTGGTCATACTTACGCGCACTTGTAGCGTACGCCAACAATGATCTGTTCACACTGGTCACAGATGATTCCTGCATGCACATAGGCAGCAGAGCCTGGGGGAAAAATAAAATCACAATGAAGTATGAAAAAGCTTCATATCGATGTGAACTTTTCCTTTAGCAAAAATACATGTACATGATACATGGACAATGCATTCTACAAGTACTACAATGTTTTAAGAACTGCTGTGACGATGCAAGACCTGCCCATTACAAAAAAGTGCCTGAGTTTGTGATACACCTACCATCTGTTTGCACATTTACAGGCACTGGGACAGCTGTGCCTGGGACAGGAGGAGGGGATGAGGGGGCCTCGATGCTCCCCGGGGACGAGTTGGTCTCCTTGATGCTCCTCAGAACTTCCATTGTGATCTCCTTCCCAGTTTCCTCTTTGAACTGGAAAAAGGTAAAGATAGATGAATAAGGTGAATACATGATGAAAAAATTACTGGTAAAGTTACACTAGTAAAATTACTGTTCTCCAACTCAAAAGGAATTTTCGACCAAATCTCTTGGTCTTCATCCAAAAAAATCACACCACAAAGCACTTGGGTCAGATAGCTGATGAAAGGTACCTGCACCAGACAGTTTTTAGCATTTGGTAACAGTAAATGCTGCAAAGAAAAAAATCACCATTCACCTACATGTACTGAACATATAAACATATCACATGGACCAGAGCAGGTTATATTGTAGGTGCAGGTAGACAATTATCAGAAATACCTGCATAACCTCAATTTTACCTGCACTAAGGTGCATATGCTATCATAATCATAAGACCTGGTAGCCCCATCTCTGAATAACTATTAAATCTCACCTCCTTCATGAAGTCCACAAACCACTTGGGCGGCTTCTCAGTGTCAGGCAGGCTCTGGGAGCGCATCAGGCAGCGCGCCACATGCATCCTCCCATCTGCTTGGTCCGACTGGGGATTACAAGGCAAAGACTAGATTTAGCTATAGGTATAATGATATTTTAGTGTTATATATTTATAGGTTTATCACTGACCTACAGTCACCATGGGTAGACTAAGAAAGACTTAGTTGGAATGTGTCAAGAAGGACATTAGAGAGTGCATCTTGCCCAAAATACAAACAGACTAGGTATCCTATGTTACCCCCAAATGCTATGATAGGAGCCATGAAGGCAACATACTATGCTGGATTATGATTAAGACTTTTAATCAAACCACAGCATTAATTGATAGATAGAAAAACTGTAACAACTATAGGAAGACAAGGACTTTCCTCAACTGCTGGGGCCAAAATAAGAGCATTTTTGGAGTTGATTATGAATTCAAAACTTTTTTGGGCAAATCTGAAAAAAAAAAATGAAGCAGCAAATCCAAGAACTAATTGGTGTTGCCTAAACTTTGCCAAAAACCAGTCCATGAAAACCACCTACCGTATCACCGACCTGTGGACCGATCATGGCAGCCATCTTGGCGGCCCGTGTGGCGCCCATGCTCTCGGCCAGGCTGGCGTAGTAACTCTTGGCTTTGCGCTTGCAGACGCGGGACCTGGGGATGTCTGACTTGGATTGGCGGGGGAGGCTGGACACAGAGGGCAGCACATCCTGGTACGAGGTAAAAGGATTAGTCTAAGATGTCATTTGCATAATTAACGAGCAAACCCTACACTGTTATTCTTACATGTCACTCAAGCAATCATGTCCATGTCAGTTTATAAAAAATGTGTTGGGTTTAAAGGACAAAATAGTCCTAAATATTTCCTGGTGGAGACAAGATCGGTCATCAAACATTTGTCACAGTGCTTTGTATGATTCTAATGGTGCAAAAATTGTATGTATGCAGAAAAAACTGCTAATCCTACATGTTACCTTTCTGAAATGAACAGCAAAATATGTATACCACAGTGGTAAAGGTAGACAACTATAACTCAAATAACATCTATCTGTACATATCATTAGCAAAGATTTTTTGTACCCCAGTCTTATATACATTACCTGTCCAAGCAGGGCTACATCAGGCAGTTTTTCCAGCTCCTCAGGGGTCTTGCTGTAGGTGTGGTCCGTCACGGTGATGTCTGGTGTCACAGTGTCCATCAGTAAAGGCTGGGACGGCCCCGATAGCAGCTGGTACGGGGTTCTGTTCCCACTTTTACCCTGATGGTTAAGAACAAGAAAATACCTTCTTGTAACATTGGTAACATAAAGTAATGTCAGATGAAATTGAGAGGAAAACATTGTCAACATCAACTTTTTCAGTTGCTAGCTTTCTTGCATGTCATTATGGGCCTTCGTACTGTAATAAAATTATTACCAGCTTGGAAAAGGTGGGTAATTATGCTCTCTCATATTGTTGTTTGGGATGTGTTTGGTACAGCTTTCTTACCATATCATTGTGGGTCTTGTTGCTTTGGGCTTTGGTACTTATACCCATCTTGTTCTGTACCAGCATGAAAGGCAGGCAATGCCCTCTCATATTGTTCCTCTGGGCTTTCGTACTTACACCCACCTTGATCGGTACCAGCATGGAAAAGGCACTGCTTGCAATGCCCTCTCATATTGTAGCTCTGGGCCTTTGTACATACACCCACCTTGTTCCTAGTCTTGTCAGCCTGCGGTTGCTCCTCGATAGGTTTGGGAAATTCGCTCAGCTTGGTTGGCTCGTCTGTCACGAGGACTAGCTCGGGGACTGGCGGAGGCGTCTCGGGAACGGACGACACTTCCGATGTCGAGCCGTCGTCACGGCAGATGCTGTTTTCGGGCGGCGTACGTGGAGACTCCACCACTTGCACGGACAGAACATCGTTCCCATTACGGGTGCACTTCAGAGCTTCCTCCAACTCAGCTGCAAGGGAATATGGAACATGTTGACATGTGACTTATCAAGCATATACAATTAGTATTAACGTTTTGCAACATGCTTATAGCAACTGAAAGTTAATGCAACAGAAAAATTGTCAGATGACTCACCTTGGCTGTTAATGCACACCTGCAAAAACAAAGAAAAGATTCAAATTAGTTGAGTCACAGATCACATACGTATTTGTTATGTACTGTTAAATGACACCAAGCCTTATATACATTTGTATATAAATCCAAGTGCATTTTTTTTTTTAATCCAGTGGTTTAAAAATTGAAAGCATTTGAATCAAAACAGTCTGCTAGGTCAAATTCTTATCTGATCTGATAGGTGTAGGAGTACTGTAAATTCACTTCACTTTAAAGTTTGAGGGGGCTTCATGAGTGTAGTAATAACTAAAAATGAAGCATTTGTGCCATTTCAGTTTGAGGTAAGGACAGAAAATCTGTATTGTTCATGGCGTCATTGATGATTTCGTGGCAGCAGAATAGTCATCAACAAACAACAAACATAGACCCACCCAAAAATATTTTCGAGATTTACAGTATAAAGCATGATGTCATCAGATCATGACTCACTGTCATGTATTTTTTGTCTATACTGGTGACAAACAGAACAAACCAGTTCAGGTAGACATCAGAAATACCTGCATAGCTCCAATTTTACCTGCACTAACTAACCTGCATATACTCAGTACATGGATCAGTGCAGGTAGACATCAGAAAAACCTGCACAGCTCCAATTTTACCTGTATTAACTAACCTGCATATACAGGTGACATAAGCTTTGAACACAGGTATGCAAAGCTATGCAACGCTTGGATGGTTAATGCTGAATTCTAAGCACATACACAGACAAAATCAAATTTTTGCCACCGCTTTCTAAAAAATTCCAATCAGTTTGCCGCCCTATGAAAGGCATACCAGTAATATTTCTAAAGCTACAGGGAACGAGTGAGTCTGTCTTGTTTCCGTCTTGACTCATAGTCAATAAACTGTGAGTGTGAGTGTTACTAGTATGAGGTCCCAATAAGTAAACACAATTTATATAATACAGTAAATTAATTTTTTTGTGGGGACATAATTTTGCATTGGAGCAGAAAAGGAGGTTACTGTAGTTTTTAACTGTAATGCAATTTAGGATGAGCAGGGCTCGAACTTAACTTTTTTCCCTACTGTCCCAGAACTGTCCCAAAAATAAATTCCAACTGTCCCAAAGTGAGGATTGACTGTCCCAAACTGGTTTTCAGGAAGTATGTATTACAACAACAATAAAGCTGAGTCAGAGAACAGTATTGCTGTGTAAGCTAATTGTCAATTGAAATAAACACAAAATCAACTCAAATTGAAACTTGCCTTGGCTGGTTTATTGTGCCGACAAATGTAACAAAGACAAGCCAAAGTTCTTTTCAAACTTTCTTTCCATTTTCTTTCCTTCCACTTGTTATGTGTAGGCTACAGCAAGTGGCCCCTGTAAAGTGTGCATACTGCATGCTGCACACTGCAGTACTATATTATACTGCATGTAGGGGTGGGTACCTGTTCGGCTCTTTCAGGTCCAGGTCCAGGTCCAGGTCCAGAGGATCAGGTCCAGGTCCGGACCTGTACCTGTACCTGATTCTGGATACCGGAGTATCAGTACCAAATAATTTTTGCTAAATGATCATTGCTAAATGCTTAATGTATAAGTAACCACTACAAAATTTTTTTATTTATTTTTTTTAAATTTTTTAAAATCTATCTTTTTTTAAATTTATTTTTTATTTTATTTTATCCTATTTTAATTTTATCTTATCCTATTTTATCCGTTCTATACATTATCAAGCTTCTCCTCTTGTCCTACATGTCCTATGGCTACTAAACCTCAGAACCGAATATATTAATACATTAAACTTCCCAACCAATCACATCGCAGGATTTTGTGCATTCGCCCCTTAGCGGTTTGGGCCAAATTGCAGGTCCAAATTAGGGAATCCAAGATGGCCGCCGCTCGGCACAGTTCAGAGCCGATTCCCGAACTTTCCTTGTATTTTCCTTGGTATTTTACGCGATTTAAGCAAAGAAAACAAGTTGACCACAGGAACAAAAGAGTAATACAGCCTTGGGAACCTAATGGTCCGTTTTGTTGGGTACTTATTTCTCATTTCGAGTGAAAATTTATGTGCGGTACAGTGTGAGAATGTGGTGTAAAATCAGTGATTTTCGGCTTGATCGATCCGAAGCAAACGCAATCTGTAAAGTTCCCTTTGATGATTTCTAGATGACTATTGGTAATGAAAATATGGAGAATATTGTTGCAGAATGAGAGATACGGAAACTAAGGTAAATTTCTTTTATTTTGAGGCTGGATGTTCGTTTTCCTGGCTGGCTTCTTGTATCTAGTGATCATCGGTAACTACAAGTTTGAATTTTTGTTCCGGTCCAAAAAACCGGTCCACTGACGTTTCGGTTTTTCGGACCGGACCGATAAAATTTTTGCGGTCCGAACCGGTCCACCTGGACCGGTACCCACCCCTAACTGCATGTATTACAATTCACAAATATTTACATGTTTAAATGTTTTACATTTCAAGCCCCCCTCCCCCCTTCCGTAGGCGCATCCCTCTTTCGTACCGGCCGTACGATCTGGAGGCTGACTCTCAGTTGTTGAAACCACGCCGTCAGACTGAGATGATCCTGAACGTCTTTGAGGATGGACAGCATTGACTGCATTCGACGCCGGGGCCGCTCGCGGCGAGGAGAAAAAAGAGGAAATTTTCCTCTGTGCCATGCCGGCCATGACTCTCAAATTTTCTGATTTCGGCTGTTTTCGGCATTCCATTCGTCATTTCGCGGGAAACTAGGCGAAGTTTACCGAAAGACACCGTACATTCCCGAGCTTTGCCGGTTCACTATATTTGGCATTGTCAGCTGATCTCCCGAGCATCTCCGGAAATATCCGAACATTAAACAGTTACAGTTCGCCATATATGGCAGATGCCTTGATTGGATGGAAGCTGTGATTGGTTGAATGTTGTTTACATGGATAGAATGTCTGGGAACTGGCGTGGGAAAGTGGCGCCAAGGCGGCGGGCTGCAATAGATCAAAGGCGACGGGCGGGGCGACAAAATAGTGGCCACATGCGTACACGGGTGCCACACGCGCTGCTCAGCTGAGTGTATATCGAATTCGGCGGCTTTTGGTGAGGCCCAAAAATGGGTTGCGCGCCTGACAAACGTATGAACGGCTGACATTCTGATTGTGAATGTTCGTTATTTTTCCAGTGTCCCAAAAATGTCCCAAAGTGATTTTTCAGTTGTCCCGGCCGATATTTTAGTGGCCAGGGGACATCGGGACATCGTTAAGTTCGAGCCCTGATGAGTTTAATAAAGGTGATGATCATGATACATGTACTGTAAGTCAATATAAACAACTTATTTTGCACTGCATTAATTTTTTTCCACCATTTGTCTGTCTTCCATCCTACTGAAAAATCAAGTCCCCACAATCACAAAGTTGAAATAACAATGGAATTTACCATAAGGCAATTAAGAAAAGTAAAGCAATTACATTTTTCTGGCTGGACATTATATTCGAGAATTTCTTTATTTTTATTTACATGTCATTTTATTTTATTTTTCTTTATTGTTTGTTAACACCCTCATACCGACACACACACACACACACACACACACGGGCAATTATACAGTTATGTATAACATGTACCCCCTCCCCCTTTCTCCTATTATGCTAAGTCATATTATACTCATTAAAAATCCTTACGCAAGCTTAAAAAACACGTCACAAAAACGATCAGAAAGCATTAGGCCACAGAAATACACTGTCAACGCTTTGCATATCATTTATACACGACTAAACGTCGGCTCCAGTTAAAGTAGCGTCTGGGGTCCCTCAAGGAACCGTCCTGGGGCCATTGCTCTTTCCCTTGTATATAAATGACCTACCAGATCAGCTTGACTCAAATGTGAGGTTATTTGCCGATGACTGTCTATTGTATGTAGAGCTTTCTACACAGACCGACTCACAACTTCTCCAAAAAGACCTGAACACCCTGGAAGAATGGCAAAGCAAATGGCTCATGCAGTTTAATCCCGAAAAATGCTACATTATGCACATAACAAACAAACGAACACCACATGCAACTAGCTACCAGTTTTGTGGTCAGGCTTTAGCAACCACAAAAATCCACCCGTATCTGGGCGTCACGCTGACAAGCGGACTGAAGTGGGGTGCACATGTTAATAATATCACAACTAAGGCGAAACAGACATTGGGAGTGATTAAACGTAATCTGTGGGCATGTCCAACGAGAGTAAAATCACTTGCATACACGTCACTTGTAAGACCGAATCTAGAATACGCTGCGACAGTATGGGACCCATATACAAAGAAAGAGAAAGACAAATTGGAAAGGGTACAGAATCAAGCTGCAAGATTCTGTATGAACAACTATGTAAGAGGTGCTAGTGTCACGGAAATGAAAAGAAACCTACAGTGGACCTCACTTGAAGACAGAAGAAAGATGTCTAGACTATGCATGATGTACAAAATGACTAATAAACTGGTGGATGTCCCAACTACTAAGTACCTAATACCAGCTCAGAAGAGAACAAGAAATAGCCACGCATTCAAGTACCAGAGTTATCAACCAAGGATTGAGGTGTTCAAGAATTCATTCTTTCCTAGAACTATCGCAGAGTGGAACTCACTGTCACCAAGTACAGTAGGGGCACTGTCAATAGATAGCTTTAAACAATGTCTAGAGCTAGAAGTTCAAGGGTTAGGTGTAACAAGTCGATCGGTGTAATATAGCCAGCTGCCGCCGCGCCGCGTGCCTGCGAAGCTGGTGTGTTACGCCGAAAGGCGGTTATACCGGCTATACAGATACAGATACAGATACAGAAATAACCCACGGAACAGCTGATTTTGTACGTAAAATTCTGCAGGAATTTTAAAGCCCCGCACACAAAAACATTGCAACATCGGCCTGGAAAAATTCTGTTTGTTTACCTGATCATTTTCCTCGTCGGTGTAGGTCACTTTAATATCCTCTCCGCAATTCACTTTCAGCTGAAACAGACATTTCCAAACACGTTAGACGTTTTATAAACACAGTGTCTGGGTGTCATTCTGCAACAAAAACGAAAATCGGAGGGAAAATTCTGGACATTTTCGTCAAAGGAACGCTTACGTACCAACATGTCGACGGTCTCCCAAGTGGTGTTGTAGGAGACGTGAAAAACGTTGCATTCCCCGTTAAAATCGACATTTAGAACGTATGTCTCCGCCATGATGTCTTCCCGGGGTTGTCAGCAGCCTTTTTGAGCCACTTCGGTGGCGGAAAGCTGACAAAGATGGCAAAAAACTTCACGATTTTGTGTCCCTCTTCTTTCGTTCCAGGGTTGTTTTCCTCAAGCCCCTTCACAGCCCATCACGTGATACAATGCCGCATTACATAAAATAGTCCAAAAAGAATAATCGTATTTTTGCAATGTATCGGTACATTTTATACAATAAATTATTAATATAACTAGTTGTAAGCTAATCAGAATCTAATGATGGTAACTAGTGGATTCTAGATTAATGTTTGTAGAAACCATAATAACCGCGGATGGATTTCTTTCACAAGCCTGGTGTTCGACTGTGACGTAATGTGTATAGTCTATATTTAGTGTGCTCTCATCAGCTGACTGATCGTCATCACTTGTCTCCAAGCAGATGATGGGAAGAAATCTTGTCGTTAAATTCGCCCTGCGTCTTTGACATTCACTCATTATATTCTGCATTCATTTTTACGTAAGGAATTCTTGGCTTTTGTCATCGTTTGAAACGATTTAGGCTTTGTTGAAAGCTGCACTTTGAATAAAAATCACTGGAGGGCGCTCCTAGAAGGCCCTAATATTTTTCAACCATGGATGCTCCTGTTATTAGGAGAATTCCATTTTATTACCTTCGCCAAGAAGGTTATGTTTTCAGGGGCGTTCGTGTATGTGTGTGTTTGTGTGTGTGTGTGTCTGTCTGTAAACACGATAACTTGAGAAGGCCTTGATGGATTGTCTTGATACTTGGTAGGTGGGTAGGTCTTGATGAGACCTCAAAATGATTAGATTTTGGACCCCCTAGCGGCTTATTATGGTACTGCAGCTGAACTTCCGGTTTTGATATCTCATGATCTAGACATGCTATGGTATTGAAATTTAGATGGTAGGTAGCTCTTGTGCTGGGAAAGAAGTGGCGTGAGTTTAGGCCCCCTAGAGGCTTGCTCTGGAACTGCAGGGATAAATTCTTGAAAATATTCAAAAGGGGATAACTCAAGAACCGGTTGACGGATCGTCGTGATTTTTGGTATGTAGGTAGCTTACGTGATGCTTAATATAATTATGTGACAATTATGCAAATATGGATGTAATTTGCATAATTTATGGGGAAATTCTATAAATCAGCTGCATTCCATGATAGGACAATTGAAGCTTGTGACATTGGTAATTGACAACGAGAGAAACACAGGAAGATATTGATTATGTTAAAAAGAACTTAATTTGCATAGTTAATGAGAAAATTTTATAATTATGTAATGATAACTGCCTGGAATTCCATACTTGTGGTATTTGAAAGTTAAATTGAGGTGAACATCATTAAACATAATTTATTCAAATCAGGACCTCATTTGCATAATTTATTAGGAAATGCTAGAATGCATTCTTTGTTAATATAAGACTGTCTTTTGGTTGAGATTATGATAAAATGATATAATTCATGAAAATTAGGTTCCTATTTCTTAAATCAGGGGGGAATAATCTAATCTAAACTTTGTCAGTCATAAAGATTAACATCATTTGGCGAAGGTATGAGATCGGGGAACTCTAGTTTATTGTGTAGTAGGATAACAATAATCATTATCCTAGCTGACCTCACACAGTTTACATCTTTTATTACAAAAAACTGTATTGTTTTCACCGGCCGTCAAGGGAGCTGCCATGTTGGAAATGACGTCATACAGGCGCCGTTCTATCACTGCATAGGTACGTATTATATGTTAGACGTTCTGGTCATTCAAACCTTTTGGAACGCATTTGTGAGGCAAATTTAAGGTTGAAAACGACAACAAATGGTATGTGTTTTATTAAAACACGTAAACGATATAATCAACATATAGCCTTATATGTTCATCCATCTGTATGCAATAGATGTAGTGTAGCACTTCTGTAGAATTTAAGTGTTTATGTGACTCATGTAAAACTACATGCGCTTTAATAGCCCTCATGGGCATGAATGTGCAAGTAAACATCATTGTCGTGACCTCTATCCTTTTACATTCCGCCGTAGAATTGCCTTCAGTCCCTCAACTGCGTTCAGCCGACCTCCTGCTACATTTTCCAACACACAGCCTCTCAGTAACGGTTCTAACGCCTTTGCTTCATGTTCCGGTGGCCCCCATAGTAGCCCAGGTGGTCTGACTGCGCCCTCTAGCGGACGCTGTTTGTTATGCACTAGTTTGTTCGGGTTAAGTTTTGTCCGGTGTTCAGGCAGGTAAGACAACAAGCGAACACAGGCTAAAGCATACATCACATCAGAGTACCGAGACACATGCAAACAAAGACCGCCTTTTTCTATTACAGAAAGAAATTCTTTAAAATCCTCAAAGTTGAACGGTTCTTTCTTCTCATCAACGCCGCTGCTTTCCTTTCTGTCGACCAGAACGACTTCATCAAAGTCGATCAGATTCAACCGCCCGTTTCTGTCCACGGCAAAGTTCTCAAAGCGGAAATCGAGGAACATCACGATCCAATCGGGGTCGCCGTTTCGGAATGCTTCGATCATGTCCAAGAGCTGCAGGGCTAGGTTTGCCCTTACTTTCCACGGAGACTCGAGACTGGCATCAAGGAGTTTCCCACCGTTTTCTACAAAGATAACTCGTCCACAGGCCCCCAGGTACTGAGGGAAGGGCCAGTTTCTCTCAGACCTGGTCGTCAAATAGTTCAGTACCGCAGCCTCTGGGTTCATCAGTAGAGATGTGATCATATAAGCTCGTTCGGTCTTACTCAACTGCCCATCTAGATTCTGGTCGTACACTTTCTTAAGCTCCTCAAGTAGCTTAGCAGTTATGCAAGTCTCCAGTGCTATCTGGCGATCGGTGTGGGCGATGCGCCAGGCTTCTCGTAGCCATGATAGTTGTAGAGCATCATCTGTCACTAGTACTGTTGTAGAGATCACTTTAGACACATCGCAACCGTTGGGCAAGCTAGCGCTCTGGCATATGAACTGGTCCAACTGCGCCCATGCAGACGTGCCTGCCAGTCGTTTGGCGACGATATCTGTATCTTTAAAACGTCCGAAGTAGACCCCTTTGTGCTCTAGTTCTTTGTTGGCAACGTCCACTGTGATGACACCTGCATCTGCCTGCTCACAGAGCGAGTCTCCAAAACATGCAGGACATTTTTCGGCCGCCAGGAGGCTTTTGAATGTCTGAGGTTCTTCAGGCTTCCCCTTGGCAATGTCTAATTTTGCTTCAGCTTCCTTGGCCAATGTATATTCACGTTCCTTTGAAATCCCATGAACCTAGAAGTGAGATCATGTAAAATATGGTAAATTCAAAGAACGTTTCGGTGAGATATTCAAGTAATCTTAAACAATAAACAAAACAAAACCGGATGTGTCAACTGGTCACCCAATCAATATGACTGCCACATAACGTCACAGTACCTTACGCCAAAACTATTGAAACAATGATCGTTCTTACCTCGTCCCTCAGTTCTCTAAGTTCTGGCACCGTCGTCTTAGCTCGAAGCTCCCTCTCTGCAAATTTCTTGTCTCCCTCGCCTGTGTGTCTCTTTCCTGCTCCACCCTTGCTATGCCAGTAGCTGCTCACTGAGAAACCAAGAGCTAACAACGTAATGAGAAGGAGCAGAACTCGAAACCAGCCGGGGAACTTGCGACACAGTCTCCTTGCTGTTCTGGTGGCTACATGCATTGTTGCCCTAAATCTGAACACAGTCCTGCTATAGACAGAAAGCGAGCTCACGGTTTTTTGTAAGGCTTGTAGAATTCTTCGCACGAATATTCGCCAAGTAACCAACGTACCGGTGACAGAATAAGCGTACTTAAGGCCTGTCACATTATGCAAACTCTCACATGTTGCACAAAATATCGCTTACTGCCAGACTTTTCGAGACCGATGTCGAGGAAGACCAGTTGTTCAGGTTCTGGCGTTACAGCCCAGGTGACATAGCGTGACCTACTTCGCATAAAAGCATTTCTTAAGTCGATTTCTACCGCAGGTTCTCGATTTAGATGTATGTAAGATTAAGTGAACGTATAAAAAAAACAGCGACGTAACATCACAATATTCAAGAATGAATTGATTCTTTGATTGCTTGATAAACAAATTGTTTGTTTGTTACACTACCTTAAGAGCCCTTTGTTTCCGGATGTGGTAGGACCGGTTGAACAGAGGTCCGTATCCAACAGGGACCAGAACTCAGGACCACCTGTTAAGATGCGAGACTATAGCTAAGGATTTGTCATTTCACTGTCTTTTTTTTTTTTACATCGGTAGGTCTTATTTCTTTTTAAGCAAGGCCCTTTTACTTGCTTGAGTCATGCAAGCGTGGTTATCATACGTAATGTTAGGCCACAGTAAGTAATTTCTATGGATGACATCAGCGCGCGCATTAATTTTTGCCTGATTTTGGAGAAAAAAAGGAAATTTTGTTGCCTTCTGACAGTGGTCACCATGCCGAAAATGGGCAAAAATGTCTGTTGCCATGCCGAAAGGTGGATGGATGGCAGATAACTATGAAAAGAGGAGACAAGAAAAGGCTCTGATTTAATGTTTTGTTTCTTACTTTGATGCAGTGATATGTGATGCTGGCTGTGTATATGTGATGTTCCCACTGAATCAAAACCATTTGTACAATGATTGAGTCAAAATTTTTAAAATGTAACCTTGTTTTTTTTCGGCCCGCCTTGTTTTCTTTCGCTCGCTCGCATTAGATTAATTTATAGTCTGCGGAGGAACATTCATTCACTGATATAAATATATGTGCGTGGAACATACAAGATATCTATGGGCTACTTTACACGATTGGCAGTAATAAATCATTAGGCTTTAGCGGGTCAGCCATGTCAATACCCGGTTCACGACCGCTTTGTTACCGGCACAATGCCGCACGCACCCCGTGTCACTGTCAATACCAGGGTCAATGTACCACGGACATCTCAGGGGGGTCAAATCCATTCCTGCTGTCAGATTGGCTTTTCTTCAAGCCCAAGTTGTGTATCCTGTACATCATGTACAAGTGCAGGTGTGTATGAGAAACAGTCAAGATCAAGCTGTTGTTGATTGAATGCATTGTTTAATTCCCTGGTAAGCAAAGTTTGCTACATAAATCAAAGAGCAGGGAGCTTTCTTCCAGCTCTTGTTGCTTGGTCCGTACATTATGTACAAGTGCAGGTGTGTATGAGAAACAGTCAAGATCAAGCTGTTGTTGATTGAATGCATTGTTTAATGCTGTGGTAAGCAAAGTTTAGTACATAAATCAAAGAACAGGTGGCCAAATAGGCAAAACAATAAATGCACAGCGTTAGCAATATTGTATGTTTGCAATGGACGTATCCAACACAAACTTGAGCATCTGAAAAAATGCATGCTTTTAAAGAAGGGGTAATTTTCTTCTGTATATGTATCAACCTTTAGCTTCTTTCATTTATCGCTAGACACAAATAGATACAGTTTTAATTTTAATTTTAGAGAAATAGACTACATGTGATCCACTTAGCAAGAAACTAGCACAACCTTACAATGTACTAAAATTATGCTACAATTTATGTTAGTGATGTCAGAAACGTTTTGTTCAAAAGTTGATCTTGCGTTTATGTTAGAGAAGGAAACTTTTAAAATCCCCTTTCCGTGCTAAACTCTTAGATAAGTAGATTGGAGTGGATCTTTTTGATTGAAGTTGATACTACAACAAAGGTTTGTATCTTTCTGTCTCGCCACTATCAGGAGAGATAACACTAAAAGCTGACTATCGCAATTTTAGATTTTCTAAGATAACGTTATCAAAAATGTTACTCTTGAGACCAATAAAAACAGCTCGTCCTTTGTGTGCTATCTTAAAACATAACACATGGAACATTCTTTGTCACAGTTTTACTATCTAGAAATATATGGCCCGCTTTTTGCTAAGATTTGGCCATTGTGGTTCTCATAACTCCAGAAATCTCCAGGGTGACATAGCGTGACCCACCCTGTATAAAACCATTACCGCCAAATCGCTGGAAGGCAGTTGCGCTTGAGGGGTTGCGCTTTGGTGACTGGAGGGTGACAGGTAGTGCGCAAAACTGGACAGATCTTACCACGGAGCTGAGACAGGAAAAATGGACAGCTGAAGCGATGTGCCTCATAGGAACAAGTTCTGGTAAGTAAATGTCTATTTTTTTTCAAAAGTTCCTTATTTTGCCGGATAGCTTTCCAGATGCAAGGGCTGTTTAAGACACTAAGAGAAATGAAAATATTAAAAGTACGTCTTTTCATGCCTCGTATGATAAGTCCATGTAAAAGTACTGCCCGCTCTCGCACTTATCTTACGAAGAGAAACTGAATTTCATGTTGTATTTGCAAAGTAAATTCTGTCCCAACCCGTAAAAGATTCAACAAAACCACAACTTAGTCTAACCAGTAAGATGTTGTGCTTGACGACGTCAAATGTGGAACTGAACTCCAAAAGGAGTTTGTTGTTTCATGAACGGGACTATCTTGACCTGTTTTTTTTATTTTATTTACTTCAGATTCACCTCAAAACAAGGCTCGTGAGAGCCACTTACACCTTCCACTGTGTTGAAAATTTGTTGTTTTTTTTTCTGATGAAAGTGTTGAAGATATGGCACAAGGCTTCTTTCTTGTAGTCGGTGAATAATGTATTGTCAATGTTGTCGAGCCCTGTGGAATAACTCAGTAGAAGGGACGCCAGCAACTTGTTATCATTATGGTACATCATGACCTGTAGCACCTTATTTTGTATATATGCGTCTATTCTTGGCCTTGTTTAAAGCTAACTAATGAGGGTGTCTTACTGTACTTGGTGACAACATGCTCCACCCCACGATAGATATGACAGCAAAGGTTCTTGCAAAAGATATTCATTGATAGAGACTTATTCATGCATTACATCTGACCGTGGTCTTGACAAGGGCGTGCCATGCCGTTAGTGTCATCTTTCAGCTACTACGATTGATCTTGACAATGGCCATGGATCGGGCAGCTTTCTCACGACACTGGTGCATGCATGGGATGGGAGTAGATTCTATGGCAGGTTGAAGTTCAAGATAAAGTTCCCGGGAGAAAGGATTCTGCTCTAACTTTCTAGTAGACTGCTGAACTTGTGGCTAGGGTTGTGGACCCAGAATCTGAAGGTTCTGGGTTCGAGTCCCCGGCAGGCCCCAGCGTTGTGTTCTTAGGAGAGGCACCTATTTCTGGTGAAAATGAGTACCTAGCTTCGGTTAGGGACGTGCTCTAGGATAGGACATAAAGCAGAGTCCTCGTGTTTGTGGAGAGCCGCCCACCTTGCACGCCCACCACACCTATCGAAAATAGTCATGCCTTCAAGTACCAGAGTTATCAACCCAAATAATTGAAATGTTCAAAACTCATTCTTTCCTAGAACTATCGTAAAGTTGAACTCGCTGCCACCAAGTACAGTAGGGGCACCAATCATCACCAGATAGCTTTCATAGCCCTGAAATCACTTTGCTTGCCTTCAAAAAGTCAGATAGCGCCAAAGATCCTGTGATAATAGTTTTTTAAACTAACTACGCTGACTATATACAGGAGGATATTTGCCATGGGAGTTTGGCCGCCTTGGGGTTTGACTGGCCGCGCAGGGAAAGAAACAACCTTCCGCGGCCGGACTCCCCTGTCCAATTTAACTCTCCTTTTTGCCGAACGATCCGTATTCCCGTAGAAAGGCCTAGTGGAGGCTACAGTGATGACGCCATTCCCTGAGGGACCTCCTGTAGTTACCGTAGTCATGATGCCGGTATCAACGCAGGCATAGATGGACCCGCATCGTCCATTCAGCTGGGTTTTATCGTGGTTTTCACGTACAATTTCCTCTCTCCGCAGCGCACAATGGAACCCCGTGCTCTGTGGCACGGAAATGTGTAATTACTGCTTAAGTCGTGACGCACTGTGCGTGTGGAGGGCAAGTGTAGTACGCCAGCTGCGTTAGCTAAAGATAGCATGCATAGGATGCAATACTCTCCAAGCAGAGGTTTCGGCTATGGGTTATTTGCGTCTTAGGCGTTTTTATCGGGCTCTCTTTTTAGTACTGGTAACTTTTTGCGCTAGCTCAACTCGGGATGGCACTGTTTGGCAAATGAGCACTGCCTGGCCAGTTTGATACTGTCTTTGCAGGCACCCTAAAGATCTGGAGGATAAGAATGCAAGGCAAATTCCCCTAAGCCACAAACTTCCGAACGAACGTATACACTCATACTGAAATGAAATTAGAAATGAAAATTTTAGTGTCTTAACTTGCTACTTTTGTCTCCAAAATAACAAGTAAAAAAATAAAAATAACGTCACTCTTCTTCATCGTTAGTACTGAAATGAACTGACTACCTTTATTTCTTTTGTGCAGTGGATGCCACTGTCTGCTGAAATGAGGTTCACATATAGAGACATCTGCAGAGACAGAACCTAGCTCCAGCTAGCACAAGATGTGTTCTTCGGCTCTTTCCGTGGCGGCAGCCGGTCTACTGCAGCTGCTGTGCAAGCTCCTGGCTTGGCAGTGTGTTCTGTGGCTGATGCATCCAATCTCCTTTCTACAGGAACTCCCACTAGTATCGGGTTCTCCATTTCTACCCGCGTCCCTGTACCCGTAAGTTTTCAGAACTAAAAAACAAAAGTGAGGTAAGTAAGTGAGGTAAGTATATGCACTCAACAGTGCCGGCATGGACCCGTGTCCTATGTAGGCACTGTATGTATGTACACAACATTGCTGGACCCAACACGAAACAAACCTCGTACTAACCGCGCGCATCAAGGAGGTTGATGTTGAACCTCCTTGCTTGTCCTAACCTGTACATGACTAACCGTTCTTCCCGCACGATCTCACGATGTGTTTGTAGATAAAGGTGAGTGTATCTCGGACCCTTGTCAGAACGGCGCTACATGTGTCGACAGGACGGACCGCTACGTCTGCCAGTGTGCGCCTGGATGGGAGGGAACTAACTGCGACATCAGTAAGTTTATTTCTTTAGACTCTTGGATACTTTATTATGCCCGTTAGCTGACATTATAACATTGATTTGGTAAACAGCTAATCTTCCCGGACATTAAAATATACAAAAATAAGACATACAAACATAAATTGCATATAATTACGGCTAATATCTACATTCTGTGTCTACTTACAATGTCTCATCTATATAGGTAAATTCCATGATGAAGTTTGATACTCAATATGAATGAATAAGCCTGCTGAATTATTTGTTATCTCCAAGCAGATCATACGATGGCAAGGCAGTATCCTTTGGTCAGTGTCCGTTAGACGCTGGTACTGCTCTGGCCAATGGATACTGCCTTGCCATCGTATGATCTGCTTGGAGATTAAATTATTTGTTCCATTGTGGCTTACAGTGAAGTTATTATGTTCAATCATAATCTATTTTACACGGACTCATCTATTGTCCATGATTTTGCAGACATCGACGAGTGTGCGTCCGGACCATGTCAAAACAACGCCACCTGTCATGACCATGTCAACTACTACACCTGTAACTGCACCTCTGGATGGGAGGGAACCCACTGTGAGATAAGTCAGTAACGACTGTTTGTTTGTATGTTTGTTTGTTTGTTTGTTTGTTAGCACTCCTATAAAATTGGCTAAAATATGTCTAGTGTTTGATTGAAAGGCCACCTGTCATTATGAAGAAGCTTCCAACTACAAATCCCTACACCCGAACCCAAAAGTTTAACTGTACGACATCAAGTTTCGGAATTATTAAATGAGGAAGATATGTATCTGCCGCTTTTTTGGTCTGCTTTAGACACAGATGAGTGCGCGTCTTCGCCTTGTCTGAACAGCGCCGCCTGTCGTGACCGTGTGAATTACTACCTCTGTGACTGCGCACCGGGGTACCATGGGATACACTGTGAAGAAGGTAATGCACATTGAGGGGAGCCAAGATCTTGCAGGCAAGATCCATTCACAACTTCTCGGCTTGCTGTTGCTGTACACATACAAACAGCAAACGCGTAAAAAGCCAGCTGCAGTACCGGTGGAAAACGCAATTTTCGAACTTAACTTTTGTTTCCACAACCGCTACCCTCCTACAAAATATCATGAAAATCCATTCACAGCTGCTGCTGCTGATATACATATTGACCCACACCATGGCACACCGAAAACGTAACCTTCTGTTGAAGGTAATTACTATCCAGTTAAGTCTTGATTAAACTGAAAAACTACAAGAAACTCTTTGACTAAGAATACTCGCGTTTTTTCTTCCAGACACAGACGAGTGCGCATCTGACCCCTGTTTAAACAGCGCCACCTGTCTTGACTGGGTGAACTACTACTCCTGTGAATGCGCGGCTGGCTACAGTGGGACACACTGTGAAAAAGGTGATATTTGATATTATTGTATTTGTAAATCAGCAATAACTCTGATTTTTTTTAAATTCTGTCAATGCTAAGAAAGTTTACTTATGTCTTATGTCTTTGTGCCCTCAGACATCAACGAGTGTGCGTCCTACCCGTGTAGAAATGGTTCCACCTGCCATGACCACCTGAACGGTTACACCTGCCAGTGTGAATCGGGATGGGAGGGCGTACACTGTGATATAGGTGGGTGGAGTGAACGGTTTCTTCACTGACACGACTAAAGTACTAAGGAGGCTTTTGTAAAGGTCTTCTTGAACACACGAACGTCTACAGCTATGGTAGCCTGGATGCCAGACCCATAACACGCCAGGCCCAGAGTTGGCCAGCGTACCTGAATCAGGCCCAAACTTTGGCTATGCTATAATTTCCTAGGGGGCATGTTGGCCCTGTGTAGGCCCTTGAAACAGTCTGGCACCGAGGCTACTGCTATACATAAAAGTACAACTAAAGTTAGCAAACACACAATATGCACGTAGAGATAAACTATTGTTTCTGATATCTAGATATTGTTTAATGTTTTACCTATTTTAGTTTTTAAGTCTACCTTTCTTGGATAAGACATACAGAAAACACAGCAATAGCACATTTCACATAAAATAGCCAAATGCCAAACCCTAGCCTGATCAATGTTCGACTGTTACATCGTTCAACATTATGATTCTGAAACTAAAATGTTGAGCACTCTTCCCACAGACATAGACGAGTGCCTGTCGGACCCCTGTCAGAACCAGGGCAGGTGTTTGGACATTGTGAACGGGTACGGCTGTTTCTGTCGGTACGGATGGATCGGGACACAGTGTGGCATCAGTAAGTTTCCTCTAGACTAATTAACTAAATTGATATATTGTTTTAAATAGCGCGTAGTAGAGATACGTGTATTATGCATGTGTTCTGTTGGTAAAAATGGAACATTTCGAAGGTAGTTCGTCAAGCCTTCAAAGGCGTAAACAGTATCTTTTAAAGTTGTCCTTTGCGTGCTGTCATAGCTTTCTCCTCTTTTTCACTTAGACCGAAAATGACAGTACATATCCAGTGCATACTGTCAGTATACGATGCGAGTAAATGTTGTATACCGACCTCTGAAATCTCATGATCTCCAAGCAGATCCCACGGTGACTTTTTGCCACCATAGTCCACAAGGCGGTTCAACAACACCATTTTCAAAAGAAGTGCCCCCCCCCCCTGTTTCAGTGTCAACAGATCTTTGGTGGCCGATGGTTAGAGCCTTGCCACCATAGGATCTGCTTGGAGATTAAAAGCTCCTACCGTTTTGTCCCAGGTAACTTCTGTGCGTCCAACCCGTGCCAACATGACGGCACGTGTCGGGACGAACCTCCCGGCTACACGTGCGAGTGCAGGGAGGGGTGGACAGGCAGGAACTGTGAGGAATTCATAGGTAAGTAGCGGCTTAACAGACTAAGTTATCTTCAAAATGTTTGTTGAAATGTTAACATTACGTTTGGTTTTCCTATCGTTTCAACACTATCGTCTTCCCTCCAGACCGCCCGTGCCCGACCAACATTTGTGAGAATGACGGCCATTGCATCATGGTACCGGAAGGCTTCAGATGTCTGTGTTACCGGGGGTGGACAGGGACATACTGTGAGAAAGGTGAGGAGGGAATATGTTAACGTGACGTCATCGATGTGTCCGCCGCCATATCGGTGTCCTTATTTGCATTTCAGTGAATCATAGTTCAAGCACTCAACTGCAGCACTTTAAAAATTGTATAATTAAGCTACTAAGTGTATCTGTGTGTGTGTGTGTGTGTGTGTGTGTCCGTGTGTGTGTCTGTGTTTCCGCATGGTCATAGATATGGTCTGTCCCAGAGGGAGATCTGGTAGCGCTCGCTGTTTTCCGTTACATGACCTCCTTGACAGCAGAAAGATGTTGTTTTCCTTGCACAATAAAGAACTCCATGTACACACATGATGCTGAATGCAAAGAGGACACAGGCACCATCACACAAGGTCTTAATATTTCATGGAGATCTGAAATCTCCAAATTCTTGCTTAGCAATGTTAAGCCTTTTTATTCATGGTACAGTGTTCCTCGGTGAAAACGTCGAGGTGGACTGGCAGCTCGGCGAGTCCATCACCCGCGGAAATTGGTCAGCCGGTAACGAGGAGCACCTGATCCAGGACTGCCGACAGTCCGACCGCTTCCCGTTCCGTACCTACAACCAGTGCCTGCGGCCTGGCGACGGCGGGCAGGCCATCAGTAACGAGGCCGCTCACAGCGGGAACTTCTCCTGGCACTTCAAGAGAGGTTACTCCAGCCTGGGCGCGGGGACGCCTTTCTCCGCTAGCTTACACACCTGGGCGGGCAGAAAGGACGGAGAGTATACGGCGGGCGCGGACTCGTTCTACGCTTCCTTCTTCTTCAAACTCGCTAACAATAAACTTGACGAGTCGAGGATAGCCGTAATGGCAGGAAACCCACATGGGGACGAAAGAGCTTCAAACTACCTCGAAATTTACGCAGAACCGGAGCAGAGAGTATCGGGTGCCCGATTTAAAGGGCTCCATGTCCGGGTGGCCGATAGTTACCCTGACTATGCCTACTGCTCGCTATATAAGAACTGCACAAGCGGGCACTTCTATTACATAGCAGAGAATCTCACTATCTCTGAGTGGCATAGAATTGAAATGACGCTACACGCAAAACCGGTAGACTATTTCGACGAATGGCACTACCTAGTAGATCAGAAGTATAACTTTTCTGGAGGTGCGTACTTTCAAACAGAGAGGTACGATAAAGGTTGGCCCTACGAGTATGTAAATAGACTCAAATTTCAGCCCAGGCATGATAACTATAAAAAGAAGTATCTAGGTTTTTTCTTCGATGATATTTACTACAAGGCCTTCGACGCGGAAGAGAGATTTGACACAATTGAGGAATACGGAACGTCGTTTGAAGAAGTCATTTTGCCATAAGAAAATGGCAAGTCCAAGATAAGAAGTTTATAGCTACACATATCATTCAACATGTAATGAAAGTATTGAAGATGAATTTCATTTTGTGATGACTCGTCTTAATTATAGTAGAAAGAGATACACTGTTACAGACTATTACCACTATGGAAAACTTCTCCCTACACACAAAATACACGGAAGTTACATACTGCCATTGATAATGTTTAGTAGGATAGGTTAGTCTTGTAGTATTGTTGATGTACCATGTGCAATTGTTAAATAATAAAGTCTATTATAATTATGATATCACCATGTAACTGAATGAAAATACGACAAAGGACCATATTGGTCTACGCAACAGGTAATATATGTTAACTATATTTCAAGTTCCAATGACAAAAAATTATAGAAGATATTAAACACATAATAACTATATCCTGCATCCAGTATTTATTGGTGGTCATGACATAAGTTTTTTTATCTATCAAATTAAATGCAATAGTTTAAAAGTTCAAAATTCATTTTTCGAATTGCAAACCAGCCAGCTATGTTGACTTCATGGCTCCTATCGTAGCTAGTGGGGCTATCATATGATGCCTAGGCCTGTTTCCTTTCGCCCTGTCGCTTCATATTTTTTTCTTGAAAAATCGTAAGAACCAAGATTAATAACAATTAATAGAAATTAAATTAGTATTGTATAAGATATTCCATTTCCCATCAGCCAGTTTCTGACATTCTGAGGCCGGTTTAATACTCCTTTTATTATTTATTCTTATATTACCTCTTGTCACGGCAATGCCAATGTCGAACAATGAAATGCATGCAAAGGTGTAACTGTTTGAAGATACAAATGCTGGGAACGTGACTTTTATTCCAAAGTTCTGACAATTGTCTTTTCTGTCACGCAACCTCCACCATGATTTACACAGCCCTGTGTACTGCTTTTGTTTCTGATGCCATTCACGATGAACAAGTGAATTGCATGTCGAGGAAACAGCCATCTTTGCACTAATCTACCAAAACTAAGGCTGTGCAAGTTCAAATACAATTGCTTTTATGTTGCTGTACCTGTTTCACGCGATCGATGTTGAGGCGTTAATTTGGAATTAATAATTGAACAAAGGAAGCCAAAATGTTGTTTTTAAGATCAGTATATTTCGTTTAATAATTGTAGTTTGTCAAAACAATACGGTAGTACAAGTATGGATATTTATTTTTATTTATTCATTGAAATTGCAACAGTGCAATACACGCGGAACAGAGGCAGCTGTTGCTGGTGTTGTGTCCCGCACATAGAAACGAATACTGGACAGACAATACTCATTTTCACTTGAGATAAGTGAGGAAAGTCGTGTTAAGTGCCTTTCCCAAGGCAAGAGCACAAGATCGGTGGCATGTCAGGACTCGAACCCGGGACCTCTTGGTTCCGAGTCGCGCACTCTGCCGCTACGCCACACGACCCCATTCTGAATGCTTGAGGGCTGTGGACTTCAGCTAAGACATGGCTTCATCTATTATTCATTTGAGGCCATGCCACGGTTTTCGTGTTCAATTACACAAGCCACAACTTACAAAGAAGTACAATACGTTGCCGCCCTGAAACCCCCTAATAACTATGATACCTGTCTACACTTTGCGTGCGAAGGTTAAGTTCATTCTACTGTCTTCAAAATCAGTGCCAATGTGTTTGGGTCAGATCGTATCCAAGGGTAATAAATCGTCAGGCAGTATAACTGTTCTGGCTAGATGTGGGTAAGCCCCAGAACTGGCATCTCCACTTCCAGTGTAACTAAGTCTAGAATCCGTATGTTTAACAGCAAATCTGTTTCTGTGTCGTCAAACCCGTATATCCAACGAGTCAGTATGACTAGTCACTTGTGTCAAGTATAAAGAAGAGATGATTTTTTACATTCCCTGGAAGACAGACTAGTACATCCTGTAAGCTTGGGGAGGGCAATGCCTGACAGCTATGAAACCGGCACTGGACATAGGCAAGCACCCAGCAGACATCTTCGGCTACGTGTAGCAGAGAAGGACACCGGACTCAGTCTGAGAAATGCCAAAGAAAGTTGCTGGCCTATTAAGCTCTTAGGCCTGCAGCAGTTTCTGGGTACTGGATATGTACAGGTAAAGCGCAAGGTAGGTTCTCTTGCCATGGTAGGCCACAATAGTTGGACCCAATGTCAGAAGTCTTTAGTTAGTACATGCAAGTTGACATGCTTGTGTACAAACAAACTTAACTACCTTTTCTCTCTACTACGTTAACTGATCATGAACAGATAAAGGTGAGTGTATCTCGGACCCTTGTCAGAACGGCGCTACATGTGTCGACAGGACGGACCACTACATCTGTCAGTGTGCGCCTGGATGGGAGGGGACTAACTGTGACATCAGTAAGTAACCAACAGTTTATAATTCAATTGGTCTTTTATCAATCTCTCAATGAAGTGATGGTCTTATTTTATTACAAATTGACTATAAGAAACCATAGATATCTGAGATACTGCATACGACAGGAATTTTCGGTATTCCAAACAAAAATGTCATTTTACACTATGAGGAAGAGAAAAATAGATAAAATCAAATCAACTTTATTGCTCAACAACTGTAGCTGGTACAATGTATGGCAAAGAAACAACAATGGTACATACACAAACTAATACTAAAATATAATTCTAACGAGCTATAGTCCATAATAATACTAAAGCTAATCTATGGTGTTTTCTTAGAAAAGAGTATTATTACATAGATGATTGATTTTCTTTATCTTGATACTTTCTTTAAGACATAGACGAGTGCATCTCCAATCCTTGTGTGAACAATGCCACCTGCAAGGATCTTATAAACTCCTACAGATGTGAGTGTGCGGATGGATACACGGGTGTGCACTGTGGGATAGGTGAGTTAGACAAGTTTGAGGCTTTGTTTTCTTTCCCCTTTTACCTTGTTTCAGATGTATGAAGAGTTTTTGTCACGAAGCCGACGTCTTCACAAGTGTCAAATTGAAAATATCAATGCATGAACTATGATGAATCAACAAACCAAAGGCAAACTGATATGCAATGTACTCTAGGGTAGTGTTACTTATAAAAAGGAAAACGACAAAAATTGAATTATAGAAGAATAGACATTAGATTTTACCTAAGCCATAATCTAATAGACATTAAATATTGTAGTATTTTCTGTCATTCACATGATTTATTATGCAGAAATTTTATAACAGATGTGGATTTTAAGTGTAGTTTTTGACATATCCAACCACAGAGATAAATGAGTGCGCGTCTACCCAATGTCAGAACAGATAGATACAGTCGTATTTTTTGTACTCCCTTGTGATTTGAGTATGCAGCAATTCAGAGGAGATGTGGATATAGTTTTTTTAATACCAACCATAGAGATAGATGAGTGCGCGTCCGACCCATGCCAGAACAGAGGCCGGTGTAGAGACCAGGTGAACGGGTACAGGTGTATCTGTCCGTACGGCTGGGTAGGAGCCGTCTGCAACATCAGTGAGTATCATACGTTAAACAAGTTTGTCTACACTGTTGTAGTTGCTTTAAATTTACATTCAGTTGTGCATCAATAGTGCACTTTTGTAGGTCCATATGTAGTACTCAACTAGTATGTAAACATATGAAGCAGAAGCATAACTTTAACGCATGCAAAAGAACTTTTGATCTAAAATGAAAAGTTCTCCCCAATCGTTAAACCAAGAAGCATTCTATGTGTCAAAACTTGTACTCGCAAGGCCTCAAATATTTGTACAATATGTTACCGCAATAAACGCACTTTATCTACCAATATTAAAAATAAAGTAATCAATGATTCGAAAACAGATTTTCCTTGATGAAAGTAGCAGTGCACTGATGTAAAATATTGAACAGGAAGCCTTATGTTTGCCCCCACACTAGCCATTGTATGATCTATGGACAATGTTCAAAATCTAATACATAACAGATGATTCGAAAAATAAGTCTTATTGAATGTGAGGAGCAATAGGATAAAACATTGAACAAGTAGCTTGAACGTTTGCTCCGTTGAATTCTCTATCGCCAGGTAACTTCTGCGCGTCTAACCCGTGTAAGAATGACAGGCGGTGCGTGGAGAGGTCACCAGGTTACCGGTGTGTGTGTCAGGACGGCTGGCGAGGCAGGAACTGTGAGGAGTACATCTGTGAGTTCTACACTTTAACAGTCATAAAATATTCAAGGTTTCATGGATATCTTTGTTCAGTCTACCATTATATAGGGCTACTTAAGGTGTTGATGGTATGAAATGAAAGGTAGGAGTAACAAGTAACTTTTAAAAACCCGCATGTGGAAGGGCCAATTCCGCAGGTGTCTATCAATTATCGGGTTAGCCCATAAGGGAGTGATCCGTCAATGGTTTGCATTTCTATCTTTTATATTTTAAGAATGTTTTGACAGTGTTAGGCAGGACAGTATATGTTTATAAATTACAACGAGCCAGCGAAGATGCAAGCTGTAGTATTCGTTCAGTTTCATTTTTAACAAAGGCTTTTATATCCAAGGCACTCAAAAACTATACCAATATCTTGACAGTAGAGATCGACGGATTAATGATTTTTATATTTTGTCTTTCCTCAGCTCTTCCATGTGACTCCAACCCGTGTCAGAATGACGGACATTGCGTCACAGTACCGGAAGGTTTCAAGTGCGTGTGTTATACAGGGTGGATAGGGATATACTGTGATAAAGGTAATACGAGTAACATTATTGATCAACATTAGATTTTTTTTTCTTTTCCCCACGGTATTGCATGCATTGATGTTCAGTTGAAAATATTGTACATTCCACAAAACGTCACCACATTTAGCTGAATATGTCAATTTAGTGATACTAGGAAAGCAACATACATTATAAATAAATATCACAAATCCAAGTAACTATAGTATATAAAAGCACTGTCGAAAGCAATTTCGAATGTCATCAAAGAGTAAGAGTCGAGACACGTTTTAGACTGATAAACCACTTACTTTGGTCCACAGCTGATGTGAAACCATTTTACGGGTTTTCTCTCATTTTACGGGTTGCCTCTACTCTCTAGATAGACTGATAACCCACTTATTTCATCTTCCAACATATAAAAACTATGAAAGTTGAGAAAAAAAACTGATGCCATGATATTCTATGATAGTTTATCTCGGTACGAACGTCGAGGTCGAGTGGCAGTTGGGCGAGTCCATCACGCGGGGCCACTGGTCAGCAGGGAGGGACCCCAGACTCCAGGAGGACTGTGACCAGCCCGACCGCTTCCCCTTCCCTACAATCAACGACTGTGTGGAACCGTCCGACGGCGGCCAGGCCATCAGCAACGAGGAGGCTCACAGCGGGAACTTCTCCTGGCACTTCAAGAGAGGTTACACCAGTAAACTACAGGGAACTCCCTTTTCTACTGGTTTGAACAACTGGGTGGGAAGAACTGATGGAAATTATTCAGGCGATGCTGACTCTTTCTACGCGTCATTCTTTTTCAAGCTTGCAAATGTTCGGCTTGATGAGTCGAAGATTGCTGTGGTGGCAGGAAATCCTGACGGCGACGCGCGGGCTTCGAACTACCTGGAGATCTACGCTGACCCGATCCAAGGGTTGCGGGTTCGAGTCCAGGACAGTATATTCGGACGCCTGGCGGTGGTCGCCGAGAATCTGGACATCGCAGAGTGGCACAGGGTTGAGATGACTTTACACGCAATACCAGGAGTCAACCACGACACCTGGCACTACTCTGTCGATCAAAAATCTACCTTCTCTGGAAGGGGATACTTCCAAACAGAGAACTATAAGAACGACTGGTGGTATGAGTACGTCAACAGACTCAAATTCCAGCCGACACATGAAAATAGGAAAAGGAAGTGTCAAGGATTCTTCTTTGATGATGTCTACTACAAGGCTTTCAATGTGGAGGAGGAATCTGTGACCATTGAGGAGTATGGAACATCATTTGAATCATATCCCCTTCCTTAACAAATATGTGTTCCTTAAAATCCACAAAATCGTGATTCAAATCTGTCAAAGTAAGTAACAGTAAAAGTATGTCATTCGATCTCCTTTTCTATATACATGCTTTACCGATTTAATGCATAAGAATAATGCTACTGGTGCTTATTTGTGTTGCTATTCTACAAGCTAGGCCACTCTAGATAAGTGAAAAAGCTTCAATAAACCATGTTAGAAATGGCCATTAAGTGGTGATTTATTGTCACGAAATGTGAATAAAAAACACTCGTAAAGGAATATTAAAGAGAGCTTCTCTATTTTACACGCGATATGAAAAATTTTACTTGGAAGTAAGCCAAAACTTGATGAAAAATTGCAAACAGTCAACGCACCTTTTGTCTACTCTGACCGTCATTCGGCACGGAAAGGCATGCACAGTGGGTTATATGTTATGTACAGTACTCAAAACTATAGACGTATAACCGGCGCTATTATTTGGGTCATAAGGCCGCACAGCTACGGATGACCTTTGACATATTCAAAATGGCGGCGGGAAATTCAATCGAAGCTATCGTCTGCAGAAAACTCGTCAGAATGTCGTCGACGAAGCCACTAAAACTATAAAGTGGGAACCCTGAAGAGGCCACATCGCCTGACATCATCACCTAGGTTGGTACAACATCTATTCGGCAGAAGTACGGGTTGTGGGCCTTAAAATGTGGGGCTATATGAAATGACCGACAAGCAGGGTACACCAAACAACATAACGTTAGCGTCGGCATGGGCATCTCGTATGGGCTTCGATGTCTTCGATCAGTTGTTCTGAAAGAAAGACAAGTTGTTTCCAGCTTTGCATTTATTTTATTTCGATCATCGAAAGACAGTCGCCCCAAAGGAAGGTTTAAAACTCCTCAGTGTTGTATCATATCATATTAAGATACGAAATTGGCAGAAATTGCAGATATCAACTTCACGGAAAGGATCATTATATATATACAAAGTGTAGTTAATTACAAAGGAGATAGACGTTACAAACAAACACAATTTTCTTTTAAAACACAATACTGGGCCAGTAGCTAAACATTATAGTATCTTATAGGTCACACTTCTTTACATGTCCTGTTAGCGTCAGCACGTAACATTACATGTACATTTTTGTCCTATCAAAACATCTTCTGACATTAATAAGTTTTGCAACAATACAGACAGAGTTGGGCATATAGAACTGAAGATTTTTCTCGGTCACATTTTAGCATGGTAAAATCATTTTTACAAAGGTGGTAACAAAGATTATGTATACAGTATACACATTCAGTAGACTACCTGTTACCTATATAAAGTGTTACGTTTAGACTGTAGTTTGAACTCACGGCCGTATGTTTCTTAAACTTCCGTTGCTCACGACAAATGAAATCTGGACAGAAATATACACAATGCTGTTTTAACAATTTGACACAACTCTTATTCCTCAAAGGAAACGCAGTATTCTTCAATGACATTCTCAGGGGAGCTGGAATCAAATACCCCATAGTGAATGTCATCGAAGAAAAAGCCCTGAAAGCTGGCGTCAAAATTGGCATGTCTTGGTTGGAACTTCAGCCTATTTACATTGACGTAGTCCCAGTCTACTCTATCATATCTAGCTGTCTGGTAGTACGCCCCTCCTGTAAATGTGTGTGTACCGTCTACTCTATATTGCCATTGGTCCATATAGTCTACAGGCTTGGCAGTCAGGGTCATTTCTACATGATGCCATGTTTGCAAATCTAAACCTGTGACTATGTTGTGATAGTTTGCATTCCATCCACAGTTCCCAGATTGAGCACAATAGGTATAGTTCGGTGCGCTTTCTGCAGTTCGGACGGTTATGCCTCCAGGAAAGGAATACACCTCTAGATAATTGGACGCCCGGTCAGTTCCGGCCGGGTCTCCCGCTGCCACCATAATTTTAGACCCATCCCCAGATGAATTCGCTGCTTTAAACCAAAACGATGCAAAGAAGGAATCCCCTGTTGCAGTGTACCCTACATCTGTACGACCAGCTGTAGCTGTTAGAGGTGCAGTGTATGGGGTACCTTGACCTGCTGAATCATAACCCCGTTTAAAATGCCAGGAATAATAACCTAGGTGTGTGGATACGTTACTTATCGCATTGCCAGGGTGCGGACATCGAGGTGTTGGGAACGGGAAGGAGTCTGGCTGATTGCATTCGTTTGTCAGACCGCCACCAGCCCAGCCGCCGTCAGTTATGTCTTCACCTAACGCCCAGCCGTCCTCTTGACTTCCACATAGGAAAACTGGAAACAAAAGATAACATGGCGTCGTTGTCTTTTATTGCACGTTGATTATTTTGTTTTAAAGTAGACGCACGGCTCTAACTGCGACATGACAATAGGGGTAGTTCAGAAGGTATTAGATTGATCATGTAACTACTAGTATACATACTTTACCTCATAGTTAACAAACGTTTACATAGATCAACACGACGATAAATGTACCCTATCGCCTATGCAGGAATGAATGTGCTCCAGCATACAGTAGTACTGTTCACCATTTGTATTCAACACATCATAAGAGCCATGCCATCATATGCTGTCTGATCCAACTGATTTGATTGCTTACCTTTACACGACACCTTCCCGTCTCCCCTGTACTGGGCTTTACATGCACAGCTGTAGTTCCCGGGAAGATTTGTACAGTCAGCGAAGTCGTGACAGGGAGAGGTCAGGCACTCGTCCACGTCTGCAAAAGAATGGACCAACGTCCTTTTGTTACGACTGTTCACATCCTGCGCAGTTTCCAATTAGTGGAAATTGCATTTGGTTATCCAGCTTTTGTGATACCATTACATGTTAATCACATCTAGTTAGTAATTTCTGAGCATCTGTGACTTGTCCTCCTGTACGTGTAACATATTAACAGACAGAAGCCTACAACCAAAACAGCGTTTAAAATAACCTACCAACACAGCTTGTACCATCGAAGAAGAACCCTTGCTGACAACTGCAGTTGTAGCTGCCTATGGTGTTACTGCAGCTTAGGGAATTAGGTCCACAGATGTCCTCTACACATTCATCTTTGTCTGAGGAAGAAGAATATGTACCTTATTAGGATATTTTTCCTCTCTTGCAATAATGTACAATGAAGATTTACATTTATTTGTATTCAACACATGATTATCATCTGTACGGTAGGTTTTGATAATATGAAAAAGTTGCAACTCGTAGATTGAATGAAAACTTTTCTTTGTATGACATTTCCTGATATGTGCCTTACCTGTGCATGCCTCTTTCCCATCTCCCTCGTACCCTTCCTGGCATTCGCAGGTGTAACTTCCTGCAGTATTTTCGCATGTCGCTAGGGGGTGACATTCCACAGTCTTGCATTCGTCTACATCTGTGTGCAATATATAAGATGACGTCACAAAAATACAGAGGCCTGTTTGTTAGAGTCGAGTCAGCTACCATTGGCAATGTAGGAGTTTGGGGCATATCAGTAAAATTTCGGACCAATACCCCCCTCCTTGAAATTAATTAGTAATTAATTAAACGTTCCAATGTAGACTTTAGACCTTCAATTACAGTCTCAGAATAACAACATAGCTAAGAAACAATGGCAGTTGGCCAGAAGTCGTCTATATAGTAACCTTGCTATCTTGCTAACTATATACACAGGTGGAAACAACACTTGAAATTAATCTCATTTCACACAAAGAGTTGTCAACGGCGAAACAGCTTTCACCACGATGTTTGACATGTTATGTTAGTAAGTAAATCTACATAACACGTATCAACTTGAGCTATTGAGGCTACATGTACCAATGGACTTGTTTTGTATAAGCCGCAGATTGCTGTTACCAAAATAAACTGCACCAAACAGATACCAATTTAATGTTTGAATAACAACATAACATGGATAATATGGCAACACTGAAGTAGCACAGATACTGCAATAATCAAGTTGCAAGATAGTTTACGTTAAGAGTGAGTATCTGAGCGACACATAAGAAAAGAAGACATTTATGTACACCTGTTTCACAGAACTCGCCCTCCCATCCACCTCTACACACACAGTAGAATCCGTCCGCCGCCTCCACACACACTCCGTTATCACAGGGGTCGTCTTTGCACCAGTTTGTATCGCAATCTAACAATAAAACAATAAACAGCCATAATTAATGCACCAATTTAAAAAGATTTACCACATTTGCGGAAGGATTGGCATAATAGGTGATTGTCACCTCTTCAAGATGTCAAAGCAGAGACCAGACGGTAAGGTTTGAACCACTCACACGGGGAAGGACAGCTACTCTTTTCGATGTGGTTGGATCGTTTACGTGCTCGAGGTGAGGCTCTAAGAGATATGTTATTTTTGGTCCATTTTCACGAAATTTTGAATGTCTAGCTGTTATGCCGATTGCTTTACCATCTTTTTAATAGCTTCACCGTTTGTGTCCCTGTCTTGCAATTGTTTTTAAATGTGTGGTAAAGCTACATGTAGATAACGGGGGTTATTACCACCTAAGAGTAATAAATGGTCCAAAATAACACAACTGCTTGGTGACACTTAAAGCTTAGAGTACACACCCATGTCCGTAGGTATTCAGTAAACATATTACGTACGGATATCGCTCCAGTTGATATAAATTTGCTGTCCCCTTGGGATAAACAATAATCAATCAAAAATGGAACCAAGATGATGGTTCAGCAGCCTAGAACGTACGCAAACAAGAGATTAGCATCTGTAATACATGTAGGTACCTAAACTTCATACCTAAACTTTATTGCACAAGAATTATACAATTAAGGTCAAACGTATTAGATCTCTCGTTAAGAATGTGTTTTTGCAGTTACTTGTACAATTGAAATTTCTAGCGTTTGGGGTTGTTTTTAGAGATATTGTCCTATAGGTACAATTCTTTGAAGTACTACTACTAAGTACGTTTACCCTAACTTTAGGCATACAGAATTCTTCCTAATGTAGCACATACCTAAGTAGTGTACGATGGACCACTCCGTATCTTTGTTTAACCAAAGTCAACAAACCGATGAGACCTACCTCACACCCGAATGTTTGATGATAAGTTGGACCTTGGTAAGTACGCTGACATCAAAGCATGTAAATTTAGCATGAATTCGAAAGACCAAAAGGTTAGCACAAGAAATGATAATTTGCATATCGTGAGAAGTACTTGATTGTTTCTACTGACGTTAATTGCCACTATTAATTATTATAACTATTTAATCTCACATACACAATAAACGTGTCATTGTCACGATGTCAATTAATTTTATCCTAGCTTGTACGGGGATCTAAAGAATTAACGTAAATAGCGTTATTTTATCCAAGTAAATGGTTCAGTGATCCGCACGTTTTCAACAAAACGTTGGAACCAGTATACGTAACAACGTATGTGTGTAGTAGTCGGTCTGCTATGTAAAAAGGTACGGTCCTCTCCACAATACTGTGTAACTGTATACGATTTTTATCGGTACCGAAATGTCTTTAAGTGTTCTGTCCACACATTATCCATAGGACAGATAATTTGGCGACACCATTAATATCAAGTGGCCATTAGAACAAGCACTTACGGAGTACAGGCTGGTTTTACTGTGAGATAATCAATGAGTTCAAGTATTTGAAGTATTCCGTTCGCTGTTTGAACGACTTTAAAGTGCAATCGCTAAACAAATAGTACGATGTTCTGTTTTTACACAGCCAAGGGCAAGGTTTCCTGTCTAGACAAAATGTTCGTGATCATGAACTGAATAGAATATGACTCGTCTCCAAAACCGAGACAAGATTTTTCTCTTTTTTTTTCTACCAAATCGTCTAAAACTTGCTCAAGTTTGTCGTTGTTGAACTTTTTTATGGGTTTCGAGAAATGATTTTTTTACGAACATAGCTTTGTAGCAAATCAAATGAAACGGCAACGTATAAATAGTATTGTCAAAATTTTAGGAATACATACAATATGATGACATTACATTAGTATTCTTTTATCATGCCCTTATTGCTGTTCATTCCCCTTATCAATGGCAATTATTAATTGTGACACGATACCTTATCATCCAATTCAATTAGGATATGATTAATTGAAAAACACAGTTGATAAGAGAGGAAAATGCCAACCTGGTGGCTGTGGTGATACCGTCGATGTGTCCAGCACTTTCCATACTGTAACAGAGGCAAAACTACGGCCATGTAACAAGGGTTAATGCCAAACATTATCATTAACAGCGCATCTATTCTGCACAATTATATGTTTCGAGTTCATGTAATTGTGTGTGTATTTTATATGTATGTTGTATATGGGCGAGTTATGCCTGAAATAAAGAAATAAAGTAAAGTATAACACAATGACATTAGCAATCTTTTAAACAGGCCTAAATGCTGTCGGTATTGATACATATACACCTTATAGAGGGATAGGTTTGTGATAGCTCTTTAGCTTTGGTCTTTAGATTTAGGATACCTGATGTAGATTTTAACGTAATTTCTTGCGGGAAAATATTTGATGGTAAAAGCACACTTACGGATAACAGCGGTGACTGCAAGAAGGAGAATCTGTAGGACGATTAAGCTGACCAAAATCGCCTTGAGGTTGTAGGACTGGGCTTTTCGCTTCTTCACCATTTTGCGCTGCTTTTCCCTTTTTGCTCGGTTTACCGTCCAGCTCAACTCAACATCCTGTGGGCATTACGTATACGGTCACTCTTTAGTAACATTCGCCAAAGTCTATTCCATTATTGCATTATCAGAAAAAAGATTTAACGGCTCTTGATCGCAAATGTGCTGATGTTGACACATTGGCGCACCAAATCCGTAGGGTGTTTTTGGCACCCAGATAGACAATTAGCCTAAGAGGCTCAGTGGGCGTCACTACACCGTACATGGTGGACAAGTCGTGTAAAGTGCCTTTCCCAAGGGCACAACGTCGGGCCACAGTGAGTATCGAACCCGGGACCTCTCGGTTCCAAGTCCAACGCTCTGACCGTTGCGCCACCGACGCCACCGTTTCATTTGCAATGAAAAAGACGGCCCTACATTAGTCGAAAGCTATAACATGGACCATTTGTATATGCAAAGGCAAACAAGGCTTTAAAACCGAGGCAATGCTGTGTGCACATCACCGGTAATTGCAAAGAAAACACCCCAATAAAGCCTATCGCTGTGTTATTTGACGAACAATCGGTACAACCAGAAAGTAAATGGCAGTGCGAACAGAACATAACTAAGTAAATAGCAAGTTTCGATATCCAGTACTATCTTCAACGTTAAAAAGATGAAGCACGTCAGAATATGAGAGTAACGGCAGGTCTAAGCGAAATATGACATTTCCGTCGGCTACTTTTTCTGATAGCCAATATTTCTGATAATCTGGCCCCAGCAAAGATTCACCGGGCAGGCTTAGTAGTACAGGCGGCACGTGGCTCTTTGTCGGCCGAGCGGCGTGGTGCCAGGGCTCGATCGAAGAACATTATGGTAACTACGCCAAAAAAAAAAAACAGTTACTCAAACAACTGGATACGATTTTGGAAAAAAACATATTTGAAATTGATTTCCAAAATCATATCCAGTGGCTTGAGTTACTGGGGTTTTTTTTTCGTATGTTATTACCTGGATGTCTAACCTTCACCGAAGTATGGTGACTAGACTTAACGTTTAGTATATTTTTACCTCGTACTCCTCGGGCATATGGTGATCCCACGAACTACGTCCATACATAGGGTTACTCCAAGTGGAACGCTGGAGACCGTAGCGCCCGGCCATGTTCTCTGGTGTGTCTGATCAAGGAGGTTAAAATATACTCGGGTGTGGTCAGTGGACTTAGTCCCAGGTCTATATTTGATATTAGGTGGCCCAAGATAACGTATAAAAGCTCGTGCCTGGCCCGCTGACACGTACGCGTACTCATGTCAGTGTGTCGGACGTAACGGAAATATTTAAGGGTGAATCGATGACTTATTATCACTTCAAAGCGAAAGAGACGTGTATAGACCTATAGACCTACATGTGGTTGCCAAAGGCCAGTTGGCACATCTGGGCTATGCAACATCACGAAAACAAAACGCACACACATGTATATTGTCCAGAGTCAGTGAAAATTTATTACAAACGAGTTTATTTTCAGATATCCATTGAGTGTTTATCATAAGGCCATGTTGATTTGATTATATGGATGACATCCGCGCGCGCATGAATTTTCGGCCGTTTAAAAAAAAAGTTTTCAACCATACTGTAAATCGTACAAAACAGTTGCAAAATGAGCAAAAATATACCGTAAGTTACAAAAAAAACATACCAATGTCGTAGAATGCCAAAATCAAACGAAAAAAGACGAAATTGTAAAGAAATGAATTCGAAGAGTAGATTATTCGCCAAACCATATTCTGTGTCATTTGTTCAACCCTCATGACCACGTAGATTTCATAATGAAAACAACTTTTTTTTTTGCAAAACTTTTTTTTATTCGCACGCGCGCATTACTTTTGGGGTTCCCAGAGGATGTCATCCATATAATCAAATCAACATGGCCTAATGACTCAGTCTATACTATTCCTCAAAGGAAACGCAGTATTCTTCGATGACATTCTCGGATGAGGTGGAATCAAATACTCCATAGTGAATGTCATCGAAGAAAAAACCCTGGAAGCTAGCATCAAAATTTGCATGTCTTGGTTGGAACTTTAGCCTATTTACATACTCGTAGTTCCAACCATTGTCATAGCGAGCTGTCTGGAAGTAAGCCCCTCCCGTAAATGTGTGCATCCCGTCTACTCTATATTGCCATTGGTCCATATAATCTATAGGCATGGCGGTAAGGTTCATTTCTACATGATGCCATGTTTGCAAATCTAAACCTGTGACTATGCTGTGGTAGTTCGCATCCCATTTACAGTTTTTAGACTGAGCACAGTAAGTATAGTTCGGTGCGCTTTCTGCAGTTCGAACCGTTATACCTCCAGGAAGGGAATACACCTCTAGATTATTGGAAGCCCGGTCAGTTCCTGTCGGATTTCCTGCCGCTACCAATATCTTAGACCCATCCCCGGATGAATTTGCTGCTTTGAACCAAAACGATGCGAAGAAGGAATCCCCTGCTGCAGCGTACCCCCCGTCTGTACGACCAGCTGTAGCATTTAGCGGTGTAGTATATGGGGTACCCTGGCCCGACGAACCATAGCCCCGTTTAAAGTGCCAGGAGTAATAACCTAGATGTGTGGACACGTTACTGATGGCTTGGCCAGCATGCGAACCCGGACATAATGGTGTTGGGAACGGGAAGGAGTCCGGCTGATTGCATTCGTTTGTCAGTGACGCCTGAGCACCGCCAGACCAGCCGCCGTCAGTTACGTCTTTGCCTAACGCCCAACCGTCCTCTTGACTTCCACATAGGTAGACTATGAGCAAAAAAAAACACATGGGCGTCATTATCTCTAGTACTACCTTGTCGTTAACACTTACATATGTTGCACAAATCAGCAAGACGATAGATTTGCCCTATGCTAGGATGACTTTGAATGAGTGAGCTCCAACTAAGAAGATAACTGTTTAGCATCTGTACTCATCACACAAAAGTCATGTCGTCATGTGCTGCCCGGTCCAACGAACGTGATAGTTAAGTTATTGCTTATAATTACCTTTACACGATACCTTCCCGTCTCCCCTGTACTGGGCTTTACATGCACAGCTGTAGTTCCCGGGAAGATTTGTACAGTCAGCAAAGTCGTGACAGGGAGAGGTCAGGCACTCGTTTATGTCTGTAGAAATGAAACGATACTCAAATATTGTTTGTGTTTGAAACCGTCTTGGTGTACTTTGCAAATGTTTCAGCTCATTCTTTCCCGTGCTATCATCATCATCACCATCACCATTCTGATGATGGAAGTTTGCTGCCCAATTTCCCTGTAGGCCCAGGAGGACCAGAAGGATGATGATTCATACTTGTATTTCGTTACTGAATCCGTCAATTTCTAAGATTTTCCTAAACGTAAGAAGCTCAGTACTACCGTCTCCTTGCTATCAACAGAAGTGAGACGCTTTACTGGATTCTGCTTGATCAAAAACTAGCTATAGGTTTACCTCACCTTCACACTCTGTGCCATTGGAGAGTCTGTAGCCTTCAATACAGCTGCAGTTGTAGCTGCCTATGGTGTTAGTGCAGATTGAATTCGGTCCACAGATGTCCTCATCTTCACATTCATCTACGTCTGGGGATGAAGGAATTTAAGTATGATTGCTTTTCTTAGAAGATGCAAATGAAAAGTGACAACTTGAAGGTAACTTAGGCCATCTGTAGTGATAATAGCAGAGAATGATATTCACCTTCGCAGGTTGTTCCATTGGCGAAGAACCCTAGCTGACAACTGCAGGTATAGCTCCCTATGTTGTTACTGCAGCTTATCGAATAAGGTCCGCAGATGTCCTCTTCTAAACATTCATCGATATCTGAAGAATAGCACATAACAATTAATGAGCTTTGACATCTGAACTGTTTTTTCTACAGTTAAGTAAGTTGAACGATTCGCTGCAAGAAATTTTGAAGAGAGATTTCAACCGATTAAGGAAGTCAACAGTACCGTGAAAGAACACTTTCTAACCATTTGTTATCCTTAGGATTGTGTCTCTGCATACCTTAAATGTGCGCTTCAAGCAGCGTCTAGGGGGAGCTTTTTGTCTCTCGTGGAAAACGATACTTACCTCTACAAGTTTTGCCGTTGAAAAAGAACCCTGGTTGACAACTGCAGTTGTATCTGCCTATGGTGTTAATGCAGCTGATGGAATAAGGTCCACAGATGTCCTCTTCTGAACATTCATTGATGTCTGTGGATGAAGGATATGTAACTTATTAGAATGCTTCCTCTTTCGCAATAATGTACTATCAAGATTTGCATTTACTCATCTATACGGTAGGTTTTGATAATATAAAATGTTGTAAGTCGTAGATTGAATGAAAAAGTTTCTTTATATGTGACTTACCTGTACACGCCTCTATTCCATCACCCTCGTACCCTTCATGGCATTCGCAGATGTAACTTCCTGCAGTATTGTTGCATGTCGCTAGGGGGTGGCATCCAATGGTCTTGCATTCGTTCACATCTGTATGTACAAAAGGACGTCACAAAAATCCATAGGTCTGTTTGTAGCAGGTTATGTATCTAATATTGTCTCAATAGACCAATCTTAACATTTACTGCACGATATTTTACGTTAATAGTTTATCTGAGCGACGTATAAGAAAGAAGACATTTATGCACACCTGTTTCACAGAACTCTCCCTCCCATCCACCTCTACACACACAGTAGAAGCCATCGACCGCTTCTAGACACACTCCGTGGTCACAGGGCTCGTCTGCACACCAGTTTGCACCGGATTCTAACAATGAAACAAACAGTCATTATCATAAAGGGTTAATGCCCTGCCCCGAGGTGTATACGGTGAGATAACACCTGGTCAGGTGCAATAAACTACACTACATTGTTTGATAAATATAGACTATAAGTCTTGGCACTACTGACTGTTAGTGTCCTGTCCCCTGTATAATGGTACGGTCCACTTTTGAGGTTACGGCCTGGTAACCGATGGGGAATGGAGCCTTCTGATTGGTCGACGTCTTCTGGCAATATGATAATATACAATATACCATACCTCGCGCCATTCAAGAGTGAGATAAACTTAAGCCTAATATAAGGTATACAGAATTCCCCTAAGGTAGACTCAAAGAACACTGTTTACGTAGCTAGCGCCACTGGCGTTCCTAGTGTAGCACATACCTAAGCAGTGTTCGATGGACCCACTTCATATCTTTGTTTGACCAAAGTCAACAAACCGATGAGACCTCACACGCAAATATTTGGTGATACATTGGACATTGGTAGGTACTCTGACATCAAAGAATGTGATAAATATAAAAATAACATGAAAAGGCCAAAAAGTTAGTTTAAGAACCAAAAATTTGCAGATCGTGCGCACATAATTTCATTATTACTGAAATAATTATACACATTATAACGTGTCACTTTTACGGTGTCAACAGTGCTTATCCTAGCTTGTACGGGGATGTACTAGAATTAACATAAATGGCATTACTTCTTCCCAGTAAGTCGTTCAATGATCCTCAAGTTTAGACAAAAAGTTGTGACCAGTATACGTATGTGTGTAGTAGACGGTCTGCTATGTAAAAACCTTTGTAATAGCAGATCACGGTACTCTCCACAATATTGTGTAACTGTATACGCTTTTTATCGGTGCCGGTATGTCTTTACGTGGTCTTCAACGTACATAATCTACAGGACAGATAATATGGCGACACGACCAATATTAAGTGCTCATGAGAACAAGCACTTATAGAGTACAGGCTGGTTTTACTGTGAGATAATCAATGAGTTCAAGTATTTGAAGTATGCCGTTCGCTGTTTGAACTACTCAGACGCACAAAAGACTAATCGCTAAATAAATAGTACGATGTCCTGTTTTTGCACAGCCAAGGACAAGGTCGACATTGTCCTGTCTGGACAGAATGCTCGTGATCATGAACAATTAGAATGTCACACGTCTCCAAAACTGAGACAAGAAGTTTTCATTTTTTTTCTAACAAACTTGGGCAAGTTTGCCGTTGTTGAACTTTTTATGGTTTTCGAGAAATTGTTTCTTGAAAGAACATAGCTTTGTATAGCATATTAAATGATAGGGCAACGTATAAATAGAAGTGTTATTTAATACATTTTACGAATACATACAATATTATGTCAGTAGTATTCTTTTATTTTGCTTTTTATTGTTGTTTATTTCCGTTATCCATGGCAATTATTAATTATAACATGCACCTAATCATCTAAATCAACTAAGATATTGAAAAACACAATTGATAAGGGAAAAAACACCAACCTGATAGTTTTGTTGCCACCGATGTGTCCAGCGCTTTCCATACTGTGACAGGGGCAAAAACGATAACTTTTAATATTAGAATGAACCGCGTATCTATTTTCCAAAATTATATGATTTGAAATCATAACGCAGTGAAGTTGACAAGCATATACATATATTTGTCATGTCATTGTTTCTTGCGGAAAAATATTTGATGATAAAAAACAACTTACGAAGTACAATGGTGACTGCAAGGACGAGAATCTGCAAGACGATTAGGCTGGCAAACATCGCCTTGATGTTGAAGGCTTTTCGCTTCTTCACTATTTTGCGCTGCTTTTCCCGGTCAACATCCTGTGTACATTACGGTCATTTTATTGTTCAGTAGTATTCCGTATACCACAGTGTATACTAGTATATCATTATGGCATTATTACTTATTGGTTATCATAAATAAGATTATTCGATGTAATAATACTCAAATAAGTCAAAATCTATGATACTGACCAAGAAAGCAATGCTCAAAACAGAGGTATTACTGTTAGTTTGCACCTTACCTAACTGTAAGTGTTTTGGCCCACACTATAATTGCAAAGAAAACACGTCAGTACAATTCCTATCGCTGCATTATTTGATGAACAAACCGTTCAAAATACCAGCGGAACCACATGCGAACAGAACATGAACGAAGTAAATAGCAAGTTTCACTATCCAGTACTATCTTTACTACTTTAAAGGTATATCATGTTATAATATGAAAGAATTTTGTCAGGTCTAAATATGACATTTCTGATATGACAGGTCTAAATATGACATTTCTGATATGACTACTTTTTCTCATAGCCAGTATTTCTGATAATCTGGCCCTAGCAAAGATTCCCCGGGCAGGCTTAGTAGTACAGGCGGCACGTGGCTCTTTGTCGGCCGAGCGGCGTGGTGCCAGCGCCCGATGAACAGTAAGGTGACCGGACTATATGTTCAGTACATTTTACCTCGTATTCCTCGTCCAAATGAGGGTCCGGCAAGTACATAGGGTTGCTCCATGTAAAGCGACGGAGACCGAAGCGCCCAGCCATGTTCCCTGGTGTGTCGGACCAAGGAAGTTATTTAAGAAAAGCCCAAACTGGAGCAGAGCTCCTACCCGGCTTGAACAACTCTATACTCTACTCTACTCTTAAGATATACTCGGTCGGACGCTCGCAGGTGTGGTCAATGGACTTAGTCCCAGGTCTATATTTGATATTAGGTGGCCCAAGATAACATATAAAGTCCGTGCCTGGCCCGATGACACGTACGTGTACTTATGTCAGTGTGTCAGGCATAACGGAAATATCTAAGGGTGAATCGATCACTTATTATCACTTCAAAGCGAAAGAGACCTACATATATGTGGTAGCCAATAAGGATATCTGGACTATGCAAGATTACGTTAAGAACAACGCACACACACACACACACACACACACACACACACACACATGTACATGTATAAGTTTATTACAAGCGAGTTTATTTTCAGATGCTATTGAGTGTTTATCTCAATGGCAGTTTATATCATTCCTCAAAGGAAACGCAGTATTCTTCGATGACCTCGGGGAAGTTGAAATCAAATACTCCATAGTGAATGTCATCGAAGAAAAAACCCTGAAAGCTAGCGTCAAAATTTGCATGTCTTGGTTGGAACTTAAGCCTATTGACGTAAACGTAGTCCCAGTTATTATCATATCTCGCAGTCTGGAAGTAAGCCCCCCCAGTATATGTGTAAGTCCCGTCTACTCTATATTGCCATTGGTCCATGTAGTCTACAGGCATGGCGGTAAGATTCATTTCTACATGATGCCATGTTTGCAAATCTAAACCTGTGACTATGTTGTGATATTCCGCACTCCATGAACAGTTCCTATATTGGGCGCAGAAATCATAGTCTGGTGCACTTTCTGCAGTTCGGACAGTTATACCTTCAGGAAGGGAATACACCTCTAGATAATTGGAAGCCCGCTCAGTTCCGGCCGGATTTCCTGCCACTACTGCTATTCTAGACCCATCTCCAGATGAATTTGCTGCCTTGAACCAAAATGATGCAAAGAAAGAATCTCCAGATGCAGAGTACGCCCCATCTGTACGACCAGCTGTAGCTGTTAGAGGTGCAGTATATGGGGTACCCTGACCTGTGGAATCATATCCCCGTTTAAAATGCCAGGAGTAATAACCTAGATGGGATGATACGTTACTTATGGCTTGCCCAGGGTATGGGAACGAACATAGAGGTGTTGGGAATGGGAAGGAGTCTGGTTGGTTGCATTCGTTTGTCACTGACGCCTGAGCACCACCGGACCAGCCGCCTTCTGTCACATCTTGACCTACAGCCCATCCGTTTTCTTGACTGCCACAGAGTTGAACTAGAAATAAAAAGAAATACGTGTAGATGATCAAAGAAAGTCGCCATGAGAGAATGAGAGGCTGTTGCTTTTTATGAATAACTTCAGGGTGGCCAGTAATCGAAAACGACATCTAAAATCATTTCTATACAAATTCACCCTACATACAAATAGATTATGCATACGATGTACTTATAGGTGTTTGCATTATTCCTACAAACCTTTTTAACATTAGGTCTGTGACAAACGTAGATTTAATATCAAATCTAGAAACATCTAGAAACGAAAGCGTACATAAAGTACATAAATTAGTATAATACAATTATATCTATTCAATCATATCATACCAAGATACATTTGTTTCATAGCTTTAGGGCCTGATTCTAACTGCATCTGTCTAAACAGACAATAGTTGATTAAAACAATTCACGTTTTGGTATGTACCTTTACACACCGACACCCCATCTCCAGTGTACCCAGGTTTGCAGGCACAGCTGTAGTTTCCGGGTAGGTTGATGCAGTCAGCAAATTCATGACAGGGGAAGGTCTGGCACTCATCTATGTCTGTGAGATGGAATATCGGTACGGTATAACCAAAAGGTATTCTAACTAAGAGGCCATCTTTCGCAAATAGTTTATAAGCTTTCTTTGCATTTTTTAGAGTTTCAATATTCAACCCTTTTTGCTCCATTCCCAAGTCTCAGCTTTCTCCAATCATCATTGAATATGTCGATCATTTAAAGCATATTTTGTCATTGCAGCATTATCTGTGTACAGGGGGTTCTCAGAAATATCGAATTGAATGTTTCATATCAATTAAGGACTTACACCCAATGGGAACAGCATTCCTTGTAACAATAGACAACTACATACCTGTGCAGGTTGAACCATTGAGTACGAATCCTGGGGTACAGTAGCATTTGTAGCTGCCGATGGTATTGACACAGGTTGAATGAGGTCCGCAGACTAGAGAAGTTGCTGACAGACACTCGTCATTGTCTGTGGAAATTGGATAAGTTTGCACGAGATTTTGCCTATAAACAGGTGGTTACAAACATTTTAGACTTTGACCTCAGGTTACATAGTATCCATGGCCGGAGTGCAGGCTTTGGTTCTGGATGGTACCAAGAAGTACCTTCTAATTAGATAATATAAGTTGCAAACAATACCCTGGTGGCTTCACACTAACATACTACTAGTAGTAGATGACATGTTTTCGGGGTCAGGTAAACGACTCGTTTATCCATTGTTAAAAATCGAATAGACGTGGTTGACGCCTTTTGAGCTACAATGCCCTTCATAACATTACAATTGATTTCCTATATTTTTCATTCAATTGACTTTAATATTGCTCTTGTCTGAATACGAATATCATTGGATACAAGTCGGTAAGATACGTGTTCTAGGGAAGTCAGAGGGTTAGTATCTTTATGTATCGATGGAACTGGTCAAGTTGATAACTTTAACGTCACAATTTTTAATAGTACAAATCCATGTTTCTGTAGGTAAACAAAATATGTTACCTAGTTCACAATGTTCGCCTTCCCAGCCGGCCGTACAGTTGCATTGGTAGCTGTTAGGTATTTCGGAACACACGCCGTCATGTTGGCAGGTCACGCCCTGGCAAAACGTTTGCCCTGAATTCGACGAAAAATGAGTCTTAAAATTACATTAGAAGTACTATTGATTTGCGTTGGGGTGATCTTAAAAATGACGGCAGTATGTGTATCAATCTTAATAGAGAATGTTACTTACCATTGTTTTGGCTGACAATAGCCGAGATGGAAAACACCTTCCATGCTGTAACAGAAACGGTTTAAAGATAGTCAAAAATGAGCTAGAACATTCTATTTGACAATGTTATCAATATCTATATATTCGAACACAGTTCATACATATATGATATGGTCTTTTGACTTTAACCTGCACTGTCTAACGAAGTGGATAAGTGTAGTTTGTCGCAGAACGACAAGAAATCGTACACTTTACTTCAAGACTGCAGCACGGCAGCTAGATTATATTTATGATGATGTTTGATGTGGTAGTTTAAACATTTGCCATCATAGCAAAGACAGGATGTTCGTAGTTTTGGTAGTTCCCAAAAAAGCTATTAAGTTACAAAGGCTTAAATTGACTTAATGATTGACTCACTAACGACAGCCAGCCATGTGAGCACGGCGATCTGTAGCACAATCAGGGACCACATGACGAGCCACATGGAACACCTGCACTTCTGGCCTTTTCCGTTTGGTGGCCTCGCTGCTACCGGGGTAGAGCGCCCTCCTCGTTCTTCCTCCTGTTTTACAACAGCATCGTTACTATCAAACCTTTAATGTTCACAGTTTTTTTTTTATCATTCGTTAGAAATGCCTACGTAGTTATAAGTCATTCCCCATTCTATGTCTACATATGGCGGTTCATCAATATACTTGGAAAACATTGCAGCATTGGCAAGAGCGTATATATACGTAGGTGTGTATCAAAGTGCAATGTCTAACTTCACTCAACACGTACGGAAAGTTCGGAAGTTTAAATTTGATGAATCACATCTCTGATGTTACTTTATCAATTCTATAGATTTATGTATCGCTGAAAACCTTCTTTATTGCATTCAACAGTCATACTCTATTTTTTCAAAATCCTACGACCTAAGGTCGAAATTACTAATAGGGGATGCGAATGCGTACACAGTGTTTGACTCTACGTATCCTCTGCATTATCATACATGTTATTTTGACTCCAATACGTGCCATTTACCTCAAAGTTTCCGCCGTTGGTTCCATTCAGCTCTTCGGACACGGAGTGAACCTTCGCCATTTTGTGTGCTCCAACACAAGGGGCGCACAAAACAAACATGTGAGAATTCTTGTGCTCTTTGGAACACCGTATCAGCTCACATGAGCAAAGGTCATAAAGCGTTCAAGGAGCAAATTTCAACAAATTATCATAGAGTGGCGTAGTTTATGACCCCAATGCCGTATAAAGTGTGTTGCATCAACCTGAATACTTGTAGATTGATAAATAGTTTACGACACAAAAGAATATGCCCATTTCAGTTCTGTAAAAATTCCAACATTTATTCAGATCAAATTGTCTACACAATAAAAAATACATTCTGAATACACAATGCAGCTATTTAGTGCTAACATCATAAGGGTCCAAAGTCCCTGATATATAACCATAGAATATGATCATATATATGTATATATAATTACATAATATGATAAATGTTTGTCATTTATTCCTCGAAAGAGATGCAGTATTCTTCGATAAAATTCTCACTGGAGCTGGAATCAAACACCCCATAGTGAATGTCGTCGAAGAAAAAACCCTGAAAACTAGCGTCATAATTGTCATGTCTTGGATGGAACTTGAGCCTATTGACATACTCGTAGTTCCAGCCGTTATCATATCTCGCTGTCTGGAAGTAAGCCCCTCCTGTAAATGTGTGTGTATTATCTACTCTATACTGCCATTGGTCCATGTAGTCTTCAGGCATGGTGGTCAGGGTCATTTCTACATGATGCCATGCGTTTAAATCTAAACCTGATACAATGGTGGTGGGGAAATCTGTATCATAGCCACAGTTCCTAGATTGGGCACAGAACGTATAATTTGGCGCGCTCTCTGCTGTTCTTACTGTTATACCTTCAGGAAGGGAATACAACTCTAGATAGTTTGAAGCCCGATCGTTTCCAGCTGGATTCCCTGCCACTACTGCTACTCTAGAGCCATCTCCACTTGCATTTGCTGCTTTGAACCAAAAAGATGCAAAAAATGAATCGGCGGTTGCCTGATAGCCCCCGTCTGTACGACCGGCTGTTGCATTTAGCGAAGCTGTGTATGGTGTACCTGACCCTGCACTGTCATAACCTCTCTTAAAATGCCAGGAATAGTAACCTAATCGTGATGATGCATTCGATATGGCCTGGCCGCCATTTTGTCCACAGGAGGATGTAGGGAAGGGATAGTCGTCAGGTTGAGCGCAGTCATTGGTCAAGCCAGACCAGCTGCCGTCAGAGATGCTGCTGCCTAAGGACCAACCGTCTTCTTGTTTCTCACAAAGAAGCACTGATAGGTTGAAAGGAAACGAAAACTAGTAAGATAGATACCTTGCTAGCTAGCTGCTAGTCATGTAGCCAACTACATGGCTAGCAGCTAACTAACTATATAAAAAATCAATACACACGCATATAGATGCTGACTAGCTGCTAGTCATGTAGCTAACTAGCTACATGGCTAGCAGCTAGCTAGCTGAACTAAGGTTCAACTTTGATTATCAATAAGTTAAATTTTTTTGTTAGCTTGCTGCAAAAAGATCAGTTTTGTACAGCAATACGTTAAATTAAACGTACCTATATCCAACACCTACTTGAGTACTACACGGAAACAAGAGTTATCTGCATAATACCCGCTCTTGCATGAAACGTCTTTGCCTTTTGGTGCTTGAAGCCTTTTGATACTAGCTCACCTTGACAAGAACCCAGACCGTCTCCAGTGTACCCTGGCCTGCAGGTACAGGTGTAGTTACCTGACAAGTTGACACAGTCTGCGAATTCGTGACAGGGTGAACTCAGGCACTCATCTAGGTCTATCAGGAGAATAAGGGCAATCAGAATTACATTATCGATCTCCAAGTAACAATTGACTACAATACTTTTTGAACTAGAAAGAAGGATTGCATAAGGTATGTAAACTAAGAAAGAAGCAAACAGTTGCCATATAACACAGCAGTACCTAACTCAACTAATTGCAGTTTATCACGAACACAACATAATACCGCGCCAGTACTTACCTACACAACCTGTACCATTTGAGAAGAACCCTTGCTGACAACTGCAGTTGTAGCTGCCGATGGTGTTACTGCAGCTTATGGAATTAGGTCCACAGATGTCTTCTTCTAGACATTCATCTTTGTCTGAACGAAAAAATTATGACTTAAGATAGAGCGTTTGAGATAGAGACCAAGCCCTGATAGCAATTAGATTGGTTAAAACAAAGAGATTTAAAACTTGGCAAGCAAATGACTACATATTTATCCTAATTAACCAATCATTAGACCAATAAATACTAAATTACCTGTGCATGACTCAAGCCCATCGCCTTGGTAACCTTCATCACACTGGCAGCTGTAGCTCCCTGCAGTATTTTCACAGATCGCTAGATGGTGGCATTCTGCTGTCTTGCATTCGTTTACATCTGTTCAAGAGAAACTCTTATGTTAGTATCTGTATAGCCGGTATAACCGCCCTTCGGCGTAACACACCAGCTTCTGTATCTGTAACGTTATAGCCGGTATAACTGCCTTTCGGTGTTACACACCAGCTTCGGCGTAACACACCAGCATCGTACTAAAGAGTATTTCAGTGAGAGGTTCATCTGTTTAGCTCATGGTAACCTGGTAGCTGAGAGAGATTTACTTTAGACTAACCTGTCTCACAACTGTCACCCTCCCAACCTCCTTTGCAGACACAGTAGCGTCCGTCAGTCGCTTCAACGCACACTCCGTTGTTTTGGCAGGGCTGATCCTTACACCATGTTTGTCCTATAGATACCGACAAACAGAGATAAAGACCATATAGCAATACATTAACAGGATAGAACCTGACAAACCATGGTCTGTTTTGCTTTTTGCATTGAGTTGCCTGGCCAATAGGCCCTACACACAATATAAAATGGAAAAGACTGACTTTTTAATACAATTAAAGAAGTTTCTAGCTGTTATGAAGCAGTTTAAACTGTAATTTCCAAAACAGGAGATTAAACTTGCCCAAATTTTCGACTGTGTAACTCCAGGCATTGTCAAGGAACGAGCAATCCACCACTTCCGTGAATAAACTTTCAGTATAAGTTTCTAGCTGTTGGAGTTTGTGCCATAGCTGGGTCTTCGCATTATTGACTTATTGTGACAACATTGAGTCAATCAACTGCGGTGTCCTAAGTGATCGTTAATCGACTTTAGAACGGTAATTATCACGGGAACTGTTTGCCGAATACCAGACTAGCGTCAGTCCAAAATAAACCAGGTCAATGATGGGTGTGGTTACACTGAGTCCTTAGTCCAACCACTAAGGTATATTTAGAGAGGGAATTTAGGAACAGGAATGGACAGAATAGTAACTGGCACATTTTATAACTTTGTCACATCAATAAGACAAGTCCATTTGGTTTTAAGATAGAAGTAAGATACATTGCCTGAGATCCGTTAAGCTACGTATACAAATCGTCCGTACCTTCAGTTTGGCCCGTCACCGCCGCCGCATCCTGTACTCTCCATACTGTTGTATATGATGGCATAATAACATATTAACAACAAGCGTTTAAGTCTAGAAAAACAGGTATTCTGTGTTCCCAAAACTGAAAAAAAATCTTTGTACCTCAAGGAAAGGTTAACCACTACCGATTTTTCTATTACTCTTTGTGAAAAATTCATACTTGTTGAATGATGCACAACTTTTTTATCCATGATATTATGGCTGTATCATTTGAGTAGTATACTAGTACTTGATTGTAAAAGCAATTAGCCTTCGGGTATGATTTTGCAAATAAAGTTTCATTATAGTGTAAGATTACTGAGGTACAACAGTATTAAGATTAGCGTATCTTACAGATGACAGCCACGCAGACGAGGACGACCAGTTGCAGCAGAATAAGGCATATGAACATGAGGGTCCTGGAACTAATCTGCCGTTTTCCTCTGTTCTGCTGACGACGCTGTGCTCTGCGTTTTGCAGAATTCACGGTCCAACTTCTCTCTACCTGCTGGGAAGAATCGCAAAACGTAAGCCCATCTGACTTCGGAAGCAAAGACATATGAGGCAGTCGAAACCATTGCACTTTAAAGGTAATTACTTGGTTCAATGTACTGGTATCCACTGAATACGTCCTTAATCAATAAACAGCCTATGCCTGAATTATGCCTTTCAGAACATGACAACTCGATTGCATTGGAAAAAAACGTACACGAAACTGACAGATGTAGGTATATAATTGTCTCTCTTTTATAAACATGAAAATATATGTATGCAAAAACGTATATTTTAGTCATATAATACTCATATTTTCTGACCAGTAGCTCCACACCCCTCTCACCTTTAGAAAAACAGCCTGCCATTAAGTTCCACTGTAGTCTGCGAGTGGACATCATACCTAAAACGTATTGAAACTCTCATTCACCCACAAAGTATTATGCACATGGCGTACATACCTCATCGTCCATTCTGTAAGATGCTGACGGTCTGCCTTGCATGGGATTGACCCACTCTTTTTCCTCAAATTGAACGTGCCTCGACATCTGCTAACTTGTGAAAACCTTGTCAAAGGCTACAGTGGGCGTCTCTATATTTTTAACTGTGTATCAGGTGCTCCTGCTATTACTGATCAGGGCATGTCATGTCAAGTACTCATAAGCACTTACCAGGTAAACAAAGTGAGCCAATTCCTTTTACATAAGTGGTTAGTATGGAGAAGTATATTGCCTCATCTTGAATAATACAACCTAACATGTTTGCACATTGGAACAGGAATACGTACTTTCACCAAGGACACTGGTTATGATGGCAAATAATTTAGTAACAAATTTATGACAAATTCTTACCCGTTCAAGGCGAATTGCAAGTAATAGAAGATAAGCAAACAACGAAGAGTGTGTGATTATTCTAGCCAAAATGCTGACTCTAGGTCTTAATTTTTTTTCTATTTTTTTTCTTGAAACAGGGAAAGACCACATTTAAAGATTCCATTTTTCGTTGTCAGGTAATTGCTAATTGTTGTGTAAAAAGGACTTCAATACCTACTGTGTGACACGTCACTTTGTGTGTTTTTGTGTTTGTTTGTTTGTTTGTTTGTTTGTTTGTTTGTACGTGGGTGCGCGCGCGCGTGTGTGTGTGTATGTGTGTGTGATTTATATTTCATTACGGGTGTTCTTCAGCCATCTACAAAGTTACCAGTATTGCTGACAAATATTGCAACTAGTTGAATACTGTTAAACGAAGTTTCTGTGTTTGAAGTACCGCCACAGAAAACTTTATATTACTTCCAAGCAACATATTGGTCGAACCCGTATCATCTGTAAGCTATCAGACAGTGATAAACAGCAGTTGTAATGAGAATGTATTGATCTTTTTACCTCCGTGTTGGCCTCTGGAGATGGGGGGAATAAAAGGTATCCCTTCTGGTGCGATGGCACGAGAGGTGTCAACATGAATTACTAGAGAAGTAACATTTGCAAAGCAAATGCATGATGTTTACCTTCGGACATGGTCTGCTCTGTTAATTCTTACTCAAACACATTCACATACATGTACTACTAGTACATGTGTATGGTGACAGGAGCAGAGCAGACATGAAATTGCAACATTATGTAACCCAACACCAGTTACCATGGTGACAGACAGATCATCTCATTGGTCAGGTCATAGATCACTGTTTGGAGAAGAAGAAGAAGAGGAAACTGAGCAAAAACAATATGTTTTCCTTCGGTAAACATAACTAGAGCTGCCCTATTGTTACCAGGCAGTAAGATCAAAGCAGATCGTCTCGAGGAAAAATTGCAACTGCCGATCAAAAGTAGGTTTCATGTGATTTGCTTGGATGTAAACTTGACTGGCCAATCTACATAATTTTCGTGTGTATGTCTACGACATTTGCTTTGGTAGCAACAATTTTGTTACGATAATGTGTATTTTGCAGTAACATACCCTAATGCTTGTTGCAGTGGTTCATCGATCTTAAAGAAGTAATTAAAAGGAGACTAATAAGCGACACAAACACAAACTTGACTCTCGTATGTACTGCTTAAGAATCATATCTTGCATTAGATATGAAGACCACTGATAATTGTATTGACTTCGACACTAAAATGTTTCACTTCATGCAATGTTTTAAGTTAAAAGAAATTGGCTATTCTGTGCTTCTGTGTATATCTATAATGTTAATAGTGGGAACTAACAATGAATCTAGGTTAACCAAAGTTCGATATCTTGAACTTTTTTAAAGCAATTTTAAAACCGATTCATCAGTTTTCTGCCCATTTCCACCGAGACTTGTGTGGTTGGGTCATCGCCAAGAGGTCAAAGGTCCTGGACCTGCGTGGGATGGATGTAATGGACCTGTTGTTTGAAATATAACGGTCTCTTGCATGATTTATGCCCCATGGGGGGGTGTAGGTAGTGGTGCGATGTACAGGGTTCATCACAATGTGTGTTGGTAGTTTTGTTCGGCTAAATTATCACCAGTCGTAGTGGGGTTGATTGTGACTGTGACAATTGGCAAGGAAGCTAAAAAACAAGTCTATTGTACATGTATTCTGATAAATGAACAAGAACTCAATAATGATCATAAATATGGATTTTACGCTCCGTCCTTTTTCAAGGAAGTTGAGGAAATACAACGTTTCCGCTTTTGCTCTATGGACATATTTGATCATTCAATCGCTCATAGAATTTGTATCACCTGTACCATTGACTACCATTGACCAAGTCTAGGCACTGAGCTATAGCCTGGGTGCCATCCCCAGTAGTATTCGCCCGCTAGCTTACAACTGGTAGCTAGCGACATTATAGAGCGGGCGAATACTACTGGGGATGGCACCCAGGCTAAAGCTAAGGTCCCAATTACGCCGGTGCCCGTCGGGGATGTAGCCCCGGCTGGCCCCGGCCGGGTTCAGGAGTCGAGTGGGCATCGGCTGTCGTGGTCACAATTAAAAGTTTCCTTCAGTAGCATTTTGTTAGAAATTTTGTCACCCTCTTTGGTCGGTATCCGGCAGGCACCCGGCAGGTACCCAGCAGATTCTCTGACGATGTCTTGTATTGACCTATACGTAATGCAGAATTCACGTATTTGTTGTGATCATTTGATCTGTGAGGGCACACATTTTACCCAGGTTTACGAAGTACACACCTTTATTCTGTTCATGTGGTCTGTGACGTAAGAAATGTGTCCCGGTGGAATGCCGGCAACCGGAGGGGTACCTCTCGGTGTTCTCACGATGAGGTCACGGCGTCTTTTTGTCAGCGGGGCCCGGGTAGAATTTAACTCAGAATTAAATTCTTATCGGGGCCCCGACGGGCCAAAAAATAGCCCGGTAGCCGCAGGGTGCCCCGCGGGGCCACGTCGGGGTCCCGCCCGAAAGTGGCAAAAAACAGCTCGGGAACTACCCGCCAGGGCCCCTTTTCCCAATTGGGACCTTAGCTTAACTGAGCTAGGTAGGTACGACAGATATATATGCCAGAAGATGGCAGAGGATGTTTATTCTGAAAGCTAGTGGATTGTATTCGAGAGGGTCTTCTGAAAGTTCAGACCTGCATACATTTTTTCATCATCAAAAAAATGTACATTATATAAACCTGTTTTGCACGCGATTCGGTAGATCTGTAAGCCGCTACGGACAATGGTTGATGGAATGAACAATGGAGAGTTTTGATTGAAGACGATAGATCGGTGTCGAATGTCGTGTCGATGTTCAATCGATGGTTCCATCCTGCGCTACTTTTCTCTGGCACTCCTTTATTTTCAACACAAAGACAACATCTTCTGCCTGTCAGAAAACTGAGTGCAAATCCATCAAAATGTAGGATATCCTTTCTTCTTCGTCATCGATCAACCATGATCTAGAGAAGCCTTTTCATGGAATCTCTTACGGAAAATCGAACACGACTGTATCTAAGCGACCTCTTGGGAACCGAACCACATCACGAACCTGCTGATTTATACATCTTGTAAAATTCCTATTGGTACGTGTTGACATAGGAACATCAGACTGTCTCTACTCAACTTTCCGTGTATGATAGCAAGATTTCTTAGTTATATTGGTGCAAAAGTTTAACCTTAGGGGCGAAACGCGTACAGTTGGTTGTGTCGTTTGGTAGGTAGTTGTGGAAGTGTGTCCAGATCTTTGACGTTTGACTGCGCGCGTCAACTGCAATTGTGCACCAGAGCGTATCAAAACGTTGTCGACACCCCTGATAGAGTAGATGATATCGCCTCCTGCGCTTGACTAAGGCGCCAGGTGAGGGAATACTCAGGAGACGGCCCGGCTTCCTAACGGCTTCTCTATAAAAAGGTCTCCGGCAGGTGCCCATGACTGTCACTACGGGCGCGAGCTTTCAAAAGGTAACGTCAACTCATTACGTCCTCTAGCACTGTAGCAATGTTTGCAGTAGTAACGACTTGAACGTGTAGTCATATCCATGAGCATGTTAAAATTCTCTTCTTGTGTTTCCACAATGGCAGTTATGTAATGGAAACGCAACCTTTTTCAATCCTGATTTGATAATATTATGATACACTTTAATTTATTGTAGGATATTGTGCGGGTATTATCCACTAACAATCCACTATAAAACGTTCTTTGTGACAAAAAGAAGTGCATGGGTCTCATCTGTGTGACCAGGACCTTGCATCTGACAAGTCTATTGTGTTACGTTATGTACATAGTACATTGTGTATTTCCTTTGATGTTAAAGATTTCTGTGACACTCCACAGCATCTGGTATCTCCTATCTGTTATCTATTAGTACTGGTCCTTGGGGACTGTTTATTCCGGTGCGCATTTGTTATGTCCTGCGTTGATTGTCTGCCTTTTTGTGTGAGGTAATCAGGCCTGTCGAGTATATGGGTGTGTCAGGGCCACGTAGCTGCAAGACACGTAGTTTGATAGTAGTCTTTGCACGCCATTCTGAGGACAGTGTTAGTACATACGGTCACCAGTCTCCCTGTGCATCTCCTAACTCTACTGCCAGAAGAGCAAAGGACTATGGCCGGAGGGTGCAGTCTTTGAGGACTTTGAGGCTTGCTTCATTTTTGTCTTAGCATGTAAACAGGCGTGTACGACACCTTTCTGCAGTGCCATAGCTGCTAGGTAGTAACATAGTCAACTGAAGCTTGCAGATTCTAAAAGAAGAAACTTTTGCCGGACTTTTCTTCTTCAGAACCCTTCCACGGGTTCTCTCCTTGGCATGAAGTCGAATCCCCTGTCTACTGTGAAAGTCGACTATGCCGTCACCAACCGGGGAGACCACTTCGAGACCGCCATCCGTATCATCACGCTTCTCATCCACCTGGGCTTCCTCGTGGGACTGTACATACAAGGTAGGACTCTACATATAAGGTAGGACTCTACATACAAGGTAGGACTCTACATACAAGGTAGGACTCTACACCTAATCTCCAAGCAGATCCCTTTCGGTGGCAAGTATCCATTAGCCAGAGAAGGTCGCCGGCAACGGTGGGGATAGCGACAAAAAACGACCATATATAAAAAGCTAACGATCATTTCCCCACAACCTCTGCTTGGAGAGTATCTACACCGTAATTTTAACTTAAGGAATATGCTTAAGTTCTACTCAAATGAGTACTGCTGTAATAGGTACGTTTAATGCATTAGACAAAGGCTCTAGATCATCCTGTTGGGGTTCTTGTGTCATAATCATTTGAAACATTTTCACATATCGTTCAAGGCAAACACTGAGATATATTTTGAGTGATATTGATTGTATGTTCATACACTTACTATTAGATACCCCAGGTCTAAGTGTAAAAGATCATTTATAGGCCAGAGGGATTCCTTGATGATACCGTTGGGTAGTTGTATTGTCTGCCTAGGACAAAGATACATAGTATGAATAGGACACTTTTAATATCTCTGATAAGTGCTATCTATGTATGCATGTAGTACATGTTGTATTTTCCAGTTACTGTGAAACGTCTCTAAAATCAGTACAGTCAGAAATCTATGTATTAAATCAGGGCAAGTCTCCATTCATATGTACGTGTTGCAATAGGTATTGGTCATTGATGCTGTATGTATAGTTTGTGTTTCTATGATTGTACCGTTGTTTTCAATGGGTGTAATACCTGAAAAATGACATTCATTCATTCATCCATTGTCTACCTACTTCATGAAATGCGCTTTGTGAAGGAATTTCATGTTCAGGCACGCGGAAAAATTAGTTGATAAATCACTTCATAATTACTCCCAGCAGAAATAGATTTTGTGGCTAGACTTGACTGAGGTCTGCGACATGTCAGTTGTCAATGCCCTTTTGTTATAAAAGACCGACGGCCTTGCCGTAAAGTTTGGTCGATAGTGTTGGCGTGTTTAAACCTTATTCATCAGCCAACCTTGTCCTCAGGCGACAGCTGATTCATAGTAGTTACAAAAGCAGTCGTAAATCAATCATGTAATGAGTTCAAGAACCTTTTTGTATTTCAAGATATCAAAGAGGCTTAACAAGCAGCACGACATAAAAAGCGTTTGCCGAATCTGAAAAAGATGACTTTGAGTACGTATTCCTGTTTTCATCCATAAATTTGTAAATCCATCCATCCGCCCATCCATCCATTCATTAATTCATTCAGCCATACATAATTTTACTCCAAAAATATATACATCACACATAAGTACAATGCCGTACTTTTGTACTTTACTACAATTTGTACCTTGTACTTACAGACGAATGGTATTTCTTCCAACTTTCAGTATGGCAAGCGTCAATGAGATTGTTCCAAAAACCACGTAAGTCCATATCTTTTTAAATAGCGTAATAATATCTCGTTGTGTAGTGGAAGGTAGCAATTTCAGATTTCAAAGATGTATTTGATATGGATATAACACATTAGGATCCAGTCACGAAGTGCAAAATCAGAATGTCAGATCACCTAATCGAAAATGACTTTGTTTCCGCAAGATCGGTTCCTCCTATTGTTATGAGATGACCTCGGAACAGCGTGAGCCGTCCCAGGGGAATATCTGCGTTTTATGACTTGTGAAGTTTCGTTTATCATTCCTGTTGGTAACCATGGTTACTAACAGCTTTTGTTGAACCTTCACGCGAACCGATGATCTTTTCTACATGATGGAGTACACTCGACTATACATCACATCAATTTGATAGTTTCATAAACAGTATCTCGCTGTTTAAGTGCACTTACATGTAAGTGGTATTGTTGTCAAGTCTTTGACTGATAATCCTGTTGTTTCGTTAACATCCCGTGTAAAGATTGATCTCATTCTGCGTTATCAATCTTGATCCAAAAGAGCAAAGACACCCCGGTGTTGCCATGTAGAAATCCAACTCTGACAGGACCTCTCCTTGGTGCTGAACTCACTATCACCAACTATTACATATATGTGATAGGACCTCTCCTTGGTACTGAACTCACTATCACCAACTATTACATATATGTGATTGGACCTCTCCTTGGTGCTGAACTCACTATCACCAACTATTACATATATGTGATTGGACCTCTCCTTGGTGCTGAACTCACTATCACCCCCAACTTTTACATATGGACCTCTCCTTGGTGCTGAACTGACTATCACCAGCAATAACATATCTGTGACAGGACCGGACAGCTTTTTGGTACTAAACCTGGCATCGCCAACTATAACATATCTGTGACTGAGCCTATTCTTTGTACTAAACTGGGCATCACTTATTATAACATGTATGTGACAGCACCTCTCCTTGGCACTGAACCAATTGTCACAAAGTATTACACATCTTTGACTAGTCCTCAACTTGGTGCTGACCTGGGTAACACTAACAATTACATTATCTGCAACCGGGCCTCTTATTGTTACTGAACTGAGCATCACTAACTATTACATATCTTTGACTGTACATCTCCTTGGTACTGAACACACTTTCACCACCTACAATTAAAAATATCCGTGACACAGGAATACTCCATCTAAATCCTTGGTACTAAACTGTTGGTCACCAACTATTACAAATCTACGACTGGACATCTCCTTGGTGCTGAACTCACTATCACCAACTATCAAATATCTGTGACAGGACCTCTCCTTGGTGCTGAATTTAGTATTACCAACTATTGCATATCTTTGACTGGACATCTCCTTGGTACTGAACTCACTATCACCACTTACAACATATTTGTGACGAGAATACTCCCTCTATATCCTTGGTACTAAACTGTTTGTCACCAACTATTACAAACTTATCACTGGACATCTCCTTGGTATTGAACTCACTATCACCAACTAAAACATATCTGTAACAGGATCTCTCCTTGGTGCTGAACTCACTATCACCTCCTATAACATTTCCGTGACAGGACATTTCCCTGGTACTAAACTCACTATCACTAACTTAACTATAACATAGATGTGACAGGACCTTTCCTTGGTACTGAACTGGGTATCAACGACTATTACATATATGTAACTGGACATCCCCTTGGAACTGAACTGCGTACCACTAACCATTACATACCTCGACCTCTCTTTGGTGCTTAACTCACTATCACCAACTACTAGTATTAAATATCTGTGACAGGATCTCTCCTTGGTACTGAACTTGCTATCGCTCATATATATCTTTTATTGTGTACTTTACATGTAGGCCATTCTGTGTATATGATAAATACATAGCCAGGTACACAAGTAAATTTTCGAGGTTGTTCTGTTCCCGCCTCCCCACCGCCCGTGTAGCGGACCCGTGCGCCCCTAACCCATGCCGGCATGACGGGCTGTGTTTGGAGGGACATAACGGGTACTACTGCGTCTGTAAGGAAGGATGGACCGGCAAGAACTGCACTTTGAACATAGGCAAGTCTCATCATGGGATTAATGACCGAAATATCACACACTATAAGAAGTATATACCCAGTTGTTTCGCTAATTTTAAACGTATATTAATAATAAAACATTTGCCATTTTTTAATTCTTGTCATGACTAATGATTAAAATTTTCGTGTAAAATGTCTCTAGGAGTGGTAATGTCGGTAAATCAGTCATGCATTCAAATATTGGATTTCATCTTTTACGTAATCAAAAATCTTCAAATCAAAAACGTTCGTTTTTAGGTATGTGGATTCACATATTTTCACATTTCGTACTTTTGGGGTTGAGATTGGATTTTCACGTTTTACAACATTAAAAATTTTTACCAAGCCCACTCATCTTTCTTGTCTTTTCATATGCGTGGTGTGAGTTCAGATAATTATATCAGCTTTGTTTCCTGCGACTGTTCCAGATGAGTGCGCGTCCTACCCGTGTGAAAATGGCGGCACGTGTCGGGACAGGATAGCAGGGTACATGTGCGACTGTGCAGACGGCTGGGACGGCATCCACTGTGAGATAAGTACGTCCTTATCCATACTTCATCTCAAGAAGAATAGGATTGTTTGATCTTGACAGATATCTATAATTATGATATTTGAAGACAATGGATAACATCGGGATACTTGAACATCTTCCCACGATACTACATCAATCCACTCTCACTTGTGTAAAGAAGAGATTACAATAGGCAAGTCTATTGCGCTTTAGATCGACAAGCGGTTATACTCTACGCCATCTGGGTAATCAGGACACAATAGTGAAAGGTCAAAGGTTCAAGCGTACTACGCCCTGATTATCCAAATAGTACTCGTGCAAAAGGCATAACCGACTGTCGATCTAGATCATTGTTGACAAAATGCGATCTTTCTATTCTCGACAGACATCGACGAATGTTTTTCCAACCCCTGTCAACACAACTCCACATGCCATGACGGTGTTGACGGTTACATGTGCGAGTGTGCGCCGGGATGGGAGGGTGTGCACTGCGAAAATAGTACGTATGGCCAGATATTGTCTCTGTACTACATGTGTAGTAATGTTACCTTTAAGTTAGTACTTGCCTTGACTTCATAACTGTTACTCCTGATATTGAATTCTACATATCTTTAAACCTTGTATAAAATGCGACATTAATTCACAAGTAGTTATCGTACAAGTTATCTTAGAGATAGACTTAAAGAATTACGTAACCATGGTCAACAACTACGTCACCAAAATGGCGACGATGCAGCAACAATCGCGTGAGCGGTGGTAGGTTTTCCCTTCTAGCGTTTTTCGTTTTGACCGGTTTGTAGCGTTACCTAGCGTAGTAGGTGAGTGTACTGTATCTCAGGATCTTCTGAGACCAAAAATTATTGTCGTATCTTCAAATTAAGTCGAGATATAGAGTGCGAAGTTGTGGAATGCATCCAAGGCTTCGGTAACTTAGTAAGTATAGTAGGGTTCCAACGTAAACAATCGCCACTACACTGCATTTGACGACATTTGAAGGTATAATTGATAATTCTGGGCTTTAAATTATCCTATCATACTCTGCCACATGATAAACTGAGTAAGGGTACACATTGAACTTTCTTTAAAAAATAATATGGACAATATAAGAGGAATTTGTAGACGAGCTATGCTTACATGAGACTATAGTACAGTAGGGGCATTGTCATTAGATAGCTTTAAACAATGTCTATAGATAGAAGTTCAAGGGTTAGGTGTAACATAGCCATTTGCCGCCGTGCCGCATGCCTGCAAAGCTGGTGTGTTATGCCGAAAGGCGGTTATACCAGCTTAAATACAGATAAAGATACTGAGAAACTTGTGAGTGGTGAGTGAATAGATGAATAACATTGAGCAACATTTTTGTCTAGATACTTTTGAATGTGGTTCGGACCCGTGTGAGAATGGGGCCACCTGCCATGATGAGGTGAACTACTACACCTGTGAGTGTGCACCTGGATGGGAAGGAACCCACTGTGAAATCAGTAAGTGCTTTATGTTTAACATTAATTCCTAGATTAATATCAAATTCCTTTATGAGATATTCACTGTCATTTTCTCTGCTACTGTATATCATTTTCCAAAACACTGTTCACTTTAGAAATTGTTTTAAACTTAGAATTCCCTATTGGATGTATGCAATATTTCATATCTAGGTTAAAGATTGTGTTTAATACACAACAGGCAAAGGACTTTTCCTGTTTTAAGGGAAGTAAATCTGAAGTTACCAGTGTTTTAGTCTTTCCAACTAGCTCTTTAATGAGATTGTATAAATGTGCATACATTGTGGTGCGGTGTCTTGGTGTCTTGAGACCAGTGAATACAAATAACATTAGTTTATTCCCAACAGATTCTCATTTATTAATTTTTGTTTCATATTTTGCATTGACAAGTTTTTATATTTTATAAAGTTTAGATATTTAGATTTTTGTTTGAATCTTCAACACAACACACAAACCACCGGCGCTCTCCTATTGGGGTCCAGCAAATCCTTTACTAGGGTATAGTTCAAGGTGCCCCTTACTTGAGTGTGTAGTGGCCAGGGTGCCGCTAGTATAGCACATTTTCAGCTATGCCAGGGCCTATTCCCACGATTTCTCGTGAGATCTCTTGTCATTTAACCCAGACCTGATGATATAGCAAGGTGAGTGAATCGACTGCCTGTTTTTGTGGTGATTTTGTAGCACCGCTGCAAACATCGCTTGCATTGCACACATCTAAAGCTGTGCCCCTGATTTGGTGACTAGTGTTGTAAGCTCAAGGCACACTTTAATATATTAGCTTGCAACGCTTGGGGGGCAAAAATAGCTGCCATTTTAACCCACTACACAAAATTAGGGACAACTAAAGAGGTGGGCAGATACAATCACTGCTTAGGGAGAAGCTATTTTCAATGGCATAAGTTTCTCAATTATCCGTAAGCCAAGGAAAGACAGCTTTGCTGGTGGTGCTTATTATTGATGTATGGTGTAGCAGCTGGTGGTTTGTGTGGTGTGTATTACTAAGTGATTCATACTCTTTATGTGCATTGAACTACATTCACTCAACTTGCTTTTACCATAAGGACTGATCCCACTTGCTGTTGATCTGACTAGCAATCTACATGTACAAAATGTATCTTACCTGCTCAAGTTAGCAAAATGACGTTCAAAGATGAAAAGTACAGTCATACTGTATGGTTTTTAGATTAAAAAAAAGCCTGCACAATAGTGAGATTTGGTATACTGGGGTATTCTGGAATTCGCATTGACTAGCTTAATCCCCATATATTTAGAAGTAAATGATTAGTTGGACGAAAGTTTTTTCACAGTTTCCTCAGAGAAAGCGACTACACCTTGTCATGTAGGTATTTGCCAGCATGAGACAAGTGCGATCAGTCACAATTTCTTCTTTAATGGACCTTACAAAAAGCAGTAACTTGATTTGTAGGGAGATATTTTCTAACCAAGTCTTCGTGTTAGACACGCATGAATGCGGGTCCAATCCGTGTGAAAATGGAGCCACCTGTCATGACCATGTGAACTACTACACCTGCGAGTGTGCACCTGGATGGGAAGGTGTTCACTGTGAAATTAGTAAGTCTGTATATCAGTTATACAATGTACTAGTATGTGCATCTTCCAGTGTCTAAACAAAGAAAAGTTTACTTGAAGATGCAGATTTCATTGTGATAAGATATGTGCAAAAATATATCATAGTCATCCAAACTTTTACTTGGTTTTGCCACAAGCATATATATACACAATATATGCCCCTAATAGTAATACCATTATGATATGTTCAAAGATGGTACTCGTAATCAAATATCATATACTGTTATAGTAGCATTTCACAAAGATTGGCTTTCAAGGCAGTTTTAGACTAGCTGTGTCAGCAACTGTTCACACCTGTCCTATTCCTTATTGATTTGTACAGACACCGCGGAATGTTCTTCCGGTCCATGTCAGAATAACGCGACTTGTCACGACCATGTCAACTACTACACTTGCGAGTGTGGGCCTGGATGGGAGGGAACACATTGTGAAATCAGTAAGGAGCCTTCTAACCAAGTATTGTGTAATTTTCGAGGAGAATATCATGCCTGCACACATTTCACATATCATACATTTTGAGCTGAATGTTATGCTAAAATTGTAGTTGGGTGAGTCTCGTGCTTTTGTGGTCAACTGCATTATGCTTTTTTGGAGTTTAAAGTGTCAGTTTGAATCTTGCTACGGACCTCTTATTAAAATCTGGGATATTTAGAAGGTTCCTTGTCCCTTGCCTCTAGACACAGACGAGTGTGCCTCGGGACCATGTGAAAACAATGCCACCTGTCATGATCATGTGAACTACTACACCTGTGAATGTGGGCCTGGATGGGAGGGAACGCATTGTGAAATCAGTAAGGAAATATTATTACACAGCAAGTCTCTAATATTTCTAAAATTATACCAGTTCTGATAAACTTTTAGATCAATTTGTCCAAAAGAGACAAGTGTTTTGGATCATCATGTTTCTATAACTCAATTTAGATTTTCACCATTTTGCTTTAAATTTGTCTTTTGTTTTCATCTCTTTGCACTTGCCACTACTTTTATTTTAATTTGTTCTTCTGGACAATCATTTCAGACACAGATGAATGCGCGTCTAACCCATGTCAAAATGGTGCCACATGTCACGATCACGTGAACCATTATACCTGCGAATGTGCTCCGGGATGGCAAAATACACATTGTGAAGAAAGTAAGTCGACAAAACTTTCTCACAAAATCAACCAGAGATGCTAGGATTTAACATTGTTGGCATATTCTGTATTGTAAATAAATTGTTCTTAAGTCAATGGAGTTTTGCAGTCTATCATTGACATTGTTAATTTTTTGCTGTCTGTTTGAAAATGGTAATGAGAATACTAAAGCTTGATAAGATTGTTTATACACTTTCTTATTTTAGTAGGTATTGAATATGACAGTATATTTCGGGAAAGACTTCAAGACCACAAAAAGTACAAATATACCGTTCTAGAGCTAAAAAAAACAAATTTGAAACAAAATCCCTGCACTCGAATGTTTCAGACACAGACGAGTGTTCATCCTCCCCCTGTCAAAACGGAGCGACATGCCACGACCATGTCAATTCCTACACCTGTGAGTGTGCTCCGGGTTGGCAAAACACACACTGCGAGGAAAGTAAGTTAGTTCTTCAAGTAATAAAAACCACAACAGTCACACATTGCTTCAACAACTGAAATAAAGTCTTGTTCTGAAATGACTTTTGTGCTATCTTTGTGTCTTTATTTTATGTTGATCATTAAAAAAACTTTGTCTCAAGGCACCAAGCACCATACTAAATGATTTGTAAGAAATGTTTCTTTTCATACTTTTTATTCTCTTGGAAAAGTTGTACTTAATGTTTTCGTAGAGGATTGGCATAATCCAAAATTGTAATATATCACATGGAATGATTTCATGGGTTTGATGCAATATCCTTTTCAATTTTTCTTTTTAGATACTTTTGAATGCGGGTCCAATCCGTGTGAAAATGGGGCCACCTGTCACGACCATGTGAACTACTACACCTGCGAGTGTGCGCCTGGATGGGAGGGAACCCACTGTGAAATCAGTAGGTTTTCTTAACATACATGTTCGTCTGTAACTCTGTTAACAACCGTTACTTAAAGCAATGCCACAAATGCTGAATATTGAGGTCTCATAACACAGCTGTGACGTACCAGTAACATACTGGTTTCATTGATACATGTAGCTGCTTGCGATCTAACATTTGTGATGAGCCATTTGTGATGTTTCTTTTTTACACTTTTAGACACAGATGAGTGTGCCTCCATCCCCTGTCAAAACAACGCCACCTGTCATGACTGGGTGAACTACTACACCTGCGAATGTGGGCCTGGCTGGGAAAACACCCACTGTGAAATCAGTGAGTTCGACAGTAACAAAATAAATAAACTCTCTTTTCCAGGCTAATCCTCTTTTCATAATCTATAAGGAGATAGATTTTTATGAATATTACCATTAAACTCAAGACACCAAGACAGGGTACACTTTTGTGAAAATCTAAAAATTGTTTCTGCTGGAAGAAGATTTTACAAACTTTTTCCCCGGTGATGAAACACAGACACAGATGAGTGTGCATCCGGACCATGTGAAAACAACGCCACCTGTCATGACTGGGTGAACTACTACACCTGTGAATGTGGGCCTGGATGGCATGGGGTCCATTGTGAAATAAGTAAGAACCTCTTAAAATCTTGTGTCAACTTGTACATTTCTAGATTATTGTTTGTAAGGTGCAATGAGAAATAAGAAAAATGCTCCATATTACTTTTCATAAAACTTATCTAATGTACTTCTCTATCAAGAAACTACTGATCTTGAGCTGTATTAAGTGCCCAGTATCTTACACTTAACTCTTTACTTGGACTGCTTATAGAAAGGTGGTGGCTTGAGAAATGTTGAACTTAATGTTATGTTTTCCTACAGATACAGATGAGTGCGCATCAGGACCATGTAAGAACAACGCCACCTGTCATGACCATGTGAACTACTACACCTGTGAATGTGGGCCTGGATGGCATGGGGTCCATTGTGAAATCAGTATGTTGTTATGTCTTAGACTAACATTGATTGTTTAAGAATGCCTGACTGGCTGGATTATATTCACTGAGATTTCTTTGAATGTGTGTTTTTAAGGACACCTGTTTTGTCCTTTCTAAAACTTAATTTATTTTACAGACACAGACGAGTGTGCATCAGACCCATGTCAGAACAACGCCACCTGTCATGACCATGTCAACTACTACACCTGTGAATGTGGGCCTGGTTGGGAGAGTGTCCATTGCGAGATCAGTATGTCACATTTGAGATCTTTCATAAGTTTTAAAGTGTCAGAAATTTATCACGTGTAATTTGATTCAGGATTTAGTAACTCTGGAGATTGTTTGAAATTAAAAGTCTCGAGATTGTTGGAAAAAAATCTCGAGATGATTTGATTAATTTTTAAAAAATCTTAAGATTGTTTCAAGTAATCTTGAGATAGTGCAGAAAATCTTAAGATAAGTTTTTCACAAAATATCAGCTACATTTGTATGTAACTATATGCTGCAAATGGCTAGAAACCTTTGTCAAAAGTGCAACAAATTTGTCTATTAGTAAGTTTAATCTCATGATGCTGTTTAATGTCTCTTGCAGACACTGATGAGTGTGCATCTGATCCATGTGAGAATGGGGCCACCTGCCATGACTGGGTGAACTACTACACCTGCGAGTGTGCACCTGGATGGGAGGGTGTTCACTGTGAAATCAGTAAGTGCCTGGCTAATGTGTTACACTATGGAGGCCTCAAGGAGGTAATTTTTTCACTGAACACTGCTAGCGCTGTGCAAAATATTTAGATAATTATGCTTTCGATATACTTCTACTGTTGACGTTGAGTGTTGTTTAACTCAGTCTCAAATATATCTGAAAATGAATATTTTAAGTAAGAAATACACTCAATAGAGTCTGTATTTCTTTAGGATATTTCCATGAACATATGTACTATGTATCATTCTGTATAGCTGGTATAACTAACCTTTGGCATAACATACTAGATTCGCAGGCACACTGAATGACTCGGTACACACATATTAATTACTATTATGTGTACCTCCTACTACATGTAGCAGAACTTCTAATTGTTGGTTGCTGAGAGCATCCTAAGTTTCATTTTTGAAGAGAAACTGAGAGATTGTTTTGTCGTGTATGAATGTCACCTTCTTTATGACCAATGTACTATTTGAGTTTGTACAAGCTTGGGTCCAGCAAAACTTTGAAAATGTACATGAATATTTGTTGTGGTGCTTTTTCGTAAAGATTTCGTAAAGCGTTTCAGAAACACATGATGGACATAGAGGTGTGCAAAAGGCAAAAAAGGTCAGATGGTTTCTTAGAATATTCACTTCACAAGGTTTTTCACTGCAGTGAGATGTGTAACTTGGTGACACATGGGTGACGTTACATGTCTTAGGCGGTTGGTAATCCATCTTGAGATTCATAACATCTTGGAAAATCTCTTACACCCTGGAATTGAAGGAAATGAAGTAACACACTTGTATCAGATTCTGTCCTTTTGGTTTCTAAATTCTATCATATTGTTTTTTTAAGTTTCATATGTCTGTTTTGTTTTCTTTATGATAATATGTTTTATGATTATCATAATGATTCTACTTCCTATTATTAATTAAGTGGTTTTCTTAGGTTTAATAGTTGAATAGAAATTATTATTTTCCTTTATTTTCTGGAAGAAATTAAGCTTTAGCTAAGAGTGAAGATGGAAGACCAATCGCAGAATACATGTACAACAATGCCTCTTTTGTCAGTTCTGCACACTGAACCAAGAAACATAAATTTCACTGACTCAAGCTTGTAGATTTTGTATCTACACTATGGGTACCTTGAGGCCTCACACTGACTTACTTACAGCATAACATAGAACCCACCATAGCACATTCTTGCTTTCAACAAAGTTATGTTGTGCATGCGATGTTCCCTTTCAGTGCTGTAAATTCTTTTGTCAATGCGTGCTATAACAGGGTCTGGCCACATCTTTTGGCCTACCCTATGTTTGAATGCCACAATACAATATTTTTGTATCCTCGTTTACAGATACCAACGAATGTGGTTCGAATCCCTGTCAGAACAATGCAACCTGTAATGACTTTGTGAACTACTACACCTGTAGTTGTGGGCCAGGATGGGAGGGAATCCACTGTGAAATAAGTAAGGTTTTAATTTTAGAACTCAAACCCAAAATATTTTTTATCTCTTTTCTGTCACATTGGAACTATTTGCTGTCTATTATTCTTTGAATTCACATTCACTATGTGAACTTTTTCTGTTCTCATTTTTCTGACATTAGACACAGACGAGTGTGCTTCAGACCCATGCCAAAATAACGCCACCTGCCATGACTGGGTGAACTACTACACCTGTGAATGTGGGCCTGGTTGGGAAGGAGTCCACTGTGAGATAGGTAAAGCAGTTTTTAAAACTAATGGTGACCTAAAGAGTATTGAATTTATTTACATTCTATGCTTGCCAAATAAACAAGAAGCAGGCCCCCCTGTTTTTTTGTTGTTGTTGTTGAGATAATACGTATCATTACTTGATTTATCTATTGTCAATACTTTTGAGACAAATCTATTTCTTGCAAAATGTTGATCATTACATAATTCTTAATTGTTGCATACCTACTACCCTCATCATTGAAATGTCTACAACTTAATTTGCATACAGATTCTGGAGAGTGTGGCTCGGATCCATGTCAGAATGGTGCCACCTGTCATGATGGCGTCAACTTCTACACCTGTGAGTGTGCACCTGGCTGGGAGGGTGTTCACTGTGAGACCAGTAAGTTGAAATGTTGAGTCTTAATGCAAGTCTGAAGCCTTGTTCATGTGAAGTTACCCAAACCACGATTTGGGTAACTCGCATTACTCACATCTGGTCCACGTGCCATACATTCCTTTCAAACCGTTCCCGATCACAATTCTCTGAAACTGCATTTATTGTTGTTTGATGAAAACTCAAAAGGTAGTGTGTTATAAATGTCAGAGGTCAACGACCTGCTTTCTGGTGCCCCCCTCCCAGCGTATCTCGGCCGAATGCCGACGTGGTCCCGCCAGAGGCGGTGAAGCTCGTCCTAGAATGGACATATTATTTGACCATTGCTGCTCTTTAAGTTGCTGCCACGTAAAACTTGGTATTGCATATAAATAAAGATATATCACCGCATAATCCATGACCGGGTGAAGTCACATTGAAATCACATTGTGCTCAGACGCAAATCGCGATGCGGGAAAACCGATTCAAAACAACCTCTAGAAGTGGCTTCGGATCGAGGCGCTTTCAATGTGATTTGGAGCATTCAGATGGGGCCACTTGAAACCTGCTTCGGGGTAAACCACATGTAAAGCGCCTTCACTGACTTCACATGAACACGGCCTGAGTCACCATTCTTCTCTTCAACAACCATCTTGAGCACCTACCACTTGACTTGATTTTTGGAAAGTCACAACAAAAAAAGGCCGCATTAAACTACAGGTCTCACTAACAGTAGCCAGTGTTCAGTTTGCCATCATCCTACAAAATTCAAATTATTGTCTCAGTTTTGTCTGTACTTATACCACACTTGTCTCTCTGATATTCATAGATACTGATGAGTGTGCATCTAGTCCGTGTCAAAACAACGCCACCTGCCATGACCATGTGAACTACTACACCTGTGAATGTGGTCCAGGCTGGGAAAGCACCCACTGTGAAATAAGTAAGATCCTCAAAATCATAAAATTTTAGTTTTATTGCTTTTGCTGATTTTGTGAATCCTTTTGTGTAAAACCAGCTACCTCTGTGGTAATTGAATCATAAATTTTGGTCAAGAATGTTCAAGAGGTTGAGAAAATATGAATTTTTGCCACAGATACGGATGAGTGTGCATCAGACCCATGTCAAAACAACGCCACCTGCCATGACTGGGTGAACTACTACACCTGTGAATGTGGACCTGGATGGGAGGGTGTTCACTGTGAGATCAGTAAGTATGAAAATTGTGCTTCTGTATGGCTCTGAATTGTATCTGATTTGTGGCAAATTATTGTCTCAGTTGACATATGTTCGCATCATTGCATGGATGCTCTCTGGCATTTCAAATAAATGTAACAGTAACTCTAACAGTATTCTGGTGATTTTGTGTTTTCTGTTTATTCACATGAGACAACGTTCTAAAATAGGTATAATTTCTTACTCCAGACACAGATGAGTGTGCTTCCATCCCATGTCAAAACAATGCGACATGTAACGACTGGGTCAACCAGTACAACTGTACATGCCAACCAGGATGGGAGAGTGTCCATTGTGAGATAAGTATGTTGCTTTTCATTTACTATGAATGCTGCTTTTCCTATGCAGATTGCATGCTACCATCTTTCCATGTATGTTGCATTTTCAGTAGAGAAAATATCTTGAACCCTTCAACCCAAAATGAAGTTTATCATTAATAGTTTTATGTGATTAATTGCTTTCTAATGGTCCTATCATAATTTGTGGCTAATTAGCAGAAGACTTAAAGCACACTTAGCTTATCACATGTACATGTATGTAGACACAAATTTAATTCTGATCTTTTTTTCAGACACCGATGAATGTGCATCAGATCCCTGCCAGAACAACGCCACCTGTCATGATGAAGTGAATCAGTACTGGTGTGAGTGTGGGCCTGGATGGAATGGAACTCACTGTGAAATCAGTAAGTTGAGCCTTTCTTAACATCCACCAAAACCATTGGAATTTTTACGCTAAAACAGTTCAAAAATATGAATGGGGCAAATCAAGGTAGTATAGCAGCAGAAACAAACAAATTTTTGTTGTTTATCATGTTTTATCTATAGATACACAGTCAACATTAATCAAAATTCAAAGTGTTGTATGCTTTCATGATATAACAAACGTTCAAATAACTATGACACATCTTATATTGCACAATTTAGAGCTATGTTTCACTTTTCTTTAACAAACTGACATGCTTCCTAGCTATGAAACATGCCCAAGTACTACTGTTTCGTGTGTTGTTGTTTTTTTCAGATGTGGATGAGTGTGTATCAGAGCCTTGCCAGAACAACGCCACCTGTCACGACCACGTCAACTACTACACCTGCGAGTGTGTGGGAGGGTGGAAGGGCATCAACTGTGATGACAGTACGTCGGTCTACCTTGTACAATATCAACTTAGAGCTGTCCTTGGTGCTGAAATAATGATGGCTTTAAGAGAAGATGAAAGTAGGTTTTGAAAGAGACAATTGGCAAAAAGCTACGTGTAACAACAACAAAAATGAAAAAGTGGAGAACCAATATAGAAAACAACATGATCAGTAATAGGATATATGTTAAAGCATAAAGGAATTCTAGATTTGGTCTTACAAGAGATGTGTATGCAAGAGATTTTATCCTTTCATGAAAGTTCATTTGTATTGGTAGTTACATGTTTAAGGTTAAAACTTTTGATCCAACACAAACAATAAAGAAATTCTCTCAGAGCTTTCGACCAGTCACTCTGGTCTTCCTCAGTAGACTGATCCAATGAGGTCTGTTTAGCCTTGGTTGTGATATTATTAACATGCATACCCATGTCCTGATTATTCAGATGCCATTCTGTAACACAGATAACGACGAGTGTGGGTCCAACCCGTGTCAGAACAACGCCACCTGCCATGATCTAGTGGATGCCTACAGATGTGAGTGTGGTCCTGGCTGGGCAGGAGTTCACTGTGAAATAGGTGAGTTTTCATGCAACTTAAAAAACTATGTTTTGGCCATCAAACATTTACATGAACACTAAAAGAACATTGATTAAGTCAACATTAGATGCAATATGCTTCTACATGGCCAGTCATTTCTTTTTTATGTTTACCGAAGGAAAACATATTGTTTTTACTCAGTTTCTTCCTCCTCCTCTTCTGTTCCAAATACTAACCTCTGACCTGGCCAATGACATGATTTGTTGACGTCTGTCACCATGGTGACTGGTGTTGGGTTACATAATGTTGCAATTTCATGGTCCGCTCTACTCCTGTCACTGACCATATACTCATAGTACATGTATGTGAGTGTGTTTGAGTAAAAATTAACAGGGCAGACCATGTCCGAAGGTAAACATTATGCATTTGCTTTGCAAATGTTACTTCTCTAGTTCATTGATGTCTTAATGACAATGTTACAGTTACTGTATCATTTTATTATTTTCAGATATCTTTGAGTGTGGCTCAGACCCTTGTCAGAACAACGCCACCTGTCATGACTGGGTGAACTACTACACCTGTGAATGTGCACCTGGATGGGAGGGTGTTCACTGTGAGATCAGTAAGTGACTTATTAAATTAATAGAATCTCTGCAAATCCATGTACATGCCAGAGTTGTCACGCATGCCCTTTACACACATTAGGAGTTAAAAACTGCATTTAGAAAAGTTCGCTTCCCAAAAATATCTTTCAAGTTATGGGATGATTCAAGTGTGAAAATGGCAAGGGTGCAAATGAAATATAAGCTGTGAATTTATGTTTGCAGAATTTGTTTTAAGCATTCAATTTGATGTCTTGGTGTCTATATACCTTGGGAGGAAAAGGGTGAAACAAACATACAAACACACGCACGCGTCTGTCATCAGTTGGGTCCAGCATATCTTGATGTATTGCGCATGAACAGAACTGTTTTGCTTCGCTTCGCTCTTGAACATCTAGGTGGTCCACTTTGTTCCTTGTTCCTACATGGCACTGTTGCTTCACACTTCGAAGATTCTCTTGAACAATTGTAGTACAAGCTAATCTTCAAGTGCTGAAGCAACATGTATTCAAATGGGGGAATTGAAGGAATAAAGTGGACATAAGGAATATTGGGATCCAGTACGGTAAAGTAGGGACTTCCAGCTGGAGGGAGGTAGGAGGGGGGTTGAAGGTAAGGTCTCTGATGTCATCCCATCTTACGGGTGTTGCATGCAGTTCTATCCATGCGCAATAGACCAATCCCGGCTGTCCGTCAAAATTTAATTAGCAGCTTGTTGTAATCAGCCAATAAGCATAGCTGTTGCTTCTTGCATCTGCTATTTTGCTTGTTCTTGCAAAGATCTGCTTTGAGCATTTCTATGGGTTTGCTTGAGTTGAATTAGGGGCAACGGGATTGGTCTATAAACTTTAAGATCCACGCTTTTTGACACTCCAAGGTGCAGCATATTTTGCTAACCGTAAATGCATTTTCTTCAAACAATATGCACTGCCATTTCAAGGAAAATACAAAATGTACAAAATGTGCCATTTTAGATGCTTTTAACTTTTTACTTTAAAAAGGCTATCATCACTTGCAAAGTTTTCATGATTTTTATCATTTTTCTTTCAAGCTTTCTTACTTGCTTGTCTGTCTTTTAGGTTCTGGTGGAGTGAAGGTGAAAAGGTGCAGGGTGGGCAAAAGAATGACAGCTTGAATAAAGAGGTGTTACCTTAATATAACGACAGGTTTTCTAAAATACTGTTATGACTTTCTTTTCAGATACAGACGAATGCTCATCAAACCCTTGTCAGAACAATGCCACCTGTCATGACTGGGTGAACTACTACACCTGTGAATGTGGGCCTGGATGGGAGGGTGTTCACTGTGAAATTGGTCAGTATAGCTCACTCTCCAACTGTCTTTTGTTTTTTTAGCAGATTTTGGGGCAGCATAAAAGTTCATCTGTGTTGGTAGGAGTTATTATGAAGCAAGCCTAAACCGTAATTTCCAACACGAAATGTTGGATTTTTGACTGTACAACTCCAGTCATTGTCATGTCCAATTCCTTGTGTTAGAAGTCACAATTGCACAGGATAGTCTTGCTTCATAATGTGATTTTATGTGCAGTACAGAAGTCATTAAAAGTTGGTTAGATCCCATAGAAAAGCTCTGATTCACACAATTTCATGTCTTTGTTCAAATGAAGATACCTACGAATGCGGATCCGACCCATGTCAGAACAGCGCCACCTGCCATGACTGGGTGAACTACTACACCTGCGAATGTGCACCTGGTTGGGAGGGTGTTCACTGTGAAATAAGTAAGTCCTATTGTACAGATCACATTGCACAACTGTTTACGATTTAAGCTGGAACATTCAAATCTGTTCAGCATTTAAACCATGGAGTGTTGCAAGCAAATTGAAACACTTTATCTAGTAGAAGGCACTGATATTTGTTCTTTTTTACTGCTGATTGTTTTTCTTACTGACAATGTCATTATCTTTGATAGTTGATGTTTTCTAAGTACATAATGCCAAATTTAACATCAAGAATACTACATGTACCTTTGGTCTAATATGGTCTTAACTCACCCAACTAGTTCCACCCCTCAGAACTTTTAAGCATTCCACTAGATTTTCCACTAGCTCACACAACTTCACCGTCCAAATTCCTTGTTCGAAATCTTTTTACAGTCAGTGACAGTTTCTTTCGCCAAGCTTTGGAATTCCCTCCCTGACAAGTGTTTCCCACCAACCTACAATCTACAGGCTTTCAAATCAAACGTTCACCGCCATCTCTTGACATAGCTATGTTTCTCTCATATTTCTAGTTCAGTGCCGAGAAGTGGTCGTATAGGCCTTGCATTGAACCACTCCATTAAAAAAATGGGGTCTTACAGTAACTTTGGTGTAGAAAATTATTCATGATATGTTTGTTTTTTCAGATACTGATGAGTGTGCATCAGACCCATGTCAGAACAATGCCACCTGTCATGACTACATCAATTTTTACACTTGCGAGTGTGCCCCTGGATGGCAGGATGTCCACTGTCAAACTAGTAAGTCATTCTTTCATGCAGTGTTTGAGTTTTATTTAGATCCACAATTAGCCTCATAAGAGGCTATTCTTCCTGTCGTCTACACATTCATATTTACATACATGTATGACACATGTACAAAAACATTACAATGTTAACAGTACATATATATAGCAAACTTAACACTATTCCTTAAATACACTATTTACAGTCCAGTACTTTGCTAGTTGCCGCCTGTGTTATTCCACAATTGTGACATTCTGTACAGAAAGTGCCTTTTCTGAGAGTTGGATTTTGGTTTTGGTAGTCTGATTTTGTTTGAGAGAACTCAATAATGCTGGCAAGGGTTTTCTTTGGAATTCACGCCTCTGAATCCTAGACTTGTGATATTGCCAATACATCTCTGTATCATGTGACTGTAAATATTTCAGACACAGATGAGTGTGCTTCAGGACCATGTGAAAACAACGCCACCTGTCATGACTGGGTGAACTACTACACCTGTGAATGTGGGCCTGGATGGAATGGCACCCACTGTGAAACAAGTAATTTCCATCAATTTTTTTATTCTCTTATTGTATGAAACAACAGGTTAATTCTACTTTGCAGCTTATCAAAGAATATTAACCTGATAATATTCTGGATTATGATTTTACTAGATGATTTATGTAAATCTCTATTTTTTTTGTTTTATCTCTTTAGTTTTGAAAAATCTAGGTATAGCTTTTAGTCTGTGCTGGATTCCCCCACTTAAATGTCATTGCTAAACAAATGCAAGATATTCTGTGGTTTGGTTTCTGAAGGTCCTACCTCTTCCATTCTACACCAGAAATGCATTGTGTTCAAATGCTTACAGATGTGTGAAATCCCAATACAGATATCAATGAGTGTGCATCCAACCCATGTCAGAATAACGCCACCTGCCACGACTTTGTGAACTACTACACCTGCGAATGTGCACCTGGATGGGAGGGTGTTCACTGTGAAATCAGTATGTATCGTAGAATGTAACAGTTACATCATGTGTTGTTCATAGAACCAGAAAATAAGTACATTGTGAATGATAACTGTCTAGTAGGCAAACATAACAGAAGATACAGTTTTCTTAACTCACTTTCAAATTAATATATTACAACACTTTGAATTTATTTCTTGGAGGTATTTTTTGTGATCAATGACCAAAACAAAATCCCCCCAAAACTCAAGATGTTAAATATAGTGAGAGATAATCAGAAACGAATTTCTGCAGGTCTCTTCAAAAACTGCAATTGTTTAGATTGTCTTTCACCACGTTTCTTTTACAGATACAGATGAGTGTGCTTCAGACCCATGTCAAAACAACGCCACCTGCCATGACTGGGTGAACTACTACACCTGTGAGTGTGCACCTGGATGGAACGGCACCCATTGTGAAACAAGTATGTATTGTCACAAGCTGTGTAGCTTATATTATCATGAAAGTTCATCTGTGTTGGTAGTTATATGTTTAAACTAAAGTTAAAACTTTTGGTCCAACACAAAAAAGTTCTCTCACCTAGAGCTTTTGACCAGTCACTCTGGTCCTCCTCAGTAGACTGACCCAGTGTTGACGTCACACTTCAAAGAAGCCATGTGACAAGCTTCACTGGGTGGAAAGCTCTAGGTATGAGAACTTTTTTGCGTTGGACCAAAAGTTTTAACTTTAAACCTGTGCAGTTTGTATTGGGATTATATGTATGCAACGGTAGATCATAGTTATCTGTAATTATCATTAAAAACCCTTTTTTGTGAATAATACAACCTCCCTTTGAATTAAGATTCGGTCTAAATATAAAGTAGCCAAATTGATACACATGGGTAAAGCTTGACACTATGTGTTAACATTACACTTTTGTGCTTTGCAAGTCATTGAATATACCATGATACATACAATGACTGTTTTCCAGATATTGATGAATGTGCATCTGATCCGTGTCTGTACAATGCCACTTGCCACGATGAGGTCAACTATTACCGGTGTGAGTGTGCGCCTGGATGGGATGGACTGTATTGTGAAATAAGTAAGATGTTTTCAACTTTAATTATTTCATGCATGTCCTTAATTCAGTTTAATTTCCAGTAAATGTTTTTACATCTCAATTTCAATTTTTACTATCAACCATCTAGGTTTTACTGGGCCAAACAGCATTTTAAAAGAAACTGTTACTAATCATAAGTCACTGACAAAAAGTAATGGATGCTACATGAAATGTCTGACAGTTTTGAAAATGTATCCAGTTGACTGAGTAACAATTTCCATGTATTATTACTAATGATATTGTATGTTTGTGGGTTTTTCTTTCTTCAGACATAAATGAGTGTGAGTCTGACCCATGTCAGAACAATGCCACCTGTCATGACCATGTCAACTACTACACCTGCGAGTGTGTGGGAGGGTGGAGAGGAATCAACTGTGATGACAGTATGTCGTGCTTTCTTGTGCTTTCAACTTAGAGCTGCTCCTATCCTTGGTGCTGAAATAATGGTGGCCTTAACATGGCTTTCCTCACCCTGCCTCACACTTGCTATGCTATTCTTGATGCTAATAGACATCTGTTTAGCTACTATGATAGAGATGTCTACCTACTATGATAGACATTCTTGATGCTGATAGACATCTTTTTGGCTACTTTAAGTGCCTTTTGGCATAACACACCAGCTTCTGTACCTGTATAGCCAGTATAACCGCTCTTTTGCGAAACACACCAGCTACACCGAACAACTTATTACACTTAGCCTTTGCACATCTAACTCTAAACATTGTTTGAAGCTATCAAGTGATAATGCCCCTACTGTATTTGGTGGCAGCAAGTTCCACTCTACAATAGTTCTCAGGATATTCATGTAGAAAATGCAGTAAAGTGGTGGCATTCCTGTCCTTAGTGCTGAAATAAAGGTATGTATAAGTAGATATAATATGGCCTCCAAAGACTTAACCTACATCTTTTTTTTACCTACTTCTTCCATAGATACCAACGAGTGTGACTCTAACCCCTGCCAAAACAACGCCACCTGCCAAGATGAGGTGAACCAGTACACATGTCTGTGCAGCCCTGGGTGGGAGGGCACACACTGTGAAACAAGTAAGATACTCGGATATTGGAGTTTTCTTTTACACAACCAGTAAAGACTCTCACCTCCTTGTCTTTTGATATCTATCAGACATCTTCCTCAGAGCGTCTGACTGGAGTACTGCTTCTTGCAGGTATTGGTAGCTGATTTAGGTCTAAAAGAAACTCCAATACCCAATGTTCTATCAGCCTGATGAATTGTTTTCGGAAGTAAAATCCTTATTTATTGATAACCTTCTAACATTTTGATACCATGTCATATATTGTATGTATACAATTTATATTTTAGGCTGGGTTTTAGCAGACATAGGTAAATTCCAGTTTTACCCATTCAAAATACAGATTTCACCTGTTTTCATCCATGATAATAAAATGCTTGTCCCTTCAGTTAGAGTTTACTGAAGCTAGATATCTTTTAGGATAGGTTAATTGTGGGGAATTCAGTTTATATTTCTCTGTTACAGATACCAACGAATGCATGTCAGATCCATGTCAAAACAACGCCACCTGCCATGACTGGGTGAACTACTACACCTGTGAATGTGGACCTGGATGGGAGGGTGTTCACTGTGAAATAAGTAGGTGTTGCCAAACATTCAATAAGCTACATTAACATTTTGAAGTCTGAATGATGTGTGATGACATTATTTATGAACACTAGTTATTACCATGTTTCTTGATGTCTTGGTGTCCTTTTTATACATGGGTACATAGTGATCATAAATGCTTTAATCTTAACATGCAATATCATACAAACAAGTCAGTACAATTTATGACATAACCTTAAAGCCATGTTGGAGCATACTATAAAACAGAAAAGAAGAAAAAATAGAACTCAATGTGGACACAAATGGCATGTAATAGACTCAACCAATTGAAAGTTATTTGTTTAAGAACACAGTCACAGTGACTGTTCTTTTTAGAACTCCAACATGGCCAGTAGGTTTTAGGTTACAATAGGTGTAAGTCACATGATTGTTGTTTCTCATGTTGGGTCCAGCAAAGCGTTGCCATACTGTATCACAACATAATATGTGTGTGCAAATACACGGTGTCAGCAATGTTAGTAGATTTGCTTCATTATAAGCTATTTGGGTAAAGTTCAGCAGGTGGAGAAAAGGAATTCTTGTTGGGTAAGCTGGAAAACCGTTAAATGTTCTGGGTGGTAAAAGCACTGACTTGCATGGTAGTGGGTGTGCATAGGGTCTATTGTCTGTGTAGGAACACGGTGAGTAGGTCACTAAATAATTAATTGTGTTAATGATGACATTTGTATGACAAATTGTGCCACTGGTTTATAAACAATATGTATGAAGAATCTTGTTCAAATTCCATTGTGAAGAATGTAACCTTAAAGTCAAAATTGGCAGACTTGAAAGTAAGAATCATACAAATGTCAAACATCTAAACACCAAGTACGAAGTAAAATTTACTTAAGGTATTAAGTATGAGATGTGTGTGGTGTGTACTTTTTTTTACAAAAACTCACTGAATGTTATGAATACCTTTCTTGCTAAGGAATACAAGTAGTTGTTACAGTAGAAACTCTTGCTGTCTGCTTCTTACACGCTTTGCTGGACCTGCTTGTCTCACGTAGTACTGTAGTGTAGAGTATACCCAACTAGCATGTCTTACACTACAGGTCTGACTTGAAATGTACAGAATAGCATTGTCTGGGACATTTGCCTGCTTCTTTTGTATTGTGTGCGCATGCTATTTTGTCTCCAAAATGCTAAAGAAAATTAGAATTTCAAACCCCAATCACTGCCCTAGTCCTGTATACTGTATAATAAACTGTATCATATGGGAAGGGTTGAATTTTGAAGATACCTAAAATTTCAAAGATACCTAAAATCGTCTTGTCAGTATGGCTTTCCCTATTATCATGAAACATGCATTTCTGGGAACAGGTCATGTGAGCAATATAAAGAATACTGGCTGATGTCCTGCATTGTTCACATTCTAACTAAAGGTTTTGAACTTTGGTGGGTGTTGTACACAGGGTGGTCACCTCTCTATCTCTGAGCAACAATGTATGATCTAACTTTCTTCTTTTCCATTCTATGGGTGTTACTAATATAACATCACACAAGAATGTGCATGTAACATGATAACTTCTTGGTGATATTCCCAGTCATATCATAGTATAAAAGATACAGTTTTATCAAATAAGTTGTCTCACAGTTCCACCTGCACATGTACTGTGTTGTAGTCTGTTTAACAATTTCCTGACTGCAACAGTGTTACTATACACTTGGAACTGTGAGATGGATTCTTATTTGAAGGGATATGTCTTGCAAAAGCCTTCTTTTGATCAGCTTTTTCTTTTCAGATACCAATGAATGCATGTCAAATCCCTGTCAGAACAACGCCACCTGTCATGACCAGGTGAACTACTACACCTGTGAATGTGCACCTGGATGGGAGGGTGTTCACTGTGAGACCAGTAAGTGCCATCTTCATGTATAAATAATCTATAACCAACAATAACCTGACAAAAAAAAAAAGAACTCAAAAACACTCCTCAACATTATAACATAAGCTGAATGATTTCTGCTACTGGTAATAGTATAACTGATAAACTTTAAGCTAATTTTTGGGACTGAGAAAATGAACTATACTGTACATGGTGGGAATTATAAAACACTTTTTTTGGAGGAGTAGAGCTTTTCAGTACCCAAAGAACTTAGCTGAATGGTTACTGAAATGTCAGTAGGTAAATCGGTAATAATCATGTATATACAATTTAGTTCTGAAGTTACAGAATTGCATTGACCTGATTTGATATCTTTCTTTGCTTTCTTTTATCACAGATACAGATGAGTGTAGCTCAGATCCATGTGAAAACGGGGCCACCTGTGTTGACTGGATTAACTACTATGAGTGCAGATGTGCTCCTGGATATGAGGGAACACTCTGCAGTATTGGTAACATTTTCATTATTATAGACTAAGTGTGAAATCTCTCCATGTACTCAATGACATACAACAGATTTAGATTCAGATTCAGCTTTATTCACACTGACATGACATGAATTCAATACATGAATTCAATTCAATATTTACAATCATGAAAATGTTTAAAATACACAGAGCAGATCAATAAAAACTACATTTTAAAATGCGATTTAAAAACATTTTACATTGACAATATATATTACGTCCTCAAAGAACAACTTTATAATTAATCATATCGCTAGAAAGCAGTAAGTTGTACACTGTTCTAAAGAAACATGTTTGGCTTCTTCTTAATTCAGATAGTTACATTTTTTGTACAGTAAAGTAAAATAAGGAAAAATAAGGTTTGCAATTATAGCTCAACTACTAGTTAAGTTCCTGAACATTTACATGATACATACTATTCATTACATAAGCATGCAATAGTCATATATACTTGCTATATACATACGTAAATTATGATATATAGTTTCCGTGTGATTTAAACAATTAGACCTCTTGTTTCTCCACAGATACCAATGAATGTGAGTCCTTCCCCTGCCAGAACAATGGAACATGTGTGGATGAAGTCAATGGCTACATTTGTGTCTGTAACTCTGGATGGTTTGGACGCCACTGTGAGAGTAGTAAGTAACTTTATCACACATTTTTATACAACTTTTAAAAATCACGTGTAGATGTATTAATTTTACTGTTATCAACCTATAATTTATTTATGTCCATCTTGTCTTGAAAAGACAAATTAAGTGTCTGTTTTAGACCAACTGCCTCTAATGTAATAATAAAGGGTTAATGCACTGCCCCGAGTTGTATATGGTGTCATAACTGCATGAGCAGCTGCCATAACCACCGAATAAACCACCGTGTGAGCGAAGCGAACGAGGTGGTTTATGAGGTGGTTATGGCAGCTGCCCATGCAGTTATGACACCATATACAACGAGGAAAAGGCAGTGCATTAAAATTATTATCATATAGCCTATCCAAACTGTCAATCAACACAATTCCTGTTTGAAATACAACAGCTTTAATATATATACATACATAAAAATACATTCGAATATATTATACGCTTTAAAACAAATATGGATAATTTCATTTAATGCAAATTGTAGTTTAAATGAAGCTAAACAAAAAAGTTTATTGGACAGAAAAATGCTACAAAGGTTAACAGAAAGAGTCGCATGCCCCTATACCCTATAACATAATGGTATCAGCCATAACACGACATGTGCTGTTATTCCACCATAACAACACATGTGCTGTTATCGGGAAATAACAGCACGGGTATCCGGGCCTCTGATTGGTCCACGCCGTCCGGCTATATGATAATAAGGTATACTTGGCATAGACTCAGAAAGTGTTCATAGCATTTCATGCTGTATTTTTTTAAACCAAATTTAACATCATTTTTCTCCAACCGGGGGTTAGACGTGCTTGCACCAAGTCTTTTTTTTTTAAGCAAGATTTTTACGGCTGGATGCTCTTCCTAATGCCAACCCAAACCCTAGTAGGGCCCAGGAACCCTCTAACTGAGGGGGAAAATACGTGTTAAGTGCCTTTCCCAAGGGCACAACGTCTGAGTGCATGTCCGGACATGTCTCGGTCCATCCCTGGGGATTGAACCTGGGTCTCCTTGCTTGACAGTCGGACGCTCTATTCACTACACACTACACACAGATGCCACTAAATGTAAAAAGTGAATTTTTTTTAATAATGCCTGTCGCATCCAAAATCTCTCATGTTGTCCCTTTGCCTCACAGATACACAGGAATGTGCCTCGGACCCTTGTCAGAACAACGCTACCTGCCATGATGTTGTAGACGGATATGTGTGTGAGTGTGGACCTGGCTGGGCTGGAGTCCACTGTGAACAGAGTAAGTTATAACAGTTACTCTAACTGTATCTTTTTGAGTCATCACCACTTCTCTCATTTTTTGTAGCTTTAAGCGATGGTATAACTGGGCAAACCCGTATTTTGTTCAAAATATCAGATGAATTTTCAAGCCAAAAATTAAACTGTATACAAGTTAGTCATATTTGTCATATGTTGTTTAGGTTATATATTTTTGTTTCAGATATCGATGAGTGTTCATCTCATCCATGTCAAAACAACGCCACCTGTCATGACTGGGTGAACTACTACACCTGTGAGTGCGACTTAGGATGGGAGGGTGTCCACTGTGAAATTAGTAAGTTTGCTAGTATTACCGATTTACTAGTAAAGCGAAAAAACTCAAAATGATGTCGATGTTTTGATAAATGGTCGATTTGGTCTGTCATGTTTTCCTATTTGCATGTATGGCATTCAGGAATGGTGAAACTACTTGGTAATGGATTTATGCCCCAGACTTTTGATCCAAAACAAAAGAATAAAATATAGCCACTTTCTTCTAAAATAATGCTCCTCCTTGCAGATACAGACGAGTGTACTTCTGGGCCCTGTCAAAACAACGCCACCTGTCATGACCATGTGAACTACTACACCTGTGAATGTGGGCCTGGATGGGATGGTATACACTGTGAAATTGGTAAATAGACAATTCTTGCTATAAAACTATGTAGTTAAAATTACCAGACTCAATCTGTAAATAGGATGAATGCAAATCTGGTTGTTTTCATGCATATCCAATTCCTTATATGAGAGCAAAAGAACGTACTGTTAGATAGATACATTTTCCTTTTGGGCAGTGCCTTTCCTTGGTGCTGATTTTAGTGTTGTAGCTAAAGATTTCATCTACCTTTTTGTCATGCATATCCCATTTCCTACATTTTATATGAGAGCAAAAGATCATACTATTAGATAGGTAGTTCTTTTGTATAGGCAGGGTCTTTCCTTGGTGCTGATTTTACCTCAACTTAATGTTGTAGCGAAAGGTTTCACTTAGCGTTTTTTCTTGCATATCCAATTTCTGTATGAAAGCATAAGAACATATACTATTAGATAGATACGTTTTCTTGAATTGGTAGGGTCTTTCCTTGGTGCTGATTTTATCTCACCTTAGTGTTGTAGCCAAAGCTTTTTTTCTTGCATATCCAATTTTCTGTATGAAAACACAAGAACATACTATTAGATAGATATGTTTTCTTTTATCGACAGGGTCTCTCCTTGGTGCTGATTTTACATCACCTTACTGTTATAGCATAATGTTTCATTTAGCTTTTTTTCATCCATATCCAGTTTCCTACATTTTATATGAGAGCAAAAGATCATACTATTAGATAGATAGTTCTCTTGTATGGGCAGGGTCTTTCCTTGGTGCTGATTTTACTCTACCTCAGAGTTGTTGAGTAGCTAGTTAGAACACTATTTTACCAACCTGATCAAACTACCAATTGGTTCTGTTACATACATTCTTTCCATTTTGTAACAGAATGTAGTAGTAATAGTAGAATGGGTTATTCATTTAGACCTCAAACATACAAAATATGCTCTGTCAACAGACTCGCAGGCAACCAAACTGGATGCCTGAATTGCTCTGTGGTCAACACAAAATATCATTAAAATATGCTATCAAAAGGTATTATTATTAAAAATATTATTGCACATTATTACACATTGTTAAAATTTATATTGTAGACAAATGTGCGTCCTTACACCTCAATGCTGTAGCCAATGGTAATGTTGAGTATCTAAGAACTAGTAATACTAATTTCCCAAGCTGACGTAACTCCTAATTCTGGGTGTTGTTCTTACTGTCCTGTTCAACACAGATGTAGATGAATGTGCATCCTTCCCCTGTCTGAACAATGCCACGTGTCAGGACTATGTGAATGGCTACATGTGTGTGTGTTCTCCTGGGTGGGAGGGAGTGCTGTGTGAAACAGGTGAGCTTCTTCAAACAGACAACAAATATTACCTAATTTACAATACAATAACAGGTTGAACTAGAGAAGTAACATTTGCAAAGCAAATGCAACATGCATAATGTTTATCTTCGGACATGGTCTGCTCTGTTAATTCTTACTCAAACACATTCACATACATTGTACATGTACTACTAGTATATGGTGACAGGAACAGGGCAGACCATGAAATTGCAACATTATGTAACCCAACAACAGTCACCATGATGACAGACGTCAACAAATCATGTCATTGGTCAGGTCATAGGTCACAGTTTGGAGAAGAAGAAGAGGAAGAAACTGAGTAAAAACATAATGTTTTCCTTCGGTAAACATAATACAGAGACTCTCTTTACACAATCAGGAGGTTTATTCAGCCAATGTTTCAGTGACCATCTATCACCTTCCTCACAGACAGTCATCGAAACACCAGCTAAATAAACCTCCTGGTTGAATGTGTGAAAGAGTCTGTAGACTTTATTCAATGAATAACCAACCTGTTGGAACTTCACAGATGATCACAGGTTTTTTGCTACAATGAATTGGTACATCGTAGCAAAGTTAGAATACATTTAAGATATCCTATAAATTGCATGCATGTAGAAACAGGGCTCGAAATTCATTTTTGGGTGCACTGGTGCACCCACAGGAAAAAATTGGGTGCACAGCTCCAAATTTTGGTGCACTAAGGTGCACATGCACCCAGTATTTCAAGCCCTGAGAAACCAATATGAAAATGGCTTCCAAAGTCATCACGCACAAATGACTTCATTCACTTAGCGCAAGTCTCTTGTCCAGCAAGCCTGTTGGTTTTCGTCATTTTAGAATTTAGCAACAGAGAGTTTCTGATGACAATGCCTTCTTTTTTCTGCAGACACAAACGAGTGTGCTTCTGATCCATGCTTGAACAACGCCACCTGTCATGATCATGTCAATCACTACACCTGCGAGTGTGCGTCTGGTTGGGCTGGGGTCCATTGTAGTGAAGGTATGGTGCCATTTCTAGTTAATAGTAGTATGTTAAACACATTATGTGTGCTACTGTTGCCCATAAAAATTCAATGCATTGTACTAAAGATTTACTGTCCAAGCAGAGGTTGTTGGGAAAGATTGTGACTTTTCTATTTGTCCCTTTTTGTGTTACTTGTCTCCACCAACTAGTAGTAGTGACAGAAAATGGGGCATATTATAGAAAGGTCACAGTCTTCCCCACCAACCTCTGCTTGGAGAGTAAATCTTTAGCATAATGTATTGACGTTTTTTGAGCAATAATAGCACTCATAATGCTTTTAGCATATTATCCTTTGTATAAGTCAGTCAGTTTCCTTTTTGTTGGATCAAATGTTAGCATTTTACCAATGATTAACCTAGCTATCTATCAGGTTTGATTATCATACATGTACATGGCTATTGTTGTGTTTTTTTTCAGACATTGACGAGTGTCAGTCTGGTCCATGTCTCAGTGGAGCTACTTGTGTGGATCAGGTAGATGGTTATGTCTGTGACTGTCTTCCTGGCTGGGAGGGAGTCCGCTGTGAAAGTAGTAAGTCTTTTTTTAAATCTAGACGTGAAATGTTTTCAGTCAAGCTGATCTATTAAATGAATAAACTAGAGAAGTAACATTAAATTTTGCAAAGCAAATGCATAATGTTACCTTCGGACATGGTCTGCTCTGTTAATTCTTACTCCAACACATTCACATAGATGTACTACTAGTATATGGTGACAGGAGCAGAGCAGACCATGAAATTGCAACATTATGTAACCCAACACTAGTCAGCATTTTGACAGACAGCAACAAATCATGTCATTGGTCAGGTCAGAGATAACTGGAGAAGAAGAAGAGGAAAAAACTGAGTAAAAACAATATATTTTCCTTCGGTAAACATAACAACACAGTAATTCAGGCTCACTGGCAGTCATAAGCTGTGAGGCTATAAAATCATTAAAAGAATGTGAGCCATTGTTATGCACTTATCTTACAAGAACTGTACATCCATCAAATTTCAGCTGCTTATTGCATTGTAGAATCTGTGACACTTGGTTTTATTTTGATAAGTAAAATCCTCTCTGTTACCCACCAGATATAGACGAGTGTGCATCAGAGCCATGTCAGAACAATGCCACATGCTGGGATGATGTCAACTCCTACTTCTGTGAATGTACAAAAGGCTGGGAAGGAGAGCACTGTGAAATAAGTAGGTTTTATTTTAAAAGCTTCTTTATTAAAGCTACATTGACAACATATCATGTACAGAATACCATACATGCACAATGTATCTTATATACATTGTAATAAGAGATATTAAGTATAATTGTGTGTAAAAAAGAAAAATCATATATAATGATTATCATACCTTTTATCATTTCCATATTACAGATTGATATATTTTTGTGATGATAGCATTATCTTTTAACTAGATTAGTGCTCAAGCTTCCTACATTTGTAGACAACAAGGATGTTAAATTAATAGAATCTGATAGTGATGGTCTATAAGATAGATTTTTAAGTAGATACTTCCTAGATAGTTTGATACTTAAATAAGAATGTTATGTTAACTGATGTTGGGTCCAGCAACACTAAGTGCACTTCAATGACGTCTTTTTGTCTTAAGTTTCTAGATTTGATGGGATGTCTTGCAAAACTGTACAAATTTGAAAATCAAACTCAGAAAGACAAATAGTGTTTTTAAGATCATCAGTCTAATGTAAAGATATCCCTATCACATAAAGGCCAATTCTTTAAGAGATGAAATCTTGACATCCCATCCCAAATGTCCTACCTCATGTGTTGTAGCCATGTCTTGTGTTGTGTTGTCTTGTGTTGTGTTGTGTTGTGTTGTGTCGTGACTATGTGTGTTGTCTCCATGTGAAACTGACTTTCAGCAGAACTTTCTGTCAAAAGCCATGAGGTGTCTTGTAAGGTGAGAAAAAGGATATCTAAATGTTAATCTGGTGTTCACACAAGATAACATGTGGTGGCATCACTGCTTTTTTCTGTAAGCCAAAATTTATAGAGAAATTCCCCTCCCACAGTAGTTTCAACTTTGTTCTTCTTTGCCCAATACAGCATTGCAGCAGCTGCTTCTATCATTAATAATAGCTCTTGATATGTTAAGCTTACACAAAAACAACATATCATTGCACACAATAAAAACTCATGCACCCTTACAATAAGCCATTCTTTCCCATTGACAGGTACACTCTAGAATCTTTTGAGTAAATCTCACACAAAATTGTTTTGCCAATGACATAAAGATATGTAAGCTTGAGTTACAATCCATTAATTGCAAACAGAGACACCAACTTAACAAGGTGGCTATATAGCTAGCACATGTCTGCTTCAATTCATTGGCATGGATATTGACTTATCATAGATCAAGCTGTACTTCTGTGTCTTTTGTTTAGAAGAGATGGGAAGAGGGCAAAATTTTTTCACATTGTATTTTGATCTCTTTCCCTCTCTTGTAAACAGACACAGAATACCACACAGTGTAGACAATGAAGAAGAAAGTGGAAAGTATTTGGAGAAATCACCAGATACAAAATTATGATAGTCTTTAATGCAAAAAAAGACATTGTACTCAATACACTCTGCATCGTTGCTTCTATCTTTGTTACAGACATACAGGAATGTGTCTCAAACCCTTGTTGGAACAACGCCACATGCCGTGATGATGTGGCAGGTTATACCTGCATCTGTCTGCCAGGATACGAGGGCGTAGTATGTGAAACTGGTAGGTCCTTGCTACAGTTGTGTACTGAAGTTTAATATTCTTTGAATAAAAATACTTTTTTTTTACTCAACCAAGTGTTTTATTCAGCCAATATTTTTTGGTGACTGTCAGTAACCTTATTCAGAACCAGTTAGAATTACCCTGAGGTGAGGAAGGTGACAGTCACCTAACATTGGATGACTAAAACACTTAATTGTGCAAAAAAGGCTCTTTATTCAGTGACTAATCGTAACAATGCTCAGTATAATATACTTTTGCCAATTCTAGACCAATTGAATCTAGATTACTAGACTAAGTATGACAACCCTAATTTAGAGTTTACCTAATAGCAATGGATGAAATTGTATTGTTTTCCAGAAACAGACGAATGTGAATCCCAGCCCTGCAGAAATGCTGGTGTCTGTGTGGATGTCATAGACGGCTACGTGTGTGAGTGTGTCCTGGGCTTCCAGGGACTTCACTGTGAATATGGTATGGATGTTATATATATATAATTTATAGTTTGCAATTACAGTTAAGACAGTTACTATCTAATGCCTTAGATGGACAATTCATATTTTTTTGATTCAGATCAAAATCTAAGATTCATTATAGAGGCAGAAGTATCATTTTTTCTAAAATTTTAACACCACATGTTCCATCTAATTTCTATACTAGATGTGTAACAGGCTGTGACAGTTGTTCTTTTCAAAGGGTGACTGAAGACCATGCATACCACCTTTATATTAAAAGATTCTCTTCAAAGATAAAACAAATTATTTCATGTAAGTTTTGTACAAAACATTTCATTAATGTGTTCATCCCTCTTGATTCTGTGTCCTATAGAGACAGATGAATGCATTTCCACCCCCTGCCTGAACAATGCAACCTGCCACGACCTGTTAGCTGCCTACACTTGCGAGTGTGCCCCAGGATGGGACGGGACCCACTGCCAAATCAGTACGTCCTGCAACAAAAAACATCATTGCACGTTCTTTCCTCCTGCAGTGCCAAAATAAAGGCTTCCAGAAAATGAAATTGAATAATGTTCGAGGCAATAAAACATAATTATCGCCTGTGTAAACATTATGGGGAAAGAAGTGCAATAATGTTTTTATGAAATAGTCTGAAGCCATCGGAACCCCCCCCCCTCCTCTCCAAAGTGTGCCAATCCTTCCTGAGGTGTGCCATCCCTTCCCATCATCCCCTACTCTCCTCATCACCAGCTGCACTCATCATCATCGTCATTCCTTCATCACCGTCCGTCCTCCAATCCGTGTTGTCCTGTGGTCCACCCGGCCAGAAAACTGGTGTCCTCAGCCATTTCACCTTTGTTCTTGTTACTGCAGTAACAGTTGTTTTCATCACTCTCAATTTGAAAGGAAACTCCTTCCCACAGTGTACAGTGTTTTGGGTGCTAGTCATCTTTGCTTCATTGGCCCTTTGGCCACACAGCTTTGCTAGCACATCATAGTCTAGCACAACACAGTCAACTCACACATCAGTTTACATATGATTCATTAGAAGTGTCAATCAATCAACTTTACAAAAGACATTGCTATAGAATGTAAAAATGAACAAAAAGTCCTACACACCTGCTCCTTACCATAGCACCTCTAGTTATTTCCTCCCATGCCTATTCGTTTATGACACATCAGGCCATCATTAAAAAGTGTCAACAAATATGGAAATGCCATATAAATGCTGCAAAGATTCTATAAGCAACTGTTGTGAGTAACAAGGGTAGAAGGTACTGTGGCAGAGAACACTAGTTTTCTAGCTGGGACGTCTTCACCTGTCATCACCCTGGTCCAAGAACAATGGAGACAACACTTGAGTGCCTTTCTTCTTCAAACCACAGAAAAAACAATTAGTGACAAGGTATTAAAGTGATGTCGTGTTTAATAAATGTTGTCATGATACACCATTTTTTCACTTTGAAACTTGATATTGTTCAGTCTTCTGACAGTGTAACACTCATTTTCTAGACAAAGTCTTTTATCTGAATGCCTTCTAAAGGATTGGAATTTTGGTATCATTGCCTCTTGTAGTTAAGGAAAATTATGCAAAAAAAACAACAAATTGATGCAAAAAAACAAATTGAAATTGGTGTATACTCCATTCCAAACATTCACACTAAATCCACACTTCCCTGTTTAACTGCAGTTTCCAGACTAAGTACATCATTTGTTGTGTTTCTCAACATCCAGTTGACCTAATGTGATACCAGTTTTCCCAAAACAAAGCTGGTGTGACACACGGTTTGTTGGCTGTTGAAGAAACCTGTCTGGAAATGTGCAGTCTTCATGTTAATGTACCTCTGTGTCTGTATGTTGAAGTCTTTGTGTTGCTGTCTAGTTTGTTTACTGTGATAAAGTGTGTCAATGAGTTGTGTTGTCATCTTTACTCAGTAGCAATATGGTGAGGGTGCTTTCTGTCAACAATCACCAAATGTTGTTCTTTATAGTGTAGATACAGAGTTCTTAGCTATTGATACTCCAGTATTCCTACATCTGATTCAGTTATTGTCTGTGATGCACATCAATGTGTGACTGTGAGACAGGTCTGTTTGTCTATATATGTGTGTGTGAATGTGAGTCAGCACCAAGGACAGACCTGTTTGCCTATGTGTGAATGTGAGTCAGCACCATGGACAGGTCTGTTTGTCTATGTGTGAATGTGTGTCAGCACTAAGGACAGGTCTGTTTGCCTGTGTGTGAATGTGTGTCAGCACTAAGGACAGGTTTGTTCAACTATATATGTGTGTATGAATGTAGTTCAGCACCAAGGACAGGGGTCTGTTTGCCTATGTGTGAATGTAGATCAGCACCAAGGACAGGTCTGTATATCTATGTGAGAATGTAGTTCAGCACCAATAACAGGTCTGTTTGCCTGTGTGTGAATGTGTGTCAGCACCAAGGACAGGCCTGTTTGCCTATGTGTGAATGTGTGTCAGCACCAAGGACAGGTCTGTTTGCCTATGTGTGAATGTATGTCAGCACCAAGGACAGGTCTGTTTGCCTATGTGTGAATGTGTGTCAGCACCTAGGACAGGTCTGTTTGCCTATGTATGAATGTGAGTCAGCACCAAGGACAGGTCTGTTTGCCTATGTGTGCATGTGAGTCAGCACCAAGGACAGGTCTGTTTGCCTATGTGTGGATGTGAGTCAGCACCAGGGACAGGTCTGTTTGCCTATGTGTGAATGTGTGTCAGCACCAAGGACAGGTCTCGTTTGCCTATGTTTGAATGTAAGTCAGTACCAAGGACAGGTCTGTTTGCCTATGTGTGCATGTGAGTCAGCACCAAGGACAGGTCTGTTTGCCTATGTTTGAATGTAAGTCAGCACCAAGGACAGGTCTGTTTGCCTATGTTTGAATGTGAGTCATTACAGTATGATCAGCTATGTGCACAATCATACACATGACACCGGCCAAACTCCAACACATACTCAGTTAATGATGACTGAATCATTTCACACAAGACTACCACTACCACTCATTTACATAAATCTATAATAGTATAATAATTAGAACATCCACAAGACAGGAAGATTCCTAAGCATGACTTCAAAGATGTTCCATAAAGTACCTACTAATTGAATACAAGAGTAAACCCTGGAACAGCAAGGACTAAATACTCTGTGTTAACTTGGCATACTGTAGTTACTGTAGCAACTGGTGTAAGCTAGAAATGAACAGTTACTCAAGGAAAAATCAATCTTTTAATGTAGTTTAGATAAAAGCCTCAAAGTCAATGACTGATGACACACCAACACATTCTATACCATAATTCTCATGACATTTGTTACATGCCACATCGTCATCAATAAACAAATCTGTTGTACACAATATCATACAAACACATCTACATACGTGTGCATACACAGCTCGATGTAGTATAGAAGGAAAGCACCAGGTGCTTGAGTTATGCTGTTGACACACATGCAGACCCAGACAACAGCCACTCCACCATTGCACAACCAAAAACATAACCTACTTGTCAAAGGTAATGTTTAGTAGTAAATTCAGATATTGTGGCAGCATCAAACTCTTTGATGCAGAAAATGATGAACTTTTTAAAAGTTTACAACAAGGGAAAATTTCATCTCTACCACTTTTAGACATAGACGAATGTGCGTCCCAGCCGTGTTACAACGGTGCCACCTGTCGTGATGGCATTAACAGCTTTACTTGTGAATGTCTTCTCGGATGGAAGGGAGTGCAGTGTGGGGAAGGTAAGAGGATGGTGTCCAAGAGTTAAGTTTATTCCTTGTACATACATGTACTTTTAATACATGTACAATTGTCTTGAGCCCCTGTCACACACATCTGAAAATAGCCATCTAAACACTCCCAACTGTCATGCAAGGATGTTACAGGGATAACCATAGTTGGGAATCAGTCAAGGAAAAGTCCACTGTGGTTTGTAGTTGATCTGCAAGGTTGGCTAGCATATAACAACGTTATATGATTCACAAAATTAATGCCATCATTGTAAAAAAAATAAAAGACTTGAGTGATGAATTGCATATTACATGAGTATGATAAACCTGTAACTTGTTGGTGCCTGACCATTTTACACAAATAAGGCATAGAAAGATTTAGTATACCAGTGTAGGTATTTATATTTTCCCCCTCCAGATATAGAAGAATGCTTGTCTGACCCATGTCAAAATGGAGCAACATGCTGGGATGATGTCAATGGCTACTTCTGTGAGTGTTTGCCTGGGTGGAATGGCGAACACTGCGAAAACAGTAAGTGGGTTTGAAAGCAGTTATAGTAGTAGACTTAAGTTCAACTCTACTACCAGTCATGATTTAATGAGGCAGATGTACATGTTTACAGATAGATACGTTATTGACACAACAAAAGTACAGCAACATACATACATCCAAAAGAATTACCCTACGTGCAACACTATGAATAAATCTACATGTTGAGTTTGACATGTCGTATACTTGAAAAATAACTCCCATTTTATAGACATCAAATTCATTCAAGAGCCAAAGTCTTTCCCACACCACACAGTGCATAGCGTTATGCCCATCTCTGTTTCAATAGCCTTTGGGCCACACAACTTTGGGTATTCGCAGAATATCAAGTATAAGTTTGGATGCTATTAACAACAAGGGGTTGGTTCAATGGAAGTGATGTGAGTGTTCAACTCCCATACCCTTTCCCAACTGCTGAGTGCTTTATAAAAAGGATTATAGAGAGCAGTATCTACCAGTATCATGGACAACCAAGATGTCTGTTGCCTGAGACCTTTACGCCCTGTTCTTCAGACACGGACGAATGTGCGTCCAACCCCTGTCAACATGACGGGACCTGTACAGACCTGATAAACGGGTATAAATGCACCTGTACTGAGGGATACACTGGCAACAATTGTCAAAATGGTAGGTGTGGCACTTGTAGTTGTAACTTTATCCTTGGTAGCAAAAAATGTCACAACTGTGTTACAATGTTTATTGTGGCCCATTAAAATATGTCATAGGAAATTTATTTTTGATTTTACATGTTGCTGGTTATGTTACACTGAATGACCTGTTACACCTTAACTTAGGTGTATAGCCAATATAACTGCCCTTCTGCATAACACACCAGCTTCTGCATCTGTATACTAGCTCTTAGACTAGTATAACCACCCTTTGGCTGCAATACATGGGCTTTGCAGGCACTCAGCGCAGCAGCAGCTAGCTGGTTGTATTACACTGAACTACCTGTCATACCTAACCTTAAGTTTGCGTGTGTGCCATTAGTGTTGTGAGGATGCCTCAAATGTGCTTCACATGTACAGCAAGTTCCGCTCTATGATAGGTCTAGGAAAAGAAAAGGAATTTGATACTCCAGTACTTGAAGGCATAGCAGCTATTTCTTGTTCTTTTCTGAGCTGGTATTAGATTTGTAGTTGATACATAGTCATTCTTTTGTTCTTGAGTGACATCCTTAAATTTCACATCACTCTAAATATGGCACTCAAAATATGGCACATACACATTGCATCTTTTGGTTTCTTGCATGATAATGCCAAGTTGAGCTTGTCATGTATTATCTGTGTCATATTGCTGCTTTCAATGACACTGACAAAGGGATCACTTTTATATGCATGCATGCATGCTGTGAGTCAGCAATGTGGGTTTTGCACTTTTATTCTAGTTAGTGAAAATGTATAATCTCAGCACATAAGATACACCTTGGTGTACAAAATTCATTGCTTTGCTATGTGGGAGTCTTCTTGTAATTATCTTAAGTTTACCTCTCTCCCTGGTGCTCTTCACATCAACCCCACCATTCCCATAGGTCCTTTGGCTTAGCCTCTATGGTGGATAACACCTATGGTAGGTGAGCACTGGTTGTTGTTATTGGTACTTATTGGGTTATAATCGACTAGTGTACACAATGTCATATGTCTCAATGAAGGTTAGACATCCAGGTAATCAGATACACAAGGAAATTGTTACTCAAGCAACTGGATAGTCCATCAAGTTGCTTCAGCAACAATTTCCTTATGTATCACAATGTCATATGAATACTGGGTTTCTTGTATATATTGCTAGTACATGCTGGCATCCTTTACTATAGTTTGCCAGGCAGCAGGGATCTTAAATGAATGGTTCATTCACAGCACAGCAGTTAGCAGGGTTCTTAAATGATTGGTTCATTTTGAAAAAAATTATTATTATTGAAATGTACTCTTACAGTCACACACTCAGTCAAAGGCAATTGTGTGGACTGCTATGTTTATGTCTGTGATAATGCTATTCTTGTATGAGACAATATCCACATTTGATTAACAGAAAACAATGCAGTTTGATATGTTAAATGGTACAATGTATGCATCATGCCTTAATTTGAAATAAATTAGTTGATTGTGTCCACTTATAGATGATAATTCTTTATTTTCAGAAACCATAGAATGCACCTCTTCACCCTGTAGAAATGATGGCACCTGTAATGAACATGTAGGATATTATACTTGTGACTGCCTTCCTGGTTTCACTGGATACACTTGTGAAATAAGTAAGTACTTTTACAATACAGGAATAAGTTGTATTGTCTTGTTGCAATCTCAAGAAAGAGATAGTCAGAGAAAGAGAGAGGGAGAGAGAGAGAGAGATTAAGAATGAAAGAAGAAAGGAAGGAAGAAAGAAAATGAGCTAGTGATTCAATTGCTTTGTATTTGGTGTTGAATATCTGCAACATCTTCCAAATGTATGAACTAACAGAACTTCATCTTTCAGATATCGATGAATGTGCGTCATATCCATGCCTGAATAACGCGACCTGTACAGACAATATTAACAGTTACCACTGTAACTGTACTCCTGGATGGGAGGGGACACACTGTGAAGACAGTAAGTTTAACTAGAATGGAATACAATGCAAGCAAATACACATCAAAAATTCCCAATGTTCAACCAGAACAACAATGAAACTAAAAACATATTCTTAACCTTTTTGGCAAAGGTAACAGAATGTGGACTGAATACAGATGTCAATGCAGTTTTAGCTCACTGAAGAGCTACTCTTCCACTGGTTGTGACAGAGAAGACAGATGCTGTGTACAGTATTTACAGGACCTGGTCCATTGTACTGGGTAAATCTAGCTATTTTTGACAGGCCAAATGAACAGTGTATCACAGCTTAACATCTCATCCTAAGGACTGTTACAGTAGTATGCATGTGTAAGCGATGATAGCCAGAGTTGAACTCCCAACCTCTTGGTCCAGAGGCAGGGTTGCTAACCACTGGACTATTGCATGCTACATAACGTTAAGGATAACTTTCTGCAAATCTAAGATTTAATCCCCCTTTTGTTGATACCACCCTCAGGTATTAATGAGTGCCTGTCCAGCCCATGCCAGCATCAGGGCACCTGCCTTGACAGACATCTAAACTACACCTGTCTCTGTACTCCTGGGTACTCTGGGTCAAACTGTCAGATAGGTAAGGAGGGGGAAGGCCAAATTGACCCATCTATGATAAACAACTTTACTGTGGCCACATTCAACAAAATTGAACATATTGAACATTTTGTCTTACAGGCTCATATGGTTAATCTAACGTGTTCTTGGAAGAATTTGTTTTGCAATAAAATCAAAAGTTACTGCAATTTTCCAATGCAAATGAATTTTTGAGTAGATAGCGCCAGTCTTTGTCAAGGAATTAAGAAAACTTCTGCTTTTGCCTCAGTCTGTGGGTGAATGTGTAAAAATAATTCGTACATTGATGGGAAAATTTGGTGTTCCACACATAACAACGGTAAGTTCTATACTAGTATGCTAAGCAATTGTTATGCCATGTTATGTTACTTGAGATGTTTAGTGTTCTGGACACCAAGACATCAAGTAAAAAGCTTATTCTTCAACAGTTTTTGCAGGTTCAACAATGATGATGATGCCACATGAACTTGATGTCATATTCTGGACATTCTGGATTTTGTGGTTGCAAAGGGCTCTTGCTTCAGGAAGAATTGGAATAGTTATTTTTTACTATCTGTTGGAGATGTTGAATGGATAAATAAGAAAATTGTTGTTTTTTACAGACACAGATGAATGTTTTTCTGACCCCTGTCTGAATAATGCCACCTGCCATGACTGGGTGAACTACTACACCTGTGAATGTGGACCTGGATGGGAGGGTGTTCACTGTGAAATCAGTAAGGCATTAAATATATCAATTCTCCTGTCAGCAATGTTACACTGTCAATGTGTAAGTCTTAGAGATGTGATTACTCTTTTTCTTCTCTCTCACTTCCACTGTGTTTTCCATGCACAAAAGTCCTGCAGCTGCATTCAGTCTTTCTTCATCTTCTTCATGTGTCTTGTGTCCCATGCGCTCCCTTAGCGCTGACTTGGGGTTTCTTTTCGGTTGTAGGAGGGCCTATCCCTCAGTGCTTTATGTATCCCTTCAGCATACTTAGCAGATTGACACAGTATCTTCCTCTGAGAGACTTTTATCTGCTGGAGCCTAAAATTGAGAATTCCTAGTAGGCATTTTTGTACAGGTGTGTCTTGTGGCATTATAAGGATACGTCCAACCATATACCACCAGAGTTGCTTCATTGAGATGCTTGACAATGTACATTGATATTATACATTGCTCAGACACAGATGAGTGTGCATCCAATCCCTGCCAGAACAATGCCACTTGCCATGATCTTGTCAACCGTTACACCTGTGAGTGTGGTCCAGGGTGGGAGGGTGTTCACTGTGAAATCAGTAAGTACTGTCTACTACAGGAATCTGACATTCAATGTGATTTGATACATGAAGCAACTAAGATCTTCTGCTAAAGGAAAATTTAGTTTTCAACTTATTTTCCAATATTCATTTTAAATTTGTTACTTGATTGCTACCTGACTTAGTCTGCTAATTTTGTTGGTTTTTCTAATTCATCAGCTCCTATCATCAACTAAAAGCAGCAACAGTCTCACTATTACCAGTACATGTTAAATTGTCTACTGATAACAATGTATCCTGAATGAAAATTGCTAGAAATTCTAGTAGAAGTTCTTTCAGAATATTACCAGCCTAGATTTGAGGTTTGAAGAGGAAAAAATCAAAATATCATCAAAATCTTGCATGCATTTCTTTGTAGACACTGACGAATGTGCGTCCGATCCTTGTCAAAACGGTGGCACCTGTCATGACCGCATCAACAGATATATGTGTGAGTGCAGCCCAGGTTGGGAGGGAGTGCACTGCCAAATAAGTAAGTGGTGCACTTCTGTCTTTACCCTTAAACCCCATAATTATATACAGAGCATTATGTTAAGGTTTGAGAGTAGGGTTTTGCTGGACCCGGCTGAGTGTACAGTGCATGCTGAAAACTTCCGTTGTTATCTGTTTTCTTGTTCCGTGCTGTTTTTCTCCCCTTACACAGATACGAATGAGTGTGGGTCTGGGCCATGTCAAAACAACGCCACCTGCCATGACTGGGTGAACTACTACACCTGTGAATGTGGACCTGGATGGGATGGGGTCCATTGTGAAATAAGTGAGTAGTGAAACTTTCTTGATGATTCATTAATGGGATTGACTTGTTCACTAACACTGATAACCTGGTCTTAGCTGTTTCAAGTGAAAACTCAACTGAAAGGATACTACATGGGGGAGGATGGAACATCAGCACCAAGGCTGGGGATGGTACAGGATAGTACATGGGGGATGATGGCACTTCAGCACCAAGGCTGGGGATGGTACAGGATAGTACATGGGGGATGATGGCACTTCAGCACCAAGGCTGGGGATGGTACAGGATAGTACATGGGGGAGGATGGCACTTCTGCACCAAGGCTGGGGATGGTACAGTATAGAAGAGGATGGGGGAGGATGGCACAAATGCTGATGTTTTGCTGACTGATTTCATTATCCATAACAGATATAGATGAGTGTGCATCCAGTCCATGTCAGAACAACGCCACCTGTCATGACTGGGTGAACTACTACACCTGCGAATGTGCACCTGGCTGGTACAGCGTGAACTGTGATGCTAGTAAGATCATCACTCCACTATTTTTATACTGTTTAACAAACATATGTAAGAATCTTGTTTGATAGCCCATGTGTCAAGTTTAAAAGCCTTTAAGAATGAATCCCTTGCCCAAACATAATAAATAAAAATTAAGTATACTTTTTGGTACTTGTACTCAAAGATATACATTACTTTCAAAAGTTGATAGTGTAGATATGCTAGGTTTTGAACATCTTAATTTGAGAGGAACATCAAAATTACATACCAATTAGAAAGCTGATGTAGTGTATGAAATGTTTTTCCAGATTCTGAAGAATGTGCCTCGGACCCTTGCAAAAACGGTGCCTCTTGCATAGATGCCGTTAACGCTTACACGTGTCAGTGTCTGCCGGGATGGGAGGGCGTGCACTGTGAAATCAGTGAGTTTGTTACAATGGTTTTGATCTTTTATATCTAAGAAAAATACCATTAAGTTGTAAAAGTTTTCCTCCAATCATACCATAGGTATCACAACATGTTATAGAGATTATCATGGGCTATTTTTGTCTTGGAAGACAGTCTCATTGCTTCCATCAGTCACTGAGTATTGCTCTCCACAGTTCTTCTGTAATACAGAAATCACACATTGTGAATTACTAGTACATTGTAACTGTAAATATTGTTAGATGTGTGACTGTGTTATCCAATTGTAAAGGCATGGTCAAGTGTTATAGCCTGGGTGCCATCCACCAGTTAAGTGATGGTAGACAACTCCTAGCTGTTGGGGAACAATGTTTGGCAACTGTTTGACACTTTGATATCATCTTCTTTTCTTGAATTGTTCTATAGACACGGATGAATGTGCCTCAGACCCGTGCCAGAATGGGGCAACCTGTCATGATCGTGTCAATGAGTATTCATGCGAGTGTGCACCAGGGTGGGAGGGCGTCCACTGTCAGGACAGTAAGTTTGTTTGCAGATATTCATTTGTTTTATGTGTCTTAAAGTTTGTAATACCATGTATGTGTAACGATGTATGTCTATGGCTTCACTATATGACTTAGTCTTTGTGTTTATGGATGTGTAAGGACTTCAAAAATTAAATGTAACCCGTAACTGTATGTTATGTCTCTTTCTTCTTCTCAAATGTATTTTGTCTCTTTCTTCATGACTTTTGTGAAAAAACTACAAAGGTTCAAACAAGCAGAAGTACGTTGAGCTGTAACACAAGTTTTGTATGTTGCGTGTATATAAGTATGAGCTGTGTAAGAACCAGACTAAAAGGTTTGATCCAATCGCTCCATGTTTAGTAATGCTTTATGTGTTTTTCACAGATACAAATGAATGTGGCTCGGACCCGTGTCAGAACAATGCCACCTGTCATGACTGGGTGAACTACTACACCTGTGAATGTGCACCTGGATGGGAGGGTGTTCACTGTGAAATCAGTAAGTTACAGAAATTCTAATCGTATTTTAATGGAGTGGAATTTGTTATTTAGTTTTAGTGTCATTTTTATTGTCTAATACACATAGTAAGCTTTCTTGTTTAATTCTTCTACAGACACAGATGAGTGTGGTTCTGATCCATGTCAGAACAATGCCACCTGTCATGATCATGTGAACTACTACACCTGCGAATGTGGGCCTGGATGGGAGGGCATTCATTGTGAGATTAGTAAGTTTGAATCATCATCACTTATTTCTGAGGCCACAAAGTACATGGAAAGAAATACTTTGTTAAAAACACAAGATACGAAGCTGAAAGTTTTACTTCAGTGACATAAAGTCATCAGGAGGTCCATGACCTGTTTTATTGTTCTGTCAAGTCCCACAAGTATCGTAACAATCCATCCATAGCTTCTTGACTTATGGCCTTAAATGAACACAACCATGTAACAAAATAAAATGCTCACAGAGAACATTTAGTTATTGCTGAAAACAGTAAATAAGGTTCACATTTTTGTTTGCGACTTGCAATGCTGCCATTACCAACTTTCTATTGCAGATACAAACGAGTGCGTCTCCAACCCATGTGAAAACAATGCCACCTGCCATGACTGGGTGAACTACTACACCTGTGAATGTGCACCTGGATGGGAGGGTGTTCACTGTGAGATCAGTGAGTGTTGGATGGATGCTCACAGCCATTGGTTCTTCAAACATCTGTTTTGGACCAGATATACATGATTGTATATTCATCTGACTCAACTGCCTCTTGAGTGGCCTCTTAAGTTGATTTGAGCTTACCCTATAAGTTTATCTATGTTGATACTATCTAATGTAATCTATACACATGTAAATACAGGATTAAACAATTGTATTTCCAACTGAAAAGCACTCAACTGTAGAGGAAACTTACTGCATAACATGGAAATGATAGCAAGTTCAGCACCAAGGAGAGACCCATGCCAAAGTTTTTTTTCCCTTTCATCTATGTTGATACAATTTGCTTAATCTGTACATGCAAAAGAAAACTGTATTTCCAACTGAAAAGGGCTCAAATGTTGAGGAAACTACTGCATAACATGGAAATGATAGCGAGTTCAGCACCAAGGAGAGACCCATGCCAAAGTTCTTTTCCCTTTCATCTATGTTGATACCATTCATTTAATCTGTACATACAGGATTGAATTGTTCTGTATCTCCAACTCAAAAGGACTCAACTGTTTAGGAAACTACTGTGTGTGCATAACATGGAAATGAATGTAAATGATAGCGAGTTCAGCACCAAGGAGAGAGCCATGCCAAAGTTCTTTTCCCTTTCATCTATGTTGATACCATTCATTCAATCTGCACATGCAGTTTTAAACTGTATTTCCAACTCAAAAGAGGAAACTACATTAACTACATAACATGGAAATGATAGCGAGTTCAGCACCAAGGAAAGGCCCATGCCAACGTTCTTTTCCCTTTCATCTATGTTTATACAATTCATTCAATTTGTACTGCAGTTTTACACTGTATTTCCAAGTCAAAAGTACTCAACTGTTGAGGAAACTAATTGATAACATGGAAATCATAGCGAGTTCAGCACCAAGGAGAGACCCAAGCCAAAATTCTTTTCCTTTTGAAATGTTGATACAATTAATTCAATCTGTACATGCAGCATTAAGCTACAGTATATTTCTAACTCAAAAGGTTGAGGAAACTACTGTACCTGCAAACATGGAAATGATAGCTAGTTCAGCACCAAGGAGAGACCCATGTGTGCTGTTACTGTGTATTGTTATAGGCATCAAATCAAGTATTAGTTTCATACCCATGGTTGTATAGACACCAAGACATCAGCATGCTCGTATTAGTATCTTCTATAAAAGTGTCCATTATGATCTACTAAATGTTATACATTGTATTGCAGCAAACAACTCCATGGAAGATTGCAACATTGCCAACTTTTTCCTTGAAATTGTAGTTCTCTACCTTAGTTTTGTCTCTTTGAAACACTGTACTAGTATTTTTTTGTTTATCACCTTTATTTCAAAGAAGATAATTTTGAAGTTAAAATAAGATTGCAAACTCAATTTTTGGCAACTATAACACACAAATGAAGTGTTTCGACATGAGAGTTTGTCTTGTTTTGAATAAGGTGACTTTTTTTTATTTCAGTTACCACTCACAGTAATTCTGAATGGGAGTGGGTAGGGTGCAACCAAAGCAAATCTTACCTATTCACATTGAATTTGTTTTCCTTTTACAACCAGTAAGGGGAATTTTTGTAAAATGTAAACAGGATAATACATTTCCTCTTTTTCCAGACATTGATGAGTGCAGCTCCAGTCCATGTCAGAACGGTGCAACATGTCATGACCACATCAACTTCTGGACCTGTAGCTGCTCACCAGGCTGGTTTGGACTGGACTGTGGGGATAGTAAGTCTGACAATTATAACTTATAGCACTTTGGCAGAACTTACTGTGCCTGGGTGAAACCCATAATGTATTAATACAAAGAACTTTGTCAGAACTTCAGGCCATGTCTGCATGTTTTTAAAGGATCCCATCCCATCATAGTTTTATAATGTTGTGTCAGAAAAAATAGGAAAAAGGGAAAAAATTTAGATGCAACGTTGACCAAACCTCCAATGCAAACCATGAAAAATCTAGGTTTTGCACAGGCGCAGTACATTCTGTTGACTTGCTACATGTTGTGTATTATCAATTAGAAAATACAGAGGCAGCTAACATTCCTATTTGCTAAATGGATACAGTTACTGTATTTACCAGGTGCCACATGAGGTGTGTTGAAGCCTACATGTAATGTGTTAATGAATGTTTTCCTCATGCACTCTAGATTCCAATGAGTGTGGCTCAGACCCATGTCAAAACAATGCCACTTGTGTGGATCACGTCAATGCCTACAGCTGTCAGTGTGGGCCTGGATGGAACGGCACCAACTGTGAAATCAGTAAGCTAAATCTTTGCTTCAATACTGTGGCATTGATGCCTTTGATACCAGCAGGATCCTATAAAGTCTGATGTAGCGGGCTTCTAACAACAATAATAATCATGATTAATTTTTTGTTTTTTCAAATCTGAATATCTTACAATGTAATGTGTGCCATTTTATTTTCTTTCTGTACAATGTGTGTTGATCAGATTCCTGTCTTTACCACAGATATTGACGAGTGTGCCTCCAATCCTTGTCAAAATAATGCCACTTGCCATGACTTTGTGAACTACTACACCTGTGAGTGCAACCCAGGATATGATGGCATCCACTGTGAGATAGGTAAGTACATTGTACTAGAATACAATCCTTGCGGTATTCAATAGAGGGGATTCATTCCTCAGCTTATGGACATCTATATCACACTGCAATTGTCCCTCAGTAAGACATCTGGAGCCACATAGTTCCCAATTAGAACTTTTATTCAGCCTGTCACAAACGGTCATAGAAGACAACCGTTGTGCTCACACAAATCGCTCTGTTCATGGTTGACAAGTTGTATTAAATCAACATGCCCTGATGATGAGCATTGTTAGTTAAATGCTGGCAAGTAAGAAAATTCTGCTTGTGTTAAATCATAATACATTACTGTTTTTTTCCTTGTAGACATTGATGAGTGCAGTTCGAATCCATGTCAGAATGGCGCAACTTGTCATGACCACATCAACTTCTGGACCTGTAGTTGTATGCCAGGCTGGTTTGGACTGGACTGTGGAGATAGTAAGTTCATAAAAGAATATCTAAAGGATCTGTAGCAGTAGTCTAAGAGTATATTGCAATGATGTAATTTTCTACCTACATGTACTAAAAGAAGTATTGTAGCATTTTGTATATAATCTGCATTCACATCCTCACACTTCAGTTTGCAGTTTGTCATTTTTGTGGCAAACCATATTTCCTTTTCTCTCTGTACATCATTCTAGATTCCAATGAGTGTGAGTCCGACCCCTGTCAGAACAACGCCACCTGTGTGGATCACGTTAATGCCTACAGCTGTGAGTGTGGACCTGGATGGAACGGCACAAATTGTGAAATCAGTAAGTAACGAGCTTCGACTTTTATAAATTTTAACACTAAACAATTCAATGACTACTTAAACTATAATCTTTGTTAGTATTGATGTATGCATTGTGTACCACTCTCCCTATACACAATATGGTGTAGAAAGGACTTTCATCTTTGCTTCATAATCTTTGTTACAGATGTTGATGAGTGTGCCTCCAGTCCATGTCAGAACAACGCCACCTGCCACGATCACATCAACTACTACACCTGTGAATGTGATCCAGGATGGGAGGGTGTTCACTGTGAGATCAGTAAGTTCAACAACTGCTTGTTATCTTGATTGTGCTTTAATTATAATAACTAATCTGCACACCCAGTTATTGATACCTTGATGTTGCATGTTTACAGTCAATGTAGACTTTTTCCATTAGACATACATGTATGTTTGAACCCTACTCAGGCATGATTGCTTGTGGTTGCATTCATTCTTTCTTTTTGAATGGGAAGCTAAAGCTGACCTTAGGTAGCAGACCTCTAAAAGAATGTAAAAGGTCCCACCACACATCAAGAAGATTAAGGGTGACTCAGTCATATACAATCATGTAGCTGAAAACATGAGCCATATGAAGCAATTATGTTATACTACTACCAATGACTTACTATATGCTTCATGAAGAAGAGTTACTACTTTATTGTGCCCCTTATTTGTTTTTCAGACACAGATGAGTGTGTCTCGGGCCCGTGCCAGAATAACGGCACCTGTAGTGATCATATCAACAGATACAGCTGTGCTTGTGTGCTGGGGTATGTTGGGGTCAACTGTGAAATAGGTAGGTTTCAACTAGTGATGCATACCTAAACCCAATTTTAGGTTCAGGTCCGGATTCAAGTCCAGAGGTTTAGGTTCAGTTCCGGACTTGTAAGTCCGGACCTAAAGCCATGACATATACAAAATTGCATGTTGGCAACCTTGCAATGTTGTCTAGATGAAACTTGGCCACATAACATGGAAGCTGGTACTTGACGATGCCCGATGGCAATGTTTTCTTCATTTTGCAGCAAAGATTTTGCGATCTACGGAAGGTTTTAGGTGGTTTGGAAAGAAAAGGGGTATGTGAAGTGGTCTTTTATGGTAATAAGTCCGGACTCGGTTCTTGACTTTTAGGTTTTTTTGGACTTGAACCTAAACATTCTTACAAGTCCGGATCCAAGTCCAGTGAACCGGTATGCATCACTAGTTTCAACTCATATCAGTGACTACAAATTGTTGCCATTCATTGCCTTGTCATAGATTCACTTTGCTTGAATGCCATGTATTATCATTGTATACTATCTAGATTTACTAGTAAGAGTTAGTAAGTACATGTAGGTGCATTCACATTCAGTGTTGCTTGTAATCTCTCCAATAAACCAGTTTCAGTCTACATTGATTGGAATCAGGAAGAAATTTGTTCAGAAATCATCATCTTATCCTACACAACTTACTTAATTATTTGATGTACATAATAGCAAAACAACTATAATTGTAACACTGAATATTTAGACCATGGTACCCTTGCTCTACAATTTGTGTACAAAGGTAGACCATACACATGTACTAACTTTACTTATATATTATAATGATTTTTCCATTCTTTCCACAGAGGTTATTGAATGTTCATCAGATCCATGTGAGAATGGAGGCACTTGTCTGGACAACATCGGGTTCTACGTCTGCACATGTGTTCCTGGGTATACTGGAGTACACTGTCAAATCAGTAAGAAGTCAATGTCTTATTTTAGTCTTTCTTGACAAATAAAGTTTTAGCATTTTTGCCACAAACTTGACTGAGAAAGTTACAGTATTTATTTATTTATTTCTTTATTAAAGTTACAGTAACTTTCACCTTGAGATGGAACAACCTTTTTACATTTTGGGTAGGGTACAAATGTATGTTGGAAGGATAAATTTAAGTCAACTTACTATAAACTATTCCTACATTGTTGCAATTTGTTTTACTGAGTGTATGGTGTATGGCAAATACATTACACTGATATGATATGCATGTTAAATGTTGCAAATGTCATTTTTAAACAATGGGCAAACATCCATACAATTTTACAGATAGTTAAACTACTTCTAACAGATAGTACTTGTAAAAGAAAACTCAATGACATGTGGTTTTAACTTCATCATTTAGTTTCAAATCACTTGGATTGAAGATTGCCTGGCTGCATATACCTTTCAATCTTAACAGTCCTACTAGTTAAATGAGGGGTACAAGCCTTGATACAATCAAATATGTTTCACCATGATTACATTTCTCTATTGCTCCATACAGATATTGATGAATGTGAATCGTCCCCCTGTGAAAATGGAGCCACCTGTGTGGATGGAGTGAACGGGTACAACTGTAGCTGTACAGAAGGCTGGGAGGGAACACACTGTGAGACAAGTGAGCAGGATTTTATACTACTAAGTTACAATTATATAGTTGTAATGGAATGAGATACATGTGTACCTTTAGTAGGCTTTACAGTAGGTTTGTTCTCTTACAAGTCCATCTTAGGCTGATAAGGTTGTCCTGTGTTATAGGTCTAAGTACAGTGTTACAGTGATATGAAAATGTGGTACATGTATGTTACTACATGTACATGTACATGTACATTATAAAATGTCTAAATGTGTAACAAATTACTTGTATTATTGTATTATGTGGGAGGCAACTTGCAAAGTTTCAAGGTGTTTATACATGTATATACATGTACAGGTGTTTATACATGTACGCCTGTTTTTCCCTCCTTTCCACATATATATTTCTTGTACCATTGGCGAATCCAAATAAATAAGATTAAGTAAACTTGTATGTACAGGTTCAACAGTTGCTGTGAATGTAAGAGCAGATGAAGCTTATACTCAATACATGGTATAATTAGCTGATATGATGACAGGTTGCATTTGAATTTTTTATTTGCCAGATGACATATCGCTGAATCATGTTCTTATACACCTGACTAGGCATAGATGACCATGTATTCAGTGTTATTAATAAACTTCATCTGCTCTTACATTCACAAGTCCTGTACATACAAGTAATACATTAGGCACTGTACAATCACTGTTAATTTCCTACCAGGTGACAAATTGTTGAATTGTGTTTCTTCTATCTGTAGGCATAGATGACTGTGCTTCCGTTCCGTGTCAGAACAACGCTACCTGCTACGATGGACACATCAGCTACACCTGTAACTGTACTGTCGGCTGGGAGGGGTATGACTGTGAAATAAGTGAGTTAACTTAGTTGTTGTTTCTGGAAAATTTTTTCTACACATTTAAACCTTTATTTGCTCTTTTGGAGGCCCTTTTAATTTATGGTAAAAGTATGGCAACTTCTTGTATATTTCATGGCAACATTGTACATTCAAAACGTTTGTCTTGTTCTGTATAGCAAGTATGATATGTCTATGCCATGTATATGGCCATGATACCAGTTTCTTAAAAATAAAGAATGTGACAGTGACTGTATACTACTTAGAAGCATTACACTCAGATATTAAAATGTTGTGTGTTTAAGTTTCAAGATGCATGGATTTTTCAGAAGTTCAGAATGTAGAAGAAAGCAAGAGAAGTTAGGATGGTGATGTACAAAATTTCAGATTTGAAATAAGTTTTTTTCTTTTACAGATACAGACGAGTGTGCCTCAAATCCTTGCCAGAATGAGGGGAAATGTGGGGACCAACACAACAGCTACATCTGTTCCTGTCCGCTGGGCTGGGCAGGCGTCCACTGCGAAAACAGTAGGCAGCTTGATATGAAAACCTCTCATGAAATACAACCCATTTTTTCTTGGGTTTTTGTGATTTGTTAGTAAGACTGAATTGTAGACCTGATGTTCTTTGCAGTATCTGTTGTACATCTACCTTGTGTTGAATAATATTTGTTAGTCCAGAAGAGAGAAGGACATTAAATATGTAATTTTTGGGAGACATTTACAGGTACATGTAATATATGAACTAAGATATCCTGCTTACTAAATATAGTTGTTCAAACTCATAGCTTTTACTAACATGAAACTCCATAGTAAGATGACAGATACAAACTTGGTGACTTGTTAAAGATCTCATTTAAATTCTCACAGTTTTGTGTTAATTGTTATGTTTCAGACACTGACGAATGTGCATCAAACCCGTGCCAGAACAATGCGACGTGCCATGATGGTCTGACATACTTTTACGAGTGCGAATGTGCGGCAGGATTTGAGGGGGTCAACTGTGAGATCAGTAAGTTGGGCCATGTTAATTTGATAATATGGATGACATCTATGTTTGCATGAATTTTTGGCCGTTTCCCCCCCCAAAAAAGGTTTCGACCATACTGTAAATCCTACAGAGTAGCTGCAAAAGGAGCAAATATATGCCGTAAATTAAAAAAAAGATATTGGAAAAATATTGAAACATTCCAAGGGACAAAAAGAAAATGTCAAGGAATGAAAATGAAGAGTCTATTCAACTGTCATGACCACCTAGATTTCATAATGGAGGCAACTTTTTTTTTTTGCCAAACTTTTTTTTTTCATTCGCACGCTCCCGTCAGTTTTGGGGTTCCCAGAGGATGTCATCCATATAATCAAATTACATGACCTTGGGAGTGTTGGTGGGACTTTTGAAAAAAAATACAGTCCCACTTTTCAACAACCATTGATACTTCTGTGTGTTTCGAAGGCAGGTTTTTTATTATTCTTCTATTTGAATTGTAGGCTTTTAATACAAATATTGTCTGGTTGAGAGAGTCTGAAGATCTCTAGAAAACATTTGAGCCACAATCAACAAAATGCAAGCACGAACACCAACATGAAAATGCACCACCAACATTGGGTCAAAAGGTTTTTCCTCTCAAGACACCAAGAACATTTAATACTGCTCACAGTGCAGGTCAATTGAAGACATGCACATTATATAGATATACGAGATTATCTTTTCCCTGCTCCCGTCCTTTTTCAAGACACAGATGAGTGTGGATCACTCCCCTGTGAAAATGGCGCGACCTGTGAGGACCATGTGAACTACTACACATGCCAGTGTGTGCCTGGATTCAAGGGTGTCAACTGTCAAACAAGTAAGTTAGCTCATGTTTTTAGCACTGCTTTGAAATGCATCATGATTCTAAAACTTTTTTTGGTTGCATGTACATGTAACTTCTAAAAAGATTTAATCCGTTTTATGCAAATAGTTGTTTTAATGCTTTAATTTGTTTTTATTCATGCACACTCATAGCACACAAATAGTAATAAACTTAGTTGGATGCACCAAGTTTCTAATACCAGTTCAGAAAAGAACAAGAAATAGTAGTCATGCCTTCAAGTACCAGAGTTTTCAACCGATTGAGATGTAAAAAAAATTTATTGTTTTTTTCCTATATTATAACAGAGTGGAACTTGCTGCCACCCAGTACAGTAGAGGCATCCTCACAAAATAGGTCTAACAACACTTATATGTAGTTAAATGTGCAAAGGTTAGGTGTACAGGTCATTCAGTGTGAGATAACCAGCTGCCACTGCGCTGTGTGCCTGCAAAGTTGGTGTGTTACGCCTAAGGACAGTTAGCTGATAAAGCTATACAGAATCTGATCGCAGATTTTACAGATACAATGCTTTTGCCAATCTGCTGTGGTGTACTTGCATTGATTGCCGGACTTTTTCATCATATAATTAATGTGATATGTGCAGATTTTAGATTTCCTGTTGGTTTATAGATTTCACAGTTAGAAATTGCTCTTAAGCAAAATATGTGATGACCTGATGACTTTATTTCAGAACGAGAGTGTGATGTGAACTACTGTAGGAACGATGGCGAGTGTTTTGCAGTGGATGATGATGAGTACTACTGTACCTGTCCCTGGGACTGGACGGGGAAGGACTGCGAAATATGTACGTATCAAACTTCATTCAACAGAGAATGTTTTTACTCAGTCTGCTGCATTAGTGTTGTAGATCCCACCGCTTGTATTAGCAGTACAAAGTAATATGCTTCATTTGTTGTATGAGTGCTTGTCTTGGCTGCCGCGCTACCACACCTTGCTAAAACTCCCAACACAACAAAGCTTGTATGTCAATTGTGTGCTGTTGTACTGTTGAAATGTCCTTGGCTTATATTAACAAAACTGAGCTGCTTTGCTTAAATATGGTCCTAGCTGCTGCCAATGACTGAATGTGCTTAATGTGAGAGACAAATGAAGATATCAACAATGCTTCATTTTCACCGCTACATCATTTCACTCGACTGCCATTTTGAAAAATTAATGTTTTTTTAAGTTGTAAGACTTACTGCTGCTATATGGCTGGCTTTCAATAGCTTAGTCAATACATATTATACGGTCACATACAGCATTAGCTGTATATTTGCATGGGCTTCCATGTTTTGTTTTGTGAGATGCTTGACACGATTGCTGATGGGTAGGTTTGAAAGCTGCTTTGTGTAGTCGTGGCTGTTGATGCAGACATTTAACATCTGGCTGGCTTTGTCACATCATCTTGCCAAGTTTTGCTGTCACTGTTGGTCTTGTCACCGCAAGTGGTTGAACCTTGTGTGATTGATGCTTTCTTGTGCTTATAATGGTGTATAAAAATATGTCTGTCTTTCTCTTGGTGTCTATCTGTTGATCAATCAATGTCAGTGGTTGTCCCTTTCGTGTCAAGAGCTCCTGGAGTTATTGTATTTTGCTGATGCTGAAGAACAAACTGTGACCTGCTTCATGTTGACTGTTGTACGTACATGTAAGTGGTGTTGCTTTCCTGTGAAGTAAGATGCTTTCTTGTGCAATAAGATGCTTTCGTCATCTTGCTGTTGCTTGGTATACTTCATGCAATCGACATCCCAACTGATGCTTGCATTGTCTCGCTTTGTATTGAAGTGTTCTTCTGCTTCTGTTGTGGCTTGTTTAGTACCTTATTAATTAAGGATACCATTGCATGCCACCAATTCATGAGATTCTTCACACTTCTGCCCTGTTTGATAGCCTTCATTGGCTACAATGTTGAGACAGGCTGGGAGGTTGGCGACAGCATCACCACTGGAAGCTGGTCTGGTGGGAGCGTGGCGGAAGTCTGGGACAACTGTTTTCAGCCGGACAGTTTCCCGTTCTCGACAAACGGGCAGTGTTCAGGACACCGTGATGGCGGTCAGGCAGTTTCGGACCGAAGGAAGCACTCAGGCCGTCTGTCCTGGCAGTTCAGGAGGGGTAGTCTTGAGCGAGGCCCAGGGACGCCCTTTTCCCCTCCCCTTCGAGTAAAAGTTGGGCGAACGGACGGGAATTATACGGGCGAAGCAGACTCTTTCTACGCCTCTCTGTGGTTCCGTGCATCCAGGAATATCGGAGACGGTTCCAGAATTGCGATTTGCGCGGGAAATCCATCCGGAACGCTACGAGCGTCCAACTACGTCGAGGTGTATGCAAGGCAATCAGGAGTCGTCGTAAGGACCGCAGAATCGTTTCCAAACTACACGTACTGTGCCCAGACGCGAAGTTGTGGCTATAACGCACAGTTTCTCGACATTTTAGACTACCTTGAAATCACGCCACCTCTAGAGTTGGGCATTTGGCACCACATTGAAATGACACTGAATGCCAAACCTCTTGACTACCTAGACGAATGGCACTATTTGATAGATTCAGTACACACACACAACGGAGGCACCTACTTTCAAACAGCCCGTTACGACACTGGCCTCGAATACCTGTATGTGAATCGTTTGAAATTTTACCCTCGTCATGCTAACCGTGACTCTCGGTACAAAGGCATCTATTTTGATGACATCTACTACAAAGCGTTCAATGCCTCCAATCCGGATGTAGTAATAGACGAATATGGAACATCTTTTGAAAATAACACACTGTATTGACGGCTTTGGTAACCTTGTTTGGTGACATTCCCTTTTCTGAAACTTGAGTGATTGAGTCCCAGAAATATAAGACACTTCATTTATTTAAATCTTTTCATAGTTTAATCAACATTTACAAAGATACTGTTCAGGTGTAACATTGTTCGGAACTTGGTGCTTTTTTATCGACATGTATAATGGCTACCTTTCTACTGTATCTCTCTGACTTGTGTTGGTACAAGAATTTGTGAATTTTGTAACTTTTGCTTTGAATTTTATAGTAAGTACAAGGACTTTGTAAAGTCTCCTTAAACTATAAACGCACAAGAAAATAACCAATATATAGACAAATATTATTTGTTGATGTTTGTGTAATTTGTAGTAGTAAATATGGTAACATAATTATGTACAATTGAGAGTTGAGGCCTGGGTGATTTGGTGATAAAATAAAGTGACTTGACTATGAGTTATGTATAAAACTTACTTATGATTAGATAGAAAGCTATGGCATAGATTACTTCTTCTATCATCTAGATGCTACTCTACATGTAGGTAAGTTTCATGCATATGTTTTTTTCCATAACATTTAGTCTGCGTTACATGTAATGAAATGTTCTAAGTAATTGACTAGAATCCATTGATAATATCAAAACACTGGTCATCTAAGATTTTATTAGACATTTTTAAAATCAGTTTTGAAATCTTACTGTAATAACTCATCTTCTAGATGATTCTAAAATGCAATGAATTTCTGAAAGTGCATTCTTCCTCCAGATTACTATATTTTCAAGACTTTTCAGTTAACAGATTTGTCAAGACAAACACAATAATCCTATTTTAACATACCCTTTCCAAATCTCATTATTGTTTCCCTCATGTACTTTTAAATCTAAGGTCAACAAACATCTGTCCTCACTGACTGTACTGTAACCCAAAACATTTTGAGTGGCTCTCATGAGCCTTGTTTTGTGGTAACCTATGAAGTAAATAAAATAAAAATCTAAGGTGACCAGTGTTTAGAAAAGCAGTACCATCTTGGTGCTTACAGTAAAATATTTCTTTTATTTCAGCATTTCTAGGGTACACGGTGGAAAACGACTGGTTGTTAGGAGACAGCATCACCAATAGCAACTGGACGGGCGGGGCCATAGCCGACGTTCTGGAAGACTGTTTTCAGCCGGACAACTTTCCTTTCAAGACAAACAATAGATGCATAGGTGAGACTTGTCTGGAGATATACATTTGTGTTGTACATATAATGGCACAACTCTGTCCTTGGTGCTGAATTCGCTATCCATGGTACATGCACTGTTATAGTATGGTATAGTATAGTATAGTATAGTATAGTATAGTATAGTATAGTATAATATAGTATAGTATAGTATAGTATAGTATCCTTTGTACTAACTACACTGTCCTTGGTACTGACTACACTATCATTGGTACTAACTACACTGTCCTTGGTACTGATTTCACTCTCCTTGGTACTGACTACACTGTCCTTGGTACTGATTTCACTCTCCTTGGTACTGACTACACTGTCCTTGGTCCTGATACTAATTACATTACTGACAGTGACACTAGTACTGTCCTTGGTACTGAATACACTGTCAATGTATTTGACTGTTATTGAACACCAGTACTTTGTACTACTGTCACTACGTTTTTGGTCAACACAATGTTGCAAAATGTTACAAAAGTATGGTATATGATATAGGTTATTTACACAACTAGATTAAGTCTGCAAAAAGCAAAATGTTTCAGACAAGCAAAATGTTTCAGACATCATCAGTGATCTGTGAATGAGTCTTAGATGTGGAACTGTGGTTTGTCATGCTGCTGGAGACAGTTTACAATTTCGAAGAAGAACTTTATTTGACACAACAAAAGTACAGCGGCTCTCGTAAGGTCTTATGATACTGATACTATCCTTGTTGTTCCAGGTGCGAGGGATGGAGGCCAGGCCATCTCCAACAGGCAGTACCACTCCGGTAGGAAGTCCTGGCAGCTGAGGCGTGGGGACCTGTCCCTTGGGAAGGGAACCCCGTTCTCTCCCAGTCTGTCCGTGACAGCAGGACGCATGGACGGGGAATATACCGCCGACGTGGACGCTTTCTACGCCTCGTTCTGGTTCCGTGCTACAAGGAAGAGAGGCGACAGTTCCCGTATCGCCGTCTGCGCGGGGAATCCGGACGGGACGCTCCGGGCGTCAAACTACCTCGAACTGTTTGCCACAACCAGTGGCGTCATCGTGAGAACAGCAGAAACGTACCCAAACTACACATACTGCGCGAGAGTGAGAAATTGTGGCTACAGCGCACAGTTCCACTACGTACAGATCACCCCGCTGCTTAAACTGGACACCTGGCATCGCATAGAGATGACATTCCAGGCCAGACCAGCTGATTATGCAGACGAGTGGAGTTATGTCATCAACAAAGTCTTCACTCACAGAGGAGGGGCGTACTTCCAAACAGCCCGGTATGACCAGAGTTGGCCGTATGAGTATGTCAATAGACTCAAGTTCCAACCAAGACACCCCAATAGAAACCCTGCCTCCAAAGGATTTTATTTTGATGACATTTACTACAAGGCCTTTAGTTCATCAGATGTGAATTCAACAGCAGTAGACGAATATGGGACATCATTTGAAAGATATCCATTATATTAGCTAAGTATAGTAATAGTAGTACTCTCCAAGCAGAGGTTTGGGCTTATTTTTGGCAAGTTTTTAGGCTATTTTATCTGGTGTTATGTTCGCATAAAAAAAAGATGCCAGTGCAAAAAAGAAAGCCAGATAAAAAAGCTTAAAAACATGCCAAAAATAAGCCCAAACCTCTGCTTGGAGAGTGAATAGTAGTATCTACTGCTTTATGTCACAAAAACTGTTGAATGATCAATTCATTGATAGGTTTAAATTTTAACATGCTTTTTTATATAATGTAATAAGAGTGAATTAGAGAATCTTGTCAATCCGACATGCTGCTGTAAGTTATATAGTTATACATCTAAGATAGACTTTTTATTCTCGAGTGCCAAATTCCTCAACGAATGTGTCTTTATATTATGAATTACAAAGAAGGCAAAGAGCCATTTTTAAGCTATTGTTACTATTGTAATCTTCTATATTTAACTGTAAAAAAAATGTAGTGATCTATTGACACTATATTACTCACAAATGATGTAACTATTGATGTAAACAAAGACATAATTATCTGTGTGATTTTAACAGAGCAATCAACATTGATATTATATATATATAAATATAACCATGATTTGTGAGTGAAAATTTGATGTTGAGGATGGTGTCATACATTGCCAAATTAAATCAAGTTGGAGTAAGAAAATGTGCCTTTGTTGTTATGTTTGAGGTCTTTATTTGTTGATATTTATTCACTCAATTCCTTTACAGACTTGCAGATACAGATACCTTTGAATTTGAAATGATAGGGAACTCATCACCATGTACACATTCAATCCTGTTCTAGAGACAACCTGTAAAGGGTCAAAATGTGACCTCAGGACCCCTTAGCTCAACTGACTCTCCCTTAAAAAATGAAGATGCCTTTTTCGCTGTTTGTTATTATGTTGTTCTGAGGCTGATTTCCCCTAGTTTTGCAGCTAAAGGTATGTAAATTGTGCTTCATACCTAAATTTGAACATTTCTAATTTAGATTTGTGTGCATTAGCCCTAAAGTAAAGGCACTTGTTACTGTGGTCAATTGAGGAATAAAAAAAGCAACACAGCTGCAGAATACATAATGAGCTGTGGCATGTAATACTCTGGTTTTATCCAAGATGGTCCCATAGTTTTGTGTTTAAAATCCATGCATAGAACATATCTACAAGCAGGTGATGGGAGGCTAAATAGTAACGTTTTCCTATATGCCCGATTCTTCCGCAAACCGCCTTCCTAACGTAGTGGCAGCATACGGTTTGTGACAGAAACATCAGATAGGAAAACACTATGGTTAAGCCTCCCAACATCTGCTTGGAGATAAGATAGAACATGGCGGGAATAGAACATAACGCTACCGAGTTATTCGGCAGAAGAAAGCCGTCCTTGAGCAGAGGAGCGCGCTTCAAGGTTATAATTCCACAAAATAGCAGTGATGAGGAAACGTCAGACATTATGTCTTTCAATAAAAGTGTGAAACGAGTGGCGTTATGGTTTATATATAAGGCCGAGTTAGTATACTGTACAGTATTATCGTCGGGTTGCTGTTTAGAAATAGGTACAAAACGTTCAAAAAACGGTTGTGTTTACAAAACCACTGCAGTATAATGTGTAAAATGAGTCATTCTTTACATTTATACATACATTTGACAAACAGAAGGAAACCTAAGAAGTTTATGAATGAATATTAGTCCCACAGTAGAATATTTTTCTAGCCTCAAGAAACGCGTGAATTTCGATATCTTGTCGCCAATTATTTCACTAGTAACCTAAAGAAAATAAAATGATTAGTTTTGGGCTTGTAAACACTTTTATAAAGTTATAATATCAAATTTTACGTAAAAACTGGAAACCCCCTCACGAGTTTCCGAGGTTTGGCCATTCCCAAATAGCCCAAATCCGCGAGTGGGCTAAATCTCCTAACTGTTACAGGTGGTCCCGATTTCTCACTTCCGGGTTTGACAGGCCGAAATTAGGGTCTCTTGGGGGTTACCAATTTTACTTGATTGAGGCACAAGTTTTTCTTTTTCTAGGAAATGCTTGGCAGTTTCAATAAGCTTTCAACGGTTCTGTCGTATGTTTAATATTGTCTTCAAACGCCATGGAAAAGGAAAGCCGTACGTTAAAGTTTTTGTCGTATTTTTCGGTGAGTTCACGGTCTCCAAGTTTGCAGAATGCACAATTTTCTGAGAAACCGCGAAGCGAAGCCGCGCCACCCGGAAGCCGGCATCCTTACACATGTACAACTCTTTGCACCACAAAACGACAAACAATGAGCCGGGATAGCATAATTTCTACCACAAATAACTTTATTTCATGACATAAACTTTCCATTCCTACATTTGAGGTGGAGAAATACTAGCTGGGGGATAAGCTTGGTGACTTCGGCGGGCGGGCGCGCGCCCGGCCGCGGCCGGTTGTTCGGAGGAAGCCGGTCTGCGCTCAGGCGCCCAGGATACATTTTTCAAGAAAAATGTCGGTAAAATGTGACTCTTCTCTGTCATGTAGAGTATCACATGGCTAGTGTGGTTTCTCTATGGTACGCTAGAGACAATAGTGTGTTAAAATACAACCAACTTACTACATCCAGACTATCGTAGGCTACAGGTATCTCTACGGCGCTGGGAGTACTGTCCGCCCGCCCAGGTAGACAAGAACGCTCCGCTCCGCTAGTACTTTCCGGGGTCAGTTTCAATCTATACTTCGCCTGTACATTTCGGCAATAATTAGAAATGGTCGTCCGGAATGATTTAGCATGTCAAGAGAGGCCTGTGCTATGGCTAAATGGCCTCGTATTTGAGTCCAACCGGTCCACGGCGACACTCTGTCCCACAGTGTACTGCACCGGTAGTTGGGACTCTTGAGCCGGCCAGCGGAGTTCGCCTAGCCTTGGTGCTGGGCTGCTTTCCAGGGCGTACACAGGCCAGTCCATCGGCTCCAGTGCCAACATCACCCCGACCAATCTAATCTGGACATTGCTCCGAAATTGGTACATTCCTCACAAAATCGGACATTCCTCCAGGTTTGAGCGTACACTCCTCCAGGTGAGCGGACGTTCCTCCAGTTTTGAGCGTACATTCCTCCAAAATCAGTACACTTCTCCGCGTGATATTGGATATTTCGCCGACTCAGCTAGGCCCTTTCTGATTCACGGTACGGGCACGCTGTCTGACTCTGGGCTTGGCGTGTTATGGGCCTGGCATCCTGGCTTGGCTGAGCGATATCCGCCATTGGGTACGGCGAAAAAGTACAGGGTACGGCACGAATTACCGGGTACGGCTTGAAAGGAGTTTGATGGGGGTGACTAGGAACGCCGACCCGAAACAGGCGCCTAGCTCCGCGGCTGAGTGGCTTCCCGGACCGGTCCCTTCCTCTGAAGTTACTAATGCTGATAAATTAAATAAAAACTATTTCGACTCAAGCAGTTCCTTCTCTTAGTTTTACTTTGTTGGTGACTGAAAATCGGTCCAGGCTTACGAAGTTACTAGCACGGTATCCAGTCTATCGTGGATCGCGCGGGCACTCCTCGGGGCGGTAGACTCTTTCCGCCGCCCGTTCTCAACCAGGCAACCGGTCGCTGTGGGCACCCGTTGTGTGTTTTGCGCGGTGAGAATTGTACCGTAACCGCGCAAAAATCCCACCGAGACATAGTTTAGTCAGGCAGCGGAGAGATACTAGTCTAAAGGGACCGCAGAGCCTCGAAGAGAGCCCACCCTGTCTACGATAGGACTCGGGATACGTTGCGAACACGTTACGAAAGTGAAGTGTAGTACATGGATCAAAAGCGGCCCCTAGCAGTCCGTTGCATGACTGCAGCAATACGTTGGCTCAGTTCCTCCTATTACTGCAGTGATGTTTTATCGCCGTTGTGGGGCGCTTTTGATCCATGGCGCTTTTGATCCATTTTAACGTGTTAGAACTGTAGAAGCAGGGTTTCTTCCTGAACAGAAAGGTAAGTGATAAGGTAGTCAATTGATATTCTTTAAGCCTTATTGCCCCTATTACTGCAGTGATGTTTTATTGCCGTTGTGGGGCGCTTTTGATCCATGGCGATTTTAACGTACCGGAACTATAGAAGTAGGGATTCTTTCTGAATGCTAGTAGAAAGGTAAGTGAGGAAAGGTATAGAAAGGTAAGGCAGTCATTTGATTATTCTTTAATCCTCATTGATTTAAATAGAGAAATTCAATGCACTAAATAAAGGAAAATAACAAGAAAAGATTGTAGCTTTCTGAAAGAAATTGATGGAAGGGGAGGGCGCCAGGAAAGACGTTAGCTATACTCTCCAAGCAGATGTTTGGGGTTATTTTTAGCGTGTTTTTGGGCTTTTTTTATCGGAGTTTCTCTTTTGCACTGCATTTTTTTCCACCAAACCTGAAATTGGGTTGGGTTTGGTGGAAAAAAATTCAGTGCAAAAGAGAAACCCCGATAAAAAAGCCTAAAAACACGCTAAAAATAACCCCAAACCTCTGCTTGGAGAGTAGTTAGCTACACAGAGGGTGACAAAACACAAATTTACTGAATAGTTGATTAATCCAAAATGTAATTTTTGCATTATTGAGGATATTGTAAGGTATGTCATACTGAGAAACATTCGAGACAATATTTTGTTTAAAGCATAAGAGCAAATTGCAATTCAGGACTGTGTGAAGTAAAAGTGTATTGTGTTAAAACCCGTTAAAACCAACTGTAATTCTGTCATCTATTGAAATAAAAGATTAAAGGAATATTTTTGAGGTTGAATGATATATTTGTAAGCGAAATAATGATATAATGAAAATAGTGTTGATCTATTACGTTTTAAAGCTTTACAAAGAAATGCAAATTGTGATGATTCATTAACAAATGTGGGATCACACCGGTGTCTAATCTGATTTAATTACTTAATTGAGAATATGCAAATTCTGGTGATCTCTTGTCAGGTGGTAAGGCCACGCTTCAGGAAGACGGCATGGTAGGGAAAGAGCTCCGGTAAAATTCGTCTTGGAAGACGC